TCCCTCTCCCCTCAACCCGGATAATTTAAGCACAACACCGGAAGTTTAAAATGTCGCCCAACACTCCATAGAGAAAAAAAAACGTGTTATTTCAATGGGGTTGAGTTAACAGGATTTGTAGTGTTGGCTTGTGGGCAAGCATGTGATTCTAATTCCTCACCCACTCCTCCCGGTGCAAATATTTTGAAAGAAACCTCTACATTGATTCATGATCCTGGTATATGAAAATAAATTTGAGTTATGAATCGATTGAGCTACATAAAAAGATGTACAATACAATACAAAGCAACTATTACACGAAATTTCCATTTTTCGATTAAACACGAGAAGGACAATGTTTATGTGTGAATCATGTAGTGTTTCTTCCAGAGTTTTCTCTCGGGGGGGGGGGTGCACTTGATATTTTCGGGGGGGGGGGGGGGGGGCGGACACTGTCAAAAGTATATATTTTCTATATAAATTCCATTTTGTTCGTGGGGGGGGGGAGTCGGTATACTTTTTTCGGGGGGTTAGCCGCCCCTCCCCCGAAGAGATGCCTGGAAGAAACTCTGATCATGTAAAACAGTGTGAGTTATAGTTGAAGAATATATCCAGGTGGACATGATGCATTCGGCCATGACCATCAAATACAAGAAGGACGACGAGCTAAATGTCCAAGTGGCCGAACTGCCGTTCAAGGGAAAAAGGTTTGGTTTCTACATTGTACTGCCGGAGACAGCGGACGACATTTCAAGCCTGGGTGAGTGGGCTAAAATGTTAACAGAGCTATAGCAGTTTTACTAGAGACATTTCAAGCCTGGGTGAGTGGGCTAAAATGTTAACAGAGTTATAGCAGTTTTACTAGAGACATTTCAAGCCTGGGTGAGTGGGCTAAAATGTTAACAGAGCTATAGCAGTTTTACTAGAGACATTTCAGGCCTGGGTGAGTGGGCTAAAATGTTAACAGAGCTATAGCAGTTTTACTAGAGACGACATTTCAAGCCTGGGTGAGTGGACTAAAATGTTAACAGAGTTATAGCAGTTTTACTAGAGACGACATTTCAAGCCTGGGTGAGTGGACTAAAATGTTAACAGAGTTATAGCAGTTTTACTAGAGACGACATTTCAAGCCTGGGTGAGTGGACTAAAATGTTAACAGAGTTATAGCAGTTTTACTAGAGACCACATTCCTTATCTCAGTGGGAAGCAGGATATTACCCCCTTCCACCTCGTCATCCTCCCCCGGACATTATCACCCCCCCCCCCCCCCCATTTGAGTGAAAGATCTAAAATTTGTAAACAAAACACTAATCGTAAAATCGGTAAACATTTGCACGCCCCTCTCTGTCACAGAATCTCTCCTGGAAACACCTGACAACGTAGATCGACTGTTCTCCGGGCTCAAGTCCCATTTGACTATAGTCAGCATCCCCAAGTTCAAGACCACGACGACCCTGGATTTAAAAAGAGATTTAATCAGTCTCGGCATGGTCAAGGCATTCAGTTCTGTCAGGGGCGTGGCTGACTTTTCAGGCATTAGAAGCAAAGGTGGGTTATAATCTAATCAAATATACTCCATAACCCCTGGAATGGCGTTTGGCCAGCTACGTTGCTTCCTTTACTTAAACAGTGAACAATAAATTCCTTTAAGTGGGTTCAGATTTAATTTTGTTTTATTTCAAGATTACTTTTCAACCCTACCTTAACGAAATATTCCTTCCCTAACGCTTAAGTACACTTAACTGCCTGTTGATTTCTATATTCCAAGATCCTTTTCCCACCCCTTTTTTCCCTTAATCCTCCACTCTTTCTATTACAATCCCCAATATTCGAATATACAAACCCTTGTATATCCACCCCCTATTATTAGTGTTTCTTCCAGACTTTTTCTCCGGGGAGGGGGGGGGGGGGGGCACTTGAAATTTTCGAGGAGATGCCTTGAAGAAACTCTGCCTATTATACTAAATTTTCACTCCTAGTATATTCCAAGATTTGAAACCACATTGTCCTAGATACTCACACCCTATATGCCAAGATTAGAATAGAAACCTCATTGTCCTAGATACCCGCACCCTATATTGCGAAATTTCCTACCTCAATATTCCAAGTTTACTTCCTCCTCTGTTCCACTAACCATTGTGTTTCAATACCCCCCCCCCCTAAATACAATCCCCATTCTATATGTTTCAAGATCCCCACCCTCTATATTTATCTCCACACCGTACAGTCAGTTCCCTCCCCTGTATTCAAGAATCATTTTTCTCTATATTCCACTTCAACCCCTCCTGACTTTTCAATACCCCCACTCTCTCTATCACGGTCTCCATTCTCATATTTTAAGAACCCCCATCCCCATACAATTTCAGCGACGAATGATATATTCACAACCAATCTTTCTGTATTTTCCCACCCCCTCCCCCACCCGCAGGCGACATCTACATCAGCGCTGTGATCCACAAAGCCAAGCTGAAAGTCACTGAGACGGGGACGGTGGCGGCAGCGACCACCGAACAAACACAGACGCTATCCAAATCTGTTGACTCTGTGTCCCAGCCTTCATTGGAATTTGTCGCGGATCATCCTTTCCTCTACTTCCTCCGCGACAACAAATCCGGACAAATTTTGTTCCAAGGAAAATTTTCCAATTGAAAAGGCCCAATTAAAACTAGAATTGCCTTGAACTTTATGTTATTTTCTTTTTTATAATTACTATATGCATGTGTATATATATATATATATATATATATATATATATATATATATATATATATATATATATATATATATATATATATATATATATATATATGTATATGGTGCGCGGACCTTTGACCACAGGTGCGTTGACCATAGGGGGTTTGACCATAGGTGGTTTGACCACAGCGGGGCTTTGTCCATAGGGGGTTTGACCACAGGTGTTTTTTCAGCAGAAGGTCTTCTTTGATCACAGGTGGTTGTCAACGGGTGTTTGATCGGTGAACGGAAAAAAAGTCACAGAAAAAAAAACACAGAAAAAAAGTCACGGAAAAAAGTCACAATAGAAAAATTTTATCGGAAAAAAAGTCACAGAAATAAAGTCACAGAAAAAAAGTCACACAAATCTTTTTAGAAATATTTTGATTTATTTGTTAAGAATTGTAAAATTGTGTATGTTTATTGTTGTGGGTTGTATTTTTTATAGCTTAAATTATTTATAGACGATAAAAGCATTATGATTTATAAAAATTGTAAGTAAAAATACTCTAAGATAATTTACACAACAATCTTAGCTTTTGTTACGTTTTAGTTACATACGCGGTAGAAAAGTTAACTATAAAAGAAATTTAGGCACATCATTGTGTTTTGCATAGGTTTTGCCGTAGGCTATTTTATGGTCGGCCTCTCCTCAGTCGGCATTGTCCGAACATATTTTGTGTTGTTGACGTTTTGTGTCAATGACAGCCTTTGAACATTGTCGGCTCTCTGTTTTGATCCTAAGTTTTGTTATGTAATGAGCGTGATAAATGTGGGCAGTAAAGGTGGTTGAACTAAGCATAACTATTGTTGCGATGAGTTGAGGGCAGTAATTCAGATGACCTTACCATTTCACGGTAATTTGATTTTAAAAAAAACACGATGAAAACCGTGGACATTCTATTAAATGCTATAAATATTATGTTTAACATAATTACAATCTACATAATTCATACTAAATATTTTTAGATGAATTATAAAAATTACTATACGTATACAACCTACACACATTACATTACATTTAATTAATCCTAAGTTAATTTGCACTCTCTGTATATTTAATACATAAAAGTATTAACAAATCCCATGCAAATATATATTTGTGACTTTTTTTTTCCTGTGACTTTTTTTCCTGTGACTTTTTTTCTGTGTTTTTTTTTTCCTGTGTTTTTTTTCTTTTTCCTGTGACTTTTTTTCCTACAATCGTTTGATCACGCTGTTTTCGGCTTTGACTACAGGTGTTTTGTCCACATAGGTTCTTTGACCACAGGTGGTTCGTCCAATGCTGGCGTTTGATAACAAGCGCTTTGTCCGTATATGGTAAGGATTAATTTTAATAGTTGTGTAATTATATTTTAAATTGCGGCAGGATGTAAAAATATGTTAATTCCTCTGACATTTAGTTAACAATACAAGTATTAGTTCTTTGACTTTACTGTTGGCATATTTTTTTATCCTTCATATATGCTATGTATTTTCAAGTACATCTGCATTATTTTTTGTGAAACTTGCTGTATGTCGCATTATTTGTGTTCCACTTATATTTAAAATAAATCTATGAGGCCTAGTACTACTAGTACCAGCCATTATGTGGAGACTAAAATAGTGTTTTAGACTTTTTTTTAGTACATGTTTATTTCTATTATTTAGCTCTCAGGAAACATGTATGAAATCGTATTAATTGTATCACAAATTAAAAATTTCTACTTTAAAATCGAAATATTATGGTTAACACCCCTCTGTGGTCAAAGCTCGGTTATGGTCAAAGCCCCGCTGTGGTCAAACCCCCTATGGTCAAAAAGCACCTAGGACCATATATATACATACAGATGTGTCATCTAGGTCTTTGTGCTAATATTTCTCTTTACGCATTTATCGTTGTGCTCATTTTTCTGTTTGCGCATCTTTCTTGGAACCTTGTACTACACATCGTTTATTAGAAGTTCTTTTTTAAATACTTGCTTGTTGGTTTTATGCACGTTTATTTATTTACATAGGTGAGACTATTTTGTAATCACTAAGTTTTCCTAATCCTAGTGATGGCATTCTACACCTTTTTTGAGACACACATCAAACACAATTGAAACTTATAATGAAATCACAACAAAAATCTTAAATGTTATTTATTTAACGTGTCTAACGGCTTTGACTAAGTCATGGGTACTTGGAAAGTTGTGTCATTTTTTTAAAACGCGGGTTATTAATACAACTCCCGACATCACTACAGTGAGACATGTCCGCATGTCGTGCTTTTTATGTGGAAATATTTCAAAGTTGAGTGCGGAAAGCTGTCACACCTTTTGGTCAGATATCACACAAAAACACACACACAAAGACCAATGAAATGTATATAAAATTTTATTTACTAATAACAACCCCATCAGCATACATGTTTTATTTACATTAGTATATAAAGTGTCATGGTCATATTTATCTGTCAAAGCATTATATGTTATGGGGAGATGTCACATTGTCTGACTGTACTAGTCTGTACTGTAAGAAAGTGCGTTTCTGTGTTGGGTGTATGTATAAATCCCTGTGTTGAATGCCCTGAAACCTGTATTTGTTACATCACCCGGTTCTTTTGTTGTGGACCTGAAATGAATCTTTGGTCGATGGTTTACAATAGTCTCCGGAACAGTGGTAAGTTCTACTACATAAAGATAATAGATATCATCCCATCCACTCCACCTAACTTAAACAACCCCGGTATTCTCTTCTCATAAACTTTCCTATCCCTAAACCCCTGACAATCAATAGCTACCGTGCCTTTGCCGCTGATAAATTGGGGTCTTTAAGAAGGGAACCATTAGTCGTAAATGTCAAAAAACTCGTGTTGTAGTCCGGGTCTAACGGCTTTAAACAAGTCATCGGTGCACGCTAAGTATAGACTGTCGGTATCCATCTCGCAGAGCTGAAAGTCGGTCCTATATCTGTCTATAAAGTCATAAAACTCTAACTACTAACATCCGTAGTTTCGCGTATTGATAGACGAAAAAACCTATCTGTAGAGGAAGATACCAATCTATCTTTTTTTTTTAGCATTTCTACCTCGACAGTCTCGGAAAGTTGTGTCATTTTTTTAAAACGCGGGTTATTAATGCCCGACATCACTATCACTACAGTAAGTCATGTCCGCATGTCGTGTTTTAACCGTTAAAGTTTTACCGTATGCCGGTCATTTCTACGACTTTAACGTCAACACTATCGGCCAGGTACTTCGTAATTTCGGTTGTCTTTTCAAATAACTCAGTCAAGGGTCTATTACTTACGGGATTTACAGTTCTACCTTTAGTTAATGGGCAGTCAGTGTGTCAGTGTAAGAGGCAGCCACGGAACTGATAAACAGTTCGACACTGCGCGTCCCACCCGTCTAATCTTATGTCTGGATCCTAAACTAACTTCACCACCGTTAAACGCCGTTTTCAAAGTTACGTCCTTTGTTCCCCATAATGATTATCTCTACGCGGTCTAAACCCATCCTCACTATTTCTAATAATCGGAAATCCTGTCGGCATTTTTTTTGCATAAGAGACCATAAATAAAGCGCATTCGCGTCGTACCCCTTAATCGCCTCTACCACCTTATTGCTATTCCCCCTTAGGGGCAATCCATTTATGACGTCCACAAAAGTCATTTTTCGGACCCCCCCCCCCTCCCCCCGCGTGTGGACGTTATAAATGGATGACCCCAGATGAAAGTTTCACCCTTTTCGTGATGTCTATGAAAAGTTATGGAGAGGAACCCTACGATATTATTTCTTATTGTTGTATGTATATTGTAACTCCGACTCGCGTTCAGAAAACAAAGAAAAAGATAAGTCTTCGGGAAGTGTTTTAAATTTAAATAGGTATTTTAATGTTACCCCGGGGACAGAAATCGCGTCTTTGAAAATATCAACTTCAACCCCTACATTTTTGTAAAAGTACTAAAAGTTAGTTTGGTGCACGAGCGCCTCGATAAACGGTTTAACGTCAATATTATTATACCATATGAGAAAATCTTTAAGTTCCCTTCCCGTTCTCTACCCAAATTTGACTACACGCTGCCTACTCCTCGTCCGAAATGTTAAAAAATTTAATGTTGAATAAAAGGCCGAATGTGGAGGTAAACGCGTTTCGTCTAAGACGGCTAAATTTTTTACATATTCGTACGGAAAAAATCCTTTGGTCCCTTTAACTTTAACATTATACGCGGCGAGGTATTTACTATAGCTAAACCCAGGTCAGAGGCGTAGCGACCCTTCCCGGCGCCCAGGGACAAACTTTTCGATTTGCACCCCCCTCAACCGTTCAATTTATTTTTCCAACCCATTTTGGCGCCCCCTAAGGTCGGCGCCCGGGGACGTAAGTCGTCCCCCCCCCCCCTACTGACCCGGGTGCTAGATAATTAACTATATCTAAGAACTTTAATTTATTTGTTGAAATACGCATGAAATTATTATTTCTTTTAACTACATTTTAAAAAGGTGTTTATCTTCTTCTAATTTTTCATTATCATTACAAATAGGTCCCTCTTCTCCTAACCCTTCTGTTTTAGAATAAGCTAAAAAAATATTGTATGAAATACGGTTTAACGAGATTAATATCATATTTTCCTGAATTAAACACTATAACCGGCATTTGTCTCAAATACTATTCTAACCTAGCAAACCCTTCCTCGTTAGATTTATCATTGCTACCCCTAGCTTGAGGTGGAAATCGTTCCCTTATTTGATTAAAAATAGGCTCGAACTGTTTTCTCAAAATGCCATAAGCTGCCTCGGAGATTGTATGGAGTCTGTCACTAATTCTTGGGGGACCCCAATCGAAATAAAACAGATGGGTTCTAAGAACCCATCTACGTTTGCAGCAATCGAGCAAAACAAAGGCACGTGTTTGGCTACACTCGTTGTAGAACTACCTAACGCGGGTATGTCAGTATGATCGAAATAACATTCAAAATCATACGTCGCGTGGAAGGGGTAAACAAAGTTACCATCTACATCTACCCCATACGATGCTAAAAATTCCCAAATTGTTTTCTGTGTATGATAAACTCCCCCCCCCCCCCCCATACCTATCTACGGGTTCGCCCCCATTACACCCTTTCGCGTGTCTGTTAAACTGCAAAACTGTGGGCCATAACTTGTTACACGGAACACGCGAAAGAGTGCCCCGCCCCATCTATATTATTAATGTACATAAAATGGGTATTAAAAAATAAAAGATACATCGTCTCCCTGAATCTATCACTACTTCTAAGTTTGGGACAAAGGCCTTGGTTTTCATTAAATTCAAAAATGTCAATATTTAAACTAAAACTTAGTAAAACAACACTCTAAGAGGGAGATTTCGACTAACCCCACTAAAATTATTCAAGGTCTCGAGACCTTGATGTTCTTGCCACTGTCTCGCGAGATTTAGTGTTGCTTTTCTAAGATCCCTTGTGGATGAATGGTTATGTGTGGCTAAACATCTAAAAAAAAACAAATTGTCTGTGTAGGGTTTTGAATTTGAATCATGTTGTAAAACGTTAATGGCGTGATTATGTTTGATAAAATCGTGAACGTCTGTGAGAAGGAAGCCTATGAGATATTCGTTGAGGTGATAGAGATAAAAGGTGGTGGCTGGTATGACCTCTACCGCATGTTTAGTATTTGGGCTAGTGTGTTGTTTAGAATGTCTGCCTTGTTTAAGTGTTCTAAAAAATATTTAAAATCTTGCCTATTGTTAATTAATTTAGAACCCCAAGGACGAATGCATTGTTATTACTCGTAAGAAGCAATATTCCCCTATCGCTTTGTTTTAATATGGTGTGATGACTAGTTGATATTGAATCGTTTAGTTTGTGGTAAAAATGGTGTCTACAAGTTTTGCATCCCAGTCTGTTGGAAGTGCCTATTGGGCTGTGAAAAAATTGAATGTGGATAAATGTTTGCCTGTATGGCGTGCCAATTGTCAATGCATATGTTTTGTAGTTCCCGATGCTATACCTATAGATGACCTAAGGGAAGATGTGGTAGACCTGCATTTAGACGACATAAATGAAATAGACTTACAGTTAGGTATAGCATTGGTGTCTAAATGAAGGTTACTGGCGTTGTGAGGTGTCTTTACTTGTTTTTGTTTGATGTCGTCATATGTGTATTGTAGCTAGATGTACGGACTGTTTGTCAGTGTCAGTCGCTAATGTGGGTTGTTCGGTTTGTCTGTCGGTTGCTGATGAGGTGGTTGCTGATGAGATTTGTTGTGCGCTATGCTATAGTGTCTTGTTAAATTATCTAGCCTTGTGAATACGTCACAGGTATGTTGCAAAATTTGAAAGGTACTTCCATGCAAATGTTTTAATAGTAGCAAATTTTATCCTTGGGTTAAAAACTTATAAAAAACCCACCAGCCCTTCTTTGAACTGGTCTATATGAAGTTCGTTTGCTTGCAGTTCAGTGACCTCCAGCTGCAGTTAATCTGGGCAACTGGCCACATTTGCTTAAAATGGGTTTTTGAAAGTCTCACTTTTTCTGTCTAACCCTAATAGTTGAGCCCATGTGACTTTAAGAAATTCACTATCTTCAACACAGGATTCAGTACACTGCTTATTTCCACATATTAAGCACACAAAGCTTGCTCATGAATAACACAGTGCAGGAACATTGGTTGTAAAATGTGTTTCTCATTACACATTTGATTAACTTGTCCAACCAAGCCTTTCTTTATTCCACTCAAGCTCTTTCTTCCATCAACAGTCAGATAACTGAGGTTAATCCAGTCCAAGCAATAATCAGCAAATGTTTGAATATGTCCTCTCAGGTAACAGTGCCAGCTCTTGTGTTATGTTCATGTCTTCATCCATTGCAATTGAAAAATTGCTGAACTTGCTTGCATTTTTTTGCTATTTGAGTCACAATGTTTTCACCAATGTAGCAGGCAGTGGTATTTGTACCCAAAGCTATATTTTAAAATTGTTTTGAATTTTCTGGGCAGAGTTCCTCAGCTACCTCCAAAAAAGATTTTTATCCGTGGACAAAAAGATCACAGCGGGCCGTATGAGAGGACCTCACATTTGGCCAGCGGGCCGTAGTTTGGAGAGCCCTGATCTACATCAGTCTCATTCTAAAAGTTCATCGAATTAATCACATGCATGGATTGGTCCATATGGTCCCAAAACGTCCCAAGTTATGTCCACCAGTGATCATCACAAGATTGCCTGGTTTTCAATAAAAATAGGATCATTAGGAAATTATTTAAATGGATAATTCTACTTACAAACCTTTAAAGAAATATAACTACCTGAATCAAACTTAATGAACTCCATTTTGCCAGCAGCAATGTTAACCGCAATAGTGTCATTGACTTTAACCAATGGATCAGGGTAGCGAATAGTTCTGCCATCATGAGTAGTTATGTAAGGTACATTCTTGGGGCCAGTAGCAGTTTCACGGACACGGCAAAGTTTGTACTGAAAAACATGCACTTATTTGTTAGGTCTAGCTACAATAATATCATAAGCAGAATCAAATTTAAGTCAAATGTATTCAACATTTTGTATGCAATATTAAAGAAGTAAATAATCTGCGACCGTCTGTTGAATTTATTATAGCCTTAATTTTGACCACATCACCTATGTATATACACGTAACATGGCTTCGATTAAGGCAATTTATTTTAAATCAACATTTAGGGCAAAGCGATTTTGCCATTATTGTTAAAGTGATATTCTAAATCCATAAAAAACATTACTAGGTTGCCCAGAGTATTTTTCTGATCAGTGAAAGTCAATATATATCACATTTATTGTCCAGGCATTAAAAAAACATTTTCACTAATGTTTGGATCAAAACAATGGCATAATTTCAGTTAATAGACCACATAAAAAAAATCTGACAGTCAATTTTTGAAAAACTGTTACTGTTAAAATAGTATTTTCACAAACTAAAAAAGTATTTTAAAATATTTATTGCATAACAAACCTAATAATATAACTTTACATTATTTTACTTTTTATTAAAATAATAGATTGTAACAACAATGTGATTATAGTTTTAAGTGAAAAATGTTCCATCATTTTGTATGCAGAAGTATATAGCTAATAATCTGCGACCGTCTGATGATATTGTTATAGCCTAAATTTTGACCACATAAACTTATTAAATTTAAGCAACATGGCTTCGATTAAGGCAAAATATGAGTGTTGCATAAAATATTCAAAAATTAAGCTGGTACTCAATTGAAAAATGTGCCAATAAAGGTTAGAACAGTTCCCCCAGATAAAAACACTAGGTCCAGGATGAGACGAATACAACCAGCCAATCAAAGCTGTTTATAATTAGGTTAACTATAAATAGCTTCTGCATATGTGCAGGACACTGTAAATACTATAGCTAAGGTTATTAAAGCAACCTGAGAGGTGAAATAGGGGTGGCCACAGCTTGGATAACGATTAGGGTGGTTTATCCTTGCAGTGTAACCAACAACTTGAGCTAGACTAGCCTAGTTCTAGATGCTCTATATTAGTTTTTCTTACTAAATCTAGAATTTACCCAAATTTTAAATTAAACATGACTACTGAATGATAGACACCCATATTTAATCCATTAGGCACTAATTTTGAAGTTTTTAGTTCATTTAAACTAAATTACATAATTTAATATTCATTGACACTCACTGCCATGCCCAACACATCTCTCCATGAAAACTCTTCTTAAGCTTGAAGCTAAAGAAAACCACAAATCAGGTTAGACTTTTTAAGTGGCCATGTACCCAGAGTTCCCCACTAGTGATCATCAAATAGCGGTCACGTGGTTTAAAACAATAAATAAATTTGATTGTCATTCAAAAGCCATCGTTTATAAAAAAGTGGTTTGCTATATTTGATTTCTTTTTACATAGACTGATAAACCTAACAGTTCTACAGACTTCATTTCATTTTTGTACTCTTCAGATTGATATTTAAAAAGTTCTAGTATTTTTAATGAAACCAACTTTTAAATTTAGCCCTCATTCTCCAAAGCAAATGTTTTTCTGGCATATATAGCCTTGCCACCTATAGCTTGTTGTTATAGTGTGAAAACCCAGCCATTTTGCTCGTGGTAAACATTTTTAAAAGGAATTCGTAGAAGGTCTCTGGAATTTGGCTGAAATTTTGTCGGAAATCATGCGCCCGGTCCAGACGCAATATTATTGTTAGCAACCGACCACGCCTCCAACTTAGCGAGAAATACTACTCTATATATTTCAAGCTAAGTCTAGAACCTGTAGGCCCTATAGTTTATACACTTTATACACAGAGTTTATACATTTTTATGTTTTAAATTATTTCGATCATCTACTTCTTCTAGAACTAGTTTGTGTCTCCACATACAAAAATGTCTTAGCAAATGTTAGGTTATGCCTTGTTAGTGATTTACATCCCTTAGTTATGATTATTATTATTAAAATTTCGTCCCTTGAGTTATCACTGGGTCAAACCATGTGTAGTTAATAAAATTAATTAATTAGGCATATAGTGACTATTTTAATTTTATTTGGTTTTGCAGTCTATTAAAATAATACAATCAACAACACGTTTAAATGTGTAAATTATTTATTTTAGTTATTTAAATTGGACTAGGCCTAGAGTGAAGTTCCACAACAGGTCACACATAGCGAATTCCCGACTTTCATTGGGCGCTATTTTGTAACCGTTTAACACAGAAACAAACCCAAAGTACTATATTATTCCTCTGCCTTTCTACTCTTTAGACTCTTAATATGTATCAATCATTTTATATTCCTACGCATTGAATTTGAGATATTCATGTTTTAGTGAAATGCTACTTACGATATTTTCCCCCTCTTTTTTTTCCTGCAGCCACCTGACCAGCTAGCGTAACGAACGTATTTTATACATTTTAATCCTTTTACAAATTTTACACTTTTAAACGTGTTGTTGATTGTATTATTAATTAATAGATTGCAAAACCAAATTAAAAACATGTTAATTAAATTAATTAACGACATTAAAAGTTGCCCCAGTGATGACTCAAGGGACCTAACTATATTAATCATAACAAAGGGACGTAACAACCACTAACAAAGTCTAACAAGACATAACGTAACATTTGCTTAGATATGCTTGTATGTAGAGACACAAACTAGATTTAGAAGAAGTAGATGATCGAAATAATTTAAAACAACAGAAAAAAATAGAAATTATACAGATTCTAGGCTTAGCTTGAAATATAGAGCATCTAGAACTTGGCTAGTCTAGCTCAAGTCGTTGGTTACGCAGCAATGTGAAACCACCCAAATCGTAACCCAAGCTGCGGCCACCCTTATTCACCTATCAGGTTGCTTTATTAGCCTTATCTATTAGTTTTTCTTACTAAATCTAGAATTTACCCAAATTTCAAATTAAACATGACTACTGAATGATAGACATCCATATTTAATCCATTAGGCACTAATTTTGACGTTTTAGTTCGTTTTAAACGAAATTACTTAATTTAATATTTATTGACACTCACAAAAATGCACAACACACCTCTCCATGACAACTCTTCTTAAGCTTGAAGCTAAAGAAAACCACAAATAAGTAAGACTTTTTAAGTGGCCATGTACCGGAAGTTCCCCACTAGTGATCATCAAATAGCGGTCACGTGGTTTAAAAAAATAAATAAATTTGGTTGTCATTCAAAAGTCGTGTCTTATTTTAAAAAGCGCATGCAATATTTGATTTATTTCTTCATATAATGATAAACCTAATAGTTCTACAACCTCCAATTCATTTTTGTGACCTCCGGGCTGATATTTTAGAAGTTCTATTAATTTTAATGAGACCGACTTTTAAATTTAGCTTTCATTCTCCAAAGCAAATTTTAAAATGCTTTTCTGGCATATTTAGCCTTGCCACCTATAGCATATTTTTATAGCGTGAAAACCCGCCATTTTACTCGTGATAAACATTTTTAAAAGTAATTCTAAGAAAGTCTCTGGAACTAAGACGAAAAATCGTCGGAAGTCATGCATCCGGTCCGTACGCCATATTGTTGTTAGCAACCGGCTACGCCTCCGGGTTAGCGAGAAATACTATTATCTATCGTATGTACAGTGTCCTGCACATATTGCAGAAGCTATTTATAGTTAACCTAGTTATAAAAAGCTTTGATTGGTTGGTTTTATTCATCTCATCTGGGGCCTAGTGTATTTCATAGGGGGAACTAGAATCGCCTACGACGTCATACCTCGAAACTTTAAAAACTTGACTTACAGAAGGAGAAAGACAAAATAATTTGACCTGGATATATTTAGAAATGGACAGGTTATGGACAGGTTTACAGCAGATATCTGTAGTTTTGTATAAAACATCAAAACAAATATTGTACGAAGCGATAAACAGGCGATGGCCGCGTGAGAGAAAAAAGGCGGGGAAAAACATCGCAAGTAGTGAAGCCACTAAAACATGAATACCTCAAATTCTTTGCGTAAGAATACAAAATGACTTACGACTTACACATATTAGAGTAGAATGGCAGCAGAGTAATACAGTACTTTCGGTTTGTTTCTGTGTGAAACCGGAGTGATCGGATCGGCTGTTGTGGCACTTCACTCTACTCTAATGGTAAATTTGTTGAGCTAACAATTATTTTCAATTAATAACTGATATAAAAGAAACAAAGGGATTTTTAACCATAATAATATTTTTAGTACTTGATTATACTAAATAAAATGGCAAAGGAAGGGGTGGATTTTATACATTTATTTATATCATGAAAATCCTAACTACCCACCATGTTGAAGTCCTAACCGGAAAAGGAAGTAAACCGGGCTAATATTTTCAACAAAAGCGATTTTAAAATGTAGCCTAGCAATATCCGGAAAATGATATTGAAACAAAACTTGTTAGATATATTTGATGATGAATATAATTGATTAGACCCCTATTTTTCATAATATATATTAATCTTATTACAACAGAAAAAAATGCATTTGTGATGTGGCTAAATAAAATGTGTATCACATTCGAGAAGCTTTATAGTCAACTATCAATGCTTTCATTTTTTAAAATGCCTCTAGGTTTAAATTAAGCGCTATTAACGTAGTAAAAATAAAATAAATGTTTTTAAAAAGAAATATTTTAAATATGCTTTTACTTTTAAATACACTGAAAATTTGAAAATTAGTAGTTAATTTTGTTATTCCCTTTTTAAAGTTGAACTAATTCATATTACTAATTACATTTCAATTTCTAACAGTCCTACCCCTCCCCTAACTTTCACCGCGATACGTTCAGGACTCCGGTGTCCTTTATATTATAGAATTAAATCTTTCTAGTAAAAATCAACAACCGATGGCTGCTTTTATTGAATTTTTAGGGCATATCGAATTTAACAGAGCTTTTAAAATCAACCCGAATTTCTGTCCTCTTGAAAGGGGCATGATCATACGTATATTGCAAAGGTAGGTTAGACATAATATAGCCTACCCCTTGTGAAATAATAATAGTAAAGTAAAGCCGTGTTTCTTTCAGACATTTTTCTCTGGGGGTGGTATTATTCTATCAAACTGAAAAAGAGTTCCGCCGATGTAGATTGTAGGAACACGCAATTGGAACATCCAGTGTTTCTTCCAGACTTTTTTTCTCCGGGGGGGGGGGGGGGGGGCACTTGAAATTTTCGGGGGGGGGGGGGGGGCGGTAAACTTTCTTCGGGGGGGGGGGGGGGACAATGTTAAAAGTATATATTTTCTATATAAATTATATAAATTTAATTTCGTTCGAGAACATCGAACAATCTAGAAACGTAAGTTTGTTGCCCATTTGTTATGTACCGAGCATAAAATAGTCCATGACCAACCCATAGATTATAGTTTCTACAAAAAAAAACAAGCAAATATAACTTATATATAGTCCTATATTCTCCAGAAGTTAGATAAATAGTTTCGTTTCATTTTTTGTTTACCTTATTGACATACCAAAATATGATAACTAGCAACGGTGTTTATATAGATAGCTAAAAACAAAACTACAAAATTTACAAAAGTGCCTTTAAATCAACTAGGCTACTTAGAACGAAGAACACACTTTGTCAATGCAGCCTGTCTAATGAGAACATTTATTCTTGTGCATGTTTGATATTTAAAAATTGGCAACAAAACTGAATCTTTTCTAATGATGTTGTCTTTTCCCCCTGCAATGATCAATTTTGGGAAGATGGAATGGGAAGTGTTTCAGCAGGCGCTTCTCTCCTGACACCATGTTAGTTTTACTTCTAATTAGATATGGTTGGCTTGTAAACTTAGATGTGATGATGTGTGTTGAGACACACACACGCACACACACATGTAAAAGGAAGAGTAACATCACTTTCCAGACAAATTTATTTTTATTTAGACCTTTTCAATTGGAAAATTTTCCTTGGAACAAAATTTGTCCGGATTGGTTGTCTCGGAGGAAGTAGATGAAAGGATGATCCGCCATAAATTTCAATGATGTCTTGGGCACCGAGTTAGCTGATCTTGATAGTGCATGTATTACAACAGTCGCTGCTGCTGCTACAGTCCCTGTCTCTTGGACTTCAATCTTGGCTTTGTGAATGGCATCGCTGATGTAGATGTCGCCTGCATATGGTGTGTGTTCAGGGGGGGGGGGGGGGGGTAAAATACAGAAACAGAAAATTCGTTATAAATTTATTTTAAGGATGGGGATCTTGAAATACAGAGAATGGGGATCTTATAATACTGAGGTTGGGAGCATTGAATCGCGATGGTGAGGATAGTGGTATATAGGGGTAGGAAATTTTGGAATAATTTGGATGGTGATTTTCAAATAAAGGGTGCGGAAATCTCCAAATACTTTTTTTTTGGGGATTCCGGAATAAACGAGTGGGGTTGTTTGTTTCTAGATTGTTTGTTGTAACAAAGGACAGGACGGACGACGTGGTGCTGTGAAGGAGGTAACAGTGTTTCACAGTCGCCCCCCCCCCCCCCTACTGAAAATTGGATAGATCAGAACCTAATTATAATTATAATTCTGACAGGGCAATATGCTTTCACCAAAAAGGTCGTTTACATTCGATCAGAAAGGGGTCGGCGTGGTCGAGTCGGTAAAGCTCATGGTTGCTAAACCGAAAAGTCTTGAGTTCGAACCCTTGAGCAGATGAGGCTCGTTAGCTGGGGACAGCAATTCATCTAGGAGAGACAACTCCAAAATCAAACAACTGCTGCCTTGTAGTTTGTTCTTGGTTGGACAAAGGCTATGGAAGCAAATCCAAAAAGAAAAACAGGCTGAAATCGGAGTCAATGGCCTCAATGGCGCATAACCAGTTGACACGCATCCTTAATTGTGATGGAAGCGTGGTCGAGTCGGCAAAAGGTCATGGTTGATAAATTCGAAAAAAAAGTCTCGATCCCTTCCAACACTAAAACTTAAGAACGAAGAAGAAGAATTCGATCAGAACATACCTTTGCTTCTAATGCCTGAAAAGTCAGCCACACCCCTGACAGAGCTGAATGCCTTGACCATGCCGAGACTGACTAAAGCTTTTTTTAAATCCAGGGTCGTCTCGGCCTTGAACTTGGGCATGCTGACTGAAGCGAAGAAGGACGCGAGCCCAGAGAAAAGACGGTCTACGTTGTATGGTGTTTCCAGGAGAGTTTCTGTAACAACAGAGGGTTCCATAAAATACGGCGTACCTTTGTACTAATTTTACGTTCCCTTCCTCTACCATTTGATATAGGTTTAAAAGCCAGACCTCCACCCTAAATTGACTTTAAACTGCATACTATCCTACCCCCCCCCCCCTTTCTATATTGAAACACACATTTTTGTTCGTGAGAAGGGGGTTTAATCTTGTACGCTGTATTTTCACCCTTTTTACTTTCTGATATATAGGCTACGAAGTATAGAGAAAGTCTTGTAATCGTGCAAATTTTTTTTCGAGATTTTTTAAACACCTCGCTGAGTCGGAAAAACATAGTTTTGCGATCTTGTCCGTATGTCTGTGTGTGTGTGTGTGTGTGTGTGTGTGTGTGTGAGAGAGAGTGTGCCTGTAACCACTATAACCTGAGTACCGTTATAGCTAGGTTGATGGAATTTCAAATAGAGTCTATAAGTATTATATCAAACTCGTTGATCCGTATCAACTTTAGAGCGAATTCCGATAACCGGAAGTGGAACTTTTTCTACTTTAAATTTTTCAAAAGCCTATAACTTCAGTACTATTTGAGATAGATAAATGAAATTGACCGGAAGTAGTAAATTTCGCTATTTCCGATTTCTAAAAAAAAACGCATGTGAATTTATAAAGTAGTAATAATATTCCGCACTATTATGCACATTTTATTTGGCGTTCCCTTGGTGTGCAATTCTTTTTTCTATTTTAATTCTTTTTTATTTTAAAAAGTTTAAGTAGCCTATTAATTTAAAAAGAATTAAAAATCATGTCTATATCCCGAGTTGCCATCCCTTGTTGTTTCATATAAGAATATTCGAGAAAGTTTAGGGGTGTAGGTCTAAAGTAAAACTGCTATAGTTCTGTTAACGTTTTAGCCCCACTCACCCACGCTTGAAATGTCTCTAGTAAAACTGCTTTAGCTCTGTTAACATTTTTAGCCCACTCACCCAGGCTTGAAATGTTGTCTCTAGTAAAACTGCTTTAGCTCTGTTTAACATTTTAGCCCACTCACCCAGGCTTGAAATGTCGTCTCTAGTAAAACTGCTATAGCTCTGTTAACATTTTAGCCCACTCACCCAGGCTTGAAATGTTGTCTCTAGTAAAACTGCTATAGCTCTGTTAACATTTTAGCCCACTCACCCAGGCTTGAAATGTTGTCTCTAGTAAAACTGCTATAGCTCTGTTAACATTTTAGCCCACTCACCCAGGCTTGAAATGTTGTCTCTAGTAAAACTGCTATAGCTCTGTTAACATTTTAGCCCACTCACTCAGGCTTGAAATGTCTCTAGTAAAACTGCTATAGCTCTGTTAACATTTTAGCCCACTCACCCAGGCTTGAATTTTCTCTAGTAAAACTGCTATAGCTCTGTTAACATTTTAGCCCACTCACCCAGGCTTGAAATGTCTCTAGTAAAACTGCTATAGCTCTGTTAACATTTTAGCCCACTCACCCAGGCTTGAAATGTCTCTAGTAAAACTGCTATAGCTCTGTTAACATTTTAGCCCACTCACCCAGGCTTGAAATGTCTCTAGTAAAACTGCTATAGCTCTGTTAACATTTTAGCCCACTCACCCAGGCTTGAAATGTCGTCTCTAGTAAAACTGCTATAGCTCTGTTAACATTTTAGCCCACTCACCCAGGCTTGAAATGTCGTCCGCTGTCTCCGGCAGTACAATGTAGAAACCAAACCTTTTCCCCTTGAACGGCAGTTCGGCCACTTGGACATTTAGCTCGTCGTCCTTCTTGTATTTGATGGTCATGGCCGAATTCATCATGTCCACCTGAATATATTCTTCAACTATAACATGACACTGTTTTACATGATACATACACATATACATTGAACTTATTGCTATATTTTTACACGATACACACATAAACACTGAGCTTCTTGTCAAAGTTTTACATGATCTCTCTCCCCCACCCCCTTTTATAGATCATAGCCAACGATGGTAAGTTTTTATTTAAGATTTCTTTCAGTAGGTGGGGCAGGGGGAATAGAAAACTTTCGAGTTACTTATGATAATAGCGTAAGTATATATTTTCTATTTAAATTTTGTTTTTAACATTTCTGTCCGTGGGTGTGAGGGGCGGGGTGAGGTGGGGTGGAGGAAGGGCAGCGTTCCCCGGAGAGTTGCTTGAAAGCTACACTGAGTACTCTAACTGTGCCAGGCGAATGCAACCAAATGTATTCCATCTAAAACTACGCCTTGTTAGTTTTAAAATTTACCTTCGTGACCTCGCCGCCCTGTTTGTAGAAGTCCCTTTGTGCAGTGCGCGCTTTCACAAACGATTCCACCCATGTTCCATTAAAGAATATGGTATTGACCAGCAGCATGACGGTGTCTTTTGTTAATACACCTAGAGCATTGCGAAACTGTCAATTAGTTTATTTACAGTCTTAGATTTTGACGTGTTTTGTCGCCTCCTCTGTAGCGTCAGTTGCGAAAATCGTTCGAAATGTTAGCTTTTTTTTGTGTGCTAAAATGTGTGATGCTTTTTTCACTAATTTTAACAGGCGAAAGAGTTAACAAAGCTGACACCATATTGTACAAGTGTGGATAATCTCTTAATATCTTCACGTATGTAGAGATATTTGAATACCCAACCATGTCTTTCATATAGTTGTAAAGTAGATGATGGTTATTCACTCTAATAGGTCCTTACTAATTACAAGCTTCCCTCACCACTAATCTCCCCCCCCCCTCACACCCCCGTAATCCCCTCCCTCCACCTGTATCCTCGCCTTACTATTCCCCTCCCTAATTCCCTTACCAACTACCCTTGCCCTTCTAACCTACACTCACAAACGTGTTTCTTTTCTCTCCAGCGTTCCCTCAACTCAGAACACCCCTCCCCCTATCATTTAGTCTCCTACCCAACCCCAATACTCCCCTCCATCGACTCCGAGTCCCACTCCCCCCTCACACACCCCCACCTCCGTACACCTTCCATCAAACCTGTCTGCACACATACTGTCGCCACTCCCCCCCCCCACACCCCCACCTCCGTACACCTTCCATCAACCCTGTCTGCACACATACTGTCACCACTCCCCCCTCACACACCCCCACCTCCGTACACCTTCATTCAAACCTGTCTGCACGCATACTGTCGCCACTCACCCCCACACCCCCCACTACCGTACACCTTCCCTCAACCCTGTCTGCACACATACTGTCGCCACTCCCCCCCCCATTACCCCACCTCCGTACACCTTCCCTCAAACCTGTCTGCACGCATACTGTCACCACTCCCCCCTCACACACCCCCACCTCCGTACACCTTCCCTCAAACCTGTCTGCACGCATACTGTCACCACTCCCCCCCCTCACACACCCCTACCTCCGTACACCTTCCCTCAAACCTCTCTGCACGCATACTGTCACCACTCCCCCCCCCCTCACACCCCCCACCTCCGTACACCTTCCCTCAACCCTGTCTGCACACATACTGTCGCCACTCACCCCCACACCCCCACTACCGTACACCTTCCCTCAACCCTGTCTGCACACATACTGTCGCCACTCCCCCCCCCCCCACCTCCGTACACCTTCCCTCAACCCTGTCTGCCCGCATACTGTCACCACTCCCCCCACTCCCCCACCTCCGTACACCTTCCCTCAACCCTGTCTGCACGCATACTGTCGCCACTCCCCCCCCCCACCCCACCTCCGTACACCTTCCCTCAAACCTGTCTGCACGCATACTGTCACCACTCCCCCCCCACACCCCCACCTCCGTACACCTTCCCTCAACCCTGTCTGCACGCATACTGTCACCACTCTCCCCCCCCCCCCCCCCCCGCCCACACCCCCACCTCCGTACACCTTCCCTCAACCCTGTCTGCACGCATACTGTCGCCACTCACCCGCCCCTATCACAATTTTACGAAACAATTTCATATTCAAATAATTTTGCTGACCTTCGGGCAATACGTCTTTGATCATGTTATTAGTTCCTTGGCAACGTAGTCATTGATTTTCTTCTCTGGGCCACCGGGGGCGGATAAATCAAAATTGTCCGCTTTGGAATAGTAATACTTCTCAACGTCATCGACATATTGTTCCAGTATTTCAAAGTTAGAATTGAGAAAAATAGCGTTTCCCGTGTTTAGCACAACATCATGAACAGACTTTAACTATAAAAACAGATACGTTGTATTCAGTTGACATAATGTTGTAACGTGTTTAAGAGAGTTATGATTATTAAATTGTCAAAATTTATGTTTATATCAAAACTGGAAGAAACGCATTGTCAAACTGCTTAAAAGGGGATCAAAAAGTCCCATGCTCAAACCCCTGGGCAGAAGAGAGTAGTGAGAGTAAACCTTCTATGAGAGAAAACCAAAAAGTCAAACAACTGCTGCCTTCTAGTTTGTTCTTGAATGGAAAAATACTATGAAGCAAACCCAAAGAGAAAAGCAGGCTGAAATCAGAGTCAATGGCCTCAATGGCGCATAACCAGTTGACACGTATCCTTAATTGTGATGGAGGCGTGGTCGAGTCGGCAAAAGCTCATGGTTGAAAAATTCGAAAAAAAAAGTCCCGAGTTCAAACCCTCTGGCAGATAAGGCTCGATCCCCTTCCGTTAAGAACGAAGAAGAAGGGGAAAAGGAGTCAACGGCCTATATTGCGCATCACAAGTTGATGCTTGATTGTGTTGTTGGAAATCACGTCCAATATTACAAATAAGAACAAAGAAGAAAGATTAAACAGCTTAACTTATCATACAAAACGTGATAATACAACGTTACAAAAGTTTAGACATTGAAAACAAAATTACAAATTACTAATTACGAATTTAATTATTTTTCCTCAAATCACTTCAAAGTATCAAGAAAGTACTTTTTTTTTTAACCAAACAAAGTTCGGTTTCCTTACACTTATAAAGTCAAAGCAAGTTTAGATGAACATGTCCTTAGTCCTTACCCCATCGATGAGATCTTTATAAGTACTGTGAGTTGCAGCTCCAAGAGAGGTAACTCCAAGCGTCGTCTCCATTTCTTTTGCCGTTTTCTTTCTGGCACCCAGCAAGGCCATAGACATGGCTGAATGGATACTGAACAGGGCATACAGATAAACCTTACAAGTACACGAATAAATATAGTAACGTATTATTCAACGGCAAAGTTTGGGGGGGGGGGGGGGGTGGACTTTTGTGACAAAGTGTGAGGTAAAAATCGGTTTTGAAAAATACTGAACAGGGCATACAGATAAACTTTACAAATACACTAAATTTAAAAAAAAAAAACATTTTACAGATCTATCAAAGCTTTGCTGTAAAGCAGAAAGCAGTGGCGTAGCGAGGTCGGGTGTCACCCGGTGCGGCACTTAATGGTGTCACCCCCCCCCCAGAGGCGTAGCGACCCTTCCCGGGGACAAACTTTCAAATTTTCGATTTGCACCCCCCCCCCCTTCAAACTTTCGATTTGCACCCCCCCCCCCCTCAAGTTTTTCTCTATATATTTTGCTATTTTTTGCCTTGGTGTCACCCCCCTAAATGGTGTCACCCGGTACGGTCCGCACCCCCGCCCCCCCCTCGCTACGCCCCTGCTGTAAAGTACTCATGCATACACACGCCGCACTCTGGGGTGAGGAACTTTTTTGACGATGGGCACCATGGAGGTAAAATCGCCTTTTAAAAAGCGTATAGGAAAGTAAAAATAAACTCAACAAAACAAAAACGAAATAAATGTTACTAATTTAAAAAAAATTGTTACATGCAATATTTTCTCAATCATAAATCGTTAGAACATTCCGAAACTCCTTTTATTAACAGTGGGACGTCATTGTTAAACAATCTAAATACGTTTCTAAATTGTAGGCTACTCTTTTTTTTTTTACGGAGATCGATTATTTGTGATTTGGGGGTGGGTGGAAGGTGGGGGTTGCATGTTATACCCCCGTGTCCACGCCTCCGGTTAAGGTCATGTTTTTACCTGTACGGCGAGTAGACCACATTGGGCGTGTCCAGCGCCACCTTCTGGTACAGTCTCTGGGAGAAATCTGACGTGGCCGCAGCCAAGGTCTTTTGCTGGTCGCCACTGACCAGCTGACCAGCGATGGCCAGAATTAGAACTGTGAGACTCCTCATGTAGTTCTGGAAGACACAGACGTACTTTCTATTCACATTTGTTAGACGAGAGATAACATGTGTTAGTCCCTGGGAGACTATTGGTATAGTCATCCTCCCATGTGACACCCAGAGGCGTAGCGACCCTTCCCGGCGCCCGGGGACAAACTTTCAATTTGGCGCCCCCCTCGGGAGCAAATGTTCAAATTTTTAATTTGCACCCCCTCCCTCAAACTTTCGAATTGCACCCCCCCCCCCGCCTCAAACTACTTATAATGCAAAAGTGCAGCTAAAATGACATTATAATTTGTTTTTATAACCCATTTTGGCGCTCCCTAAGGTCGGCGCCCGGTGCATATGTACCCCCCTGCCCCCCCCCCCCATCGCTACGCCTCTGGTGACACCCATAGTATCAAAATGCGTCCATGTACAATGAGGGGGGGGGGGCCTTCGGCACCCATAGATCACGTGTTGAGGTGTGACGTGGAGGCGGTTATGACACTCAAAGGATCACAATTCCAAAGAACACACACACACACACAAATATATATTCATACATATTAAATATAAATAAATAAATAAATAAACAAATAAATAAATAAATAAATAAATAAATAAATAAATATATATATATATATATATATATATATATATATATATATATATATATATATATATATTATATATATATGTGTATATATATATATATATATATATATATATATATATATATATATATATATATATATATATATATATATATATATATATATACATATATATAGGCTTTCGTTCTCTCTCTCTCTTTCTCAATATAAAGAGTGTAAAGAGTGTTGTATTTCCTTCTTTTCGGTTACATATAAAAACTTGATATTATAAACTTTTGTTTAAAATAACATAAGACATAAGAGAATAGGCCTACGTTACATAATTTAGCTGACGAGAACATGCGGTTTTTTTTTTTTAAAGTAGGCCTAGAGTAGACTTACAAGTTGTTGAAATACTTCCCCTAATGAAATATATTACACACTTTGTGAAAACACAAGTCATACAGATTGAACAGTCCCGTCGTTCGCTACGTGAACAGACAGTCAGTTGTTGTTTAATTAAAACTATTTTTAGACAGCACGTAGGCCTAAAGAGTATACGATCCACAACACACGCATCGTTTTCAATAATAAAATTATTTAATTTTCAAACTTCCTACACAACTTAGTGAAACACATGTTTCAGAATTACCAGGTGGGGCATGGTATAGAATAAGACCTATTGCTATTATGATACGGGTAGAGGCGCCTCCATAAGTAAAATATTGATCTTGCGAAATCCTTCCCACAGCACAACTCTAATTACATGTTTTAGTACGTGCAAGAACGCGGCTCTTGGGATTAAATTGTTGTATTCAGTCAGGGGTGGACGGACTGCGTCCAGAGTTTCTTCCAGGCATCTGGTGTTTATAATGGAATTTATATAGAAAACATATACTTTTACCAGTGTCCGCTCCCCTCCCCCCCCCCCCCGAAAATATCCCCCCCCGGAGAAAAAAGTCTGGAAGAAACACTGGCAGAACGGGGGGGGGGAGGGGGGAGAAAGTCCGGGTGAGTTTTATTTTTGTTGTGCAATTCCCCCCCCCCCCCCCATCAAAACCTAAGGGGCGTTGCCAACGGGTCACTTTACATATTAAAATATACAATAATAATATAGGTCGTATTACCAGGTATTTCTTGGGGGCTCCGCCTTTAGTAAATTTCTTAATTCCTGCCTGGTGATGCTGATTGACGATCAGCGCAGTGTGTTCCCTAACCAACCCCATCTTAACTTATTGATTTCGTAGCAGATGTTGTTAGACTAGCGGATTGTATGTATTCGTATTAGGCGGGTGTTTATTACTAGACTTTATCAGTGGTGGTCTTTGTCGTCCTCAAACCTCTGCCCCGTACGGCAGCACTGACTTTAAATTGGAGTTGAATAGGCGCACCTTGGTGGTCAACGACACCTCACATGAATCCCAGAATGTTCTTACGTTAAGCTGTGCAAAGTCGGCCGTACTTGGTTTGCCTAACCATGATATGATATCTGCACTGTTCCGTACTGATGGCCTAATAATTTTGGTCTCCGATAGAGTCTACTTCCTAATCTAGATTTTGGGTCTGTAGAAGTTCATAAAAGACACATAAGAAGACAGACATACACTTACATTTATTTTTATATATCTTAATCATAATAATAAAATAATGATTATATGTATTATATTAATTTGTAAATATTAGAATTGGTAGTACTTTTGAAATAAAGGGACTTCACTCTCACTAAACGTAACATAAACAGAAATGGCCGCCTCCACTAAACGAAAGCATGAACCCGATAACAAGAAAGCTAAGCAAAAAAGAAATCTTGTGTCGATGGATACGACTGATAAAAAGTTGTGTGAATTTTTAGAATGGTGTGAAAAGAACAACTTTAATATTTCTCCTAAAGTAAATAGTTTTAAAAATTATTTTACTTCTAGAATCCATGATTAGAATGATCAGATCAGTAGATCTAGATCTAATCTAGAAATTGGTAATCTATCGTGTTGGGTACGTAAAATCGCCCGCGATTTGTAATGTGAAAAACAGGTGACTCCTTAAATTTTAATAATTATTTCACATTTTGAGGAGGATTTATGTTTTAAAAAATTCAAAAATGTTTCCTTGATTCATAAATTTATGTACCTGTTTTTAAACAATTGAATTAAAATTTTTCCGTAATTAATGAAGACTAGCGATGTTTCCAACAGATGCAACCATGCTCATTTACTACAGCAGCCATCTTGTCTAAGTTTTATTTTCATAAGCTTTTAGCGCCAGATTCAGGGGGAAGCCACTCTATTTTACAAATGGCTGCTGTTTATATAGCAAATCTTGCTCTCAGACACTGCTGTTTATAGTTAATTTCTGGCCTATATCGATATATTTTAGGGAGGCTCACTAACTTAAAAGCGTCCTTGGTTGCTAACCAGAACATGGCGTAAGGATCGGACCATGACTTCCGGCGAGTTTTTCGACTTAGTTCCAGAGACCTTCTTAGAATTACTTTTAAAAATGTTTATCACGAGTAAAATGGCGGGTTTTCACGTTATAAAAACATGCTATAGGTGGCAAGGCTAAATATGCCAGAAAAGCATTTTCAAAAATTGCTTTGGGGAATGTAGGCTAAATTTAAAGTCGGTGTCATTCAAAATAATATAACTTTTTAAATATAGATCTCCCTATCACAAAATTGATTTCCAAAGTAAAGCATTATTAGTTTTATCATTCTATGAAAAAATAAATCAAATATCTTCAACACTTTTTTTTATATGATGTGTCCAAAAAATGACAACCAATTTTTTTTATTTTTTTTGACCACGTGACCGCTATTTGAATGGATACGTTTACCTGGCATGGTTTTTTATTTTGCTCTTTTGTACAATAAAAATTGTTATAAAATTAAAGAAATAAAAGAATTCAAACATCACTTCTGTCTTGTCTTTTTTAAAATTTATTTCTGATGACATTCTCTTAATTTTTTTTCCTCTATAAATATATCCCGACGATAGACGGGCCAATTCTACTTTTAGGAACTCTCTTGTGAAAAAAAATTAGATCTATTTCACGGTCACTTAAAAAGTTAAACCTTTCAACTTTTAACCAGGTTGTCATGGATGATCCGTCATATCATAGCTGTGAGTGACAAAACATTTTAAAATTCAATAATTTAGTCTAAACTCGCTACAACCCCCAAATTAGTGCCTAGAGGATAAAGTATGGACGTTTTTTATTCAGTTGTCATGTTTAAATTGAGAATTGAGTAGATTTCACATATAGTAAGAAAAACTAATATATTTAGCCATTGATTTAGGTTTATTATTCATTTATCTATAATATTTGACACAAACATATGACAATATAATTCTATTAAAGCCTTGACAATGAGGTAACGTTTTCGTACATAAATAGCCGCGGGCGATTTTACGTACCCAAAACGATAGATTACCTAGAAATTTAATATTTATTAATTTAAAAATAAAATTAGGCCTATTAAAATATCATTTAATATAGGCCTAGACTCTCTATATTTAATTTTCTAATTTAAAGTAGGCCTAGACTTAGATCTAGATCTAGCTAGAGTAGATAGGGTAATCTATCGTAAAAATCACCCGCGACTAGTAATGTGAAAAACAGGTGACTCCTTAAATTTTAATAATCATTTCACATTTTGAGGAGGATTTATGTTTTGAAAAATACAAAAATGTTTCCTTGTTTCATTTAATACATTTATGTACCTGTTTTTATTATTTTAAACAATTGAATTAAAACTTTTCAGTAATAAATGAAGACTATCGATGTTTCCAACAGATACAACCATGCTCATTTACTATAACAGCCATCTTGTTTATTTTTTAAATTGTAAACTTAAAGCGCAAGATTCAGGGGAAGCCACTCTAACTTACAGATGGCCGCTTTTTATATAGCGAATCCTGCTCGCAAACATTGCTGTTTAAAGTTAATTTCTTGCCTATTATTTACTAATTTAGCCATTGATTTAGGTTTATAATTCATTTATCTATAATATTTGACACAAATATATCACAATATATTTCTACTAAAGCCTTGACAATGAGGTAACTTTTTCGTACATTACTAGCCGAGGGCGATTTTACATACCTAAAACGATAGATTACCCTAGATAGTAGATACTAGATAGAATCTAATTTAAATTATTTTAAAATTATTCTCTCCTCTGACTCTTACTCTAGCTGCTTGTAATCTAGTGCCTAGAAGTAGTAGTAGAGTAGAAGTAGCTAGATCTAGAATCTAGATCTTGTCTTCTAGATTTACCAATTTTATTTTTGTTTAAGTAAAAAAAAAGTCACTAGGCCTAGCGGAGCACCCTGGCCTAGGCCCTACTCTACGCCTACTGGCTACACCCTACTTAAAAAATTTTGCTGAGTTTATTTTCATGCAGTGTGTTTATGACTTATTACTTAGAAGTCTAATCTTATTCTTATGTAATATGTAATTAATTTTATTGCTACCCCAAGGTCGTATGTTTGAAGTGTGAAGTAAATGAATGTGAGGGGGTTTTTGGGGTTAAACAGCTTTTTAGTTATGTCTATATACTAGTAACTAGTATGAGTAGTACAAGTCATAAGTATGTTACGTCCACTTGTGGAAAACATAGACTTGATTAGAATGACATAATTAAAAGTGAAAAAGGACTCAAGCTGTGTAGCATATTGAGTTGATTGAAACAAAGGCTAACACTCAACAGGTACAAGTAGGCAGAAAAGAATCTTGCGCCCAGTAGGCCTATGAATATTGTCTCATAACAGATTAATTAACCATAGTATTTAAATTTAAGACCCAAACTGACTTAGGGACTGAAATGTATAATATAATTTTTATAATGTATCTCATCTTGACTGCTGGGTCTGAAGTAACATTTAACAGTAATAACACTTTTTGCATCCATAAGGTTCAAGTAAGCAGAAAAGGATCTTGCGCCCAATATGGGATGGTTGCTGTTGAAGACATAGCAGAAAGCTACTGCCTGTTTCAAGTTCCTAGAACGTGTTTACTAACACCAGAGAACTCTACCATCAGTGACCTCATAGAAAAAGGTGACTTGAGAATCTGGTATTGTTAAACATTCCATTGATATACTAGTTGATGTTATTGTTAAACGTTCCCATTTACTAATTGACTTGTGTTTGTAGCCTGTGTTTTATTTTTGTACATCACATTTTGAGCAAATTCATCATTATTATAAACAAATTTTATTTTAAGATGTTTTGTACAGGCTAGAAATAACTCACATTTTATGGCACAAATGCCTAAAAGTAGTAAAAGTAAAACAACTATAAAAAAGAAGTTAAACTGTTGGTTAATTATTCTATTATTGTGTTGTTTTTGTTCTCAAAATATAAGAAACAGTAGGCCTATATCACTCTTCTCAAAAGTGTTTGTGGAGTTGTGTTTTTTACAAGCCTTAGCCAACATTACTCCAAGTCAAAAGCATTACAAAATGAACTTCCCAATATTTATTTTCTTAAATTTATTAAAAACATGGATAGATAATTATTAACTAAATAATGTTTAACTTGTTTTAAATAACTTGATTAAATTATATATTTCCAGATAAATCCAATTTATCAGCAACCAACCAGTGGATCCCGCTATTGATTGCTTTGTTACATGAAAAGAATGATCCCTCATCCTTTTGGAGCCCGTACCTCAACCTTTTTCCAGATTTCCAGTCTCTGAACTTACCCATGTTCTGGGAGGAGTAAATATTTTTTTTGTTCTATTAAAACATTCAACTTAAACTTTTTAAAACTTTAAATTATTTATAACCACAATATGATTGAAAGAAGAGAAACTGAAATCAGTCAGTTATTTATATGTTTGTTGTATTTCTAATACAGTTATTTCTTTTTTATAAGTTTTAAGTCCGTTATTTTAATTTATTTGTTATAGTTCTAAGTCGGCTATTTTATCTGTTATAAGTTCAGAGGTCAAACAGCTTTTGGCAGGGACAGGGGTGGACACTGCTGTTGAAAGGGACATAAAAATGATTCAAGATGACTATAACAAACGAGTTGTTCCATTTTTTGATACACACAATCAGTTAAGGTTAGTTCAGTGTGTTCCAGGTTTTTTTAAATTTGATATCCAAAAAATTAACTGTTTGTGTTACAACCAATGAAATTTTTTATGTGTAACACAAATATTATTGAATTAGCACTGTATAAAAATTATATTGTATTTATAGAAATGATTGTTAAGAACTTAAATCAACTTCAAGCAATTTTTTTTTGTTGTCTTAAAATTGACCAAGATTGCGAAATCAGTTATTTTTATTAGTTGTGTTTTCTTTTATTCTACAGTGGGGACAAGAGGGATCTGGACCTGTTTAAAAAAATGGTTGCTTTTGTTATGGCCTATAGCTTCACTGAGCCTCAGTACAAGGAGAAGGATGAGGGAAGTGATGATGAAATAGATGAGGAAGAAGAAAAGACCATGTCACCCCCAATTATGGTACCACTGGCGGATGCTTTAAATCACATTACCAAAAACAATGCTAAGCTGACCTTTGGGGAGGAGGCACTTAAAATGGTCTCAACTAGGCCAATTAAGAAGGTTATTGCTCATATTGTTTATTATCTTTGATGCTATGTTTTAGTTTTTGGTTGGGTTGAGTTTTTTTTGTCTTTGTTCTCAATTGTAACAGAAGGGATCAAACAACAATTCTAGCATCGTTGTGAGTTGGTTGTTTTGTGTCCTGTAGTTTTAAAAAAGAAGTTCTCAAACTTCACATATGCATAGACATTGGTGGGAAAAGAGTGACAGCAAAAGTTATAGCTTTTTGATGACCAGCTGGGGTTATAATTATGGTAATGTTTACCATTTTCATTATGGGATGGCGTTGTCACAATGTCAGTTAGTAGCTGCTCATGATTACAAGCCAAGTCTTTGGTTTGGATTCCAAGCTTGAGTACATCTCTGTTCACCCAGCTTTGATGAGTATTTTGAATCTTATTTGAGGGAATAAATGCAGCTGGGAATTTAACTGTACTTACAATCTATTTGAGGAAATACATGGGAATTAAACTGTTCACACTATACCTTGATATGCAGAGGGTAGCTGAAACAGGTGCACTCTACTTCACCTGGCCTTTTGACCATTTGTTTTTAAAATAACCATTTTAATCAACACAACTCTAAAGAATTTAAGTTAGCTGGCACCAGCAGACAAAAACAGTTGATAACAATTGCTGTACTGCAGTGACTAATTCTTTGTTTAAACTCTCCTCAGGGCGAAGAGATATTCAACACATATGGCCAAGTCTCTAACCTTCATCTAATGAACATGTACGGGTTTGCTGAGCCCTACCCTGATAACACCAATGATGTGGTAAGAGGGGGGAGAATTTGTTTTATTGTACTTAGTTTATATTAAAAGTTAACCCTTTAGCTGTGGATTTTTTTAACATTGCCATTAAACACTTCTATTTTGCTTATTTCTCCTTCAGGCTTCTGCCTATCTATTTGTTCAGTAAATGTAGCAAAACAATTCATAATAAAAAAAAGCAAAGAAAATTGATCGATTCACGTTTGCCAAAATGACATTTACTGTAACATAAATATTTTTAAAATGTTGCATCATGCATTTATATGTACAATTACAGGGGCAATAGTGTGTAAAAATGTATTATTTTAACATTAAATGCCCTTGAGCTCACCTAACCCTGAAAGGTATCTGACTCAGGGTTAGGGAAAGTAAAGGCCACTGGGCATAGGGCTGACCACAATACCCCCTTCATATGCTGAGGTCACTTAAACTAGCATATGGACCGTCAGGTTTGAAAGGGTGCTAAACGGATTCAGATTTTGGGGTTAGACAATGTTTATTAAACAAACGTCTTATGACTATACATTCCTTCTAAAAGGGAATTAGGTTCAATATTGCCACAAATTTTATCCTGCCTTCTCTATCTTAATTTTTCCTACTTTAACACAACATTTACATTTGCGACTTGTATACTATACATGTTAAAAAAAAAAAACTTGCAACAAGTTATTGTTTACTTACTAGATGTATAGTAAACCTTTCGCAAGTATAAAACAGTTTAAAGAGAGCATGCAGCTACAGCTATAAAAACCCTAAAACTACTCTAAGATACCTTCTCCATCACTGGTACTTTGAAAAGTACATGGTTTTAAAAAGCCAATTTTCTTTAAGGTGGAGATACCTGTAGAGAGAGTGCTAGAAGCAGCCAAAGATGTCCAGCCAACTGATTCTGCATTTCTTGATGAAAAATGGGAATTCCTCAAAAGTCAGGTAATATTGCCATACATATTACAATACATGACATTATAAACTTTTATGGTGCAATTTAACATGGTACATTGTTACCTCACTTATTGTGGTTACACTATGTACATTATTTTATTATTATACATTATATTTATATTATTAAGAGGGATTGAAAACAGTGGTGTAAAATTGTTAAAATAAGCTTACTCAATATTTTGCTACACAAAGCCCCACAAGTAATTTATACATTTCAGGAAGTTGTAGTCGACAGCGATGTGATTGTTCTGGGTCAAGATGGCATTCTCACAGATGAAACGTGTACTCAAGTACTTAAGGTGAATTTTTATTTATTGGTTACAATGTTCTTAAATACACCAGGCAAATGTTAATAGTTTTATTGTGAAGTTGTTTCTTCAAAAGATTTGTTTGACTATATATCAGTGTATCTTTTTTAAACTAACTAATCAAAAGGTCTTAATTTGTAAAAAATACTTCACTTAGGTCATTCCGAGCTTGTGGTAAAATTTGTACCAGAGAGATTTTAAAAAACAAACTTAGTGTACTAGAGGTGATGGTTGGGTCGAGTGTACAACTACTAACACAAAAGTTGTGAGTTTGGTTCACCCAGCATTGATGGGTATCTGATTGGGGAAATAATAGTAGCTGGGCATATGCGGAGGTCTGAGAAAGCGATGAACTCAGCCTCATCTGCACCATGGATGACCTGTTCTGAAAAAGTTACTTTCATATATTGCGTCTTGATAATACCTACATTTCATTAAACTGTTATTTCAAAATTAGCCTTTAATAATTATTGAGTGTAGGGATTTTTTTTTTACAAATGCAAAAAATACAGGTCTTGTAATGTAACACTGATGCCACACCATTAAAGACAAGGAGATAATCATTCTAGAGTGATTACATTTTACATAGTTGCTGGTTGCATAAACATCTTTGTGAGAAGTGTGTTTAAGTATGATCCTCTTGATAAATATGGTATCATTATTTTAGAATACAAATAAAACACAATGGAGACAATTATCCATTTTAAAAAAAGATTTCAAGAGTAACATAACCAATGTAATCTAAATTTTAAGCCCATTCAAAATCATGTGTAAAATTGTGTTGTTTTACCTTTTCTTTGCTTTATTTAATTGAAGCACCATTTCACTAAGCTATTACATTCTACTCTGTAGTAAATCACTTTCATTCTGATCTAACAATTTTCTTGAATAGTTAACTTACAACTATCAAATTAGTATATTTTGCATCATGTTTTTTAACTCAGGTAATCACCATGAATAAAACAGAATTTAAAGATTACAGAGAAAAAGAAGGCTGGAGTGATGCAGAAAGCGATTCTTCTGTTGTTGAATCTAAACTTGACTTTGGTAATTTCACCTCTTTCCTGTTAATTAATAGGCTAATGAGGCTACATTATTTATTGTATGTCAAATTTTAATCCCCCCCTCCTTTTTTCACCAGCTAACCTTCACTTGGTGGAGTCGCAGTGGAAATCTATACTTAAAAGGTAATTTTGGTCACTTTAATTAAGAAACAAATTAATTAATTCACAAACAAGTCTTGAAATAGACTTCTTTTGAACATTATGGTGTACATAGCAGATGAAGTAGATTTTACCTGTTTCAGTGATCTCAACACTAGAAGGGACTTTTAAAAATAAAGCTCTTTAACTTTAAACATAGCCATCCATTATGCAATTAAGTAGAGTTCATGATTTTTAACCTCTGCATATACTAAGGGAAGGTGTGGTCAGCACTTTGCCCAGCCACCCTGATGAGTTAGGTTTCCATCAGAGCTGGGTGTACAGGGACATTTAACTGATCTTGACCCAGATACGAACTCGAGACTTTCAGGTTAGCAGCCTAGCTCTCTAAACCGCATGTCCATCAGTCTCTGTTTTCCCTAGTATGAGCCAGGGGATCAGAACTCTAGGCATCAGGTGTAGCAGTTGAACACAATGCAACCACACTGTCCCCAAGAAAAATCTGTTTAAAACTTATTCTTTACATTGATTCAGATTGGCTGAAATTCACCTGACCAAGTATCCCACCACCTTAAAGGAAGATCAAGAAAAAATAAAACAGGTAGAAACTTTCAAACCAAGGGACAGATTTGCATTATATGTTGCGCATAGCCAAAAGATGTTGCTCCATCAGTTAATAAACCTGTGCAAATGATCAAGTTTTGGCCTTTTTTTTTAAGGGTTAAACTATTAGGAAAAAAATCAACAAAAGAAACTTTACAATGCACAATGTTGACAATTTATTTACAAAATATGACAGTATGTTAAAAATAAAATGGTTAACTCGGTCAAACAAATTGAAAGTTTAATGATCCAATTGTGCTGATCTACATATTTGAGCTAAAAACAATGTAACTATTTTAATGACTTAGTACAAAAAAAAAAAACAACAACCAAAAACTGCTCATCCATCAAAACTTTCATTTGGACAAGAATTTGCTATGGATTTAAAAAAAAAAATTTGAAAATTTCTAAGAAATTGGACCAATAAACTTAATATAATACAATACTATACCCATCAATTTTGTAACCATTAAGAATCGAAAGAAAATTTTTTCTTAAAAAAAATATTTATTTATCCTTAATTTATTTTAATTACATAGAATTAAAATAGCTACTTGGTAGCCAGTAAAGCACCTTTTGTCATAAAAAAAAAAATGTAATCAGTGATGAATATTGCAAGAAACATACACGAGGTTCATTACTTTATCCAAAAAATGTTTCAAACCTCTGTTAATTGACATCACTTTAATTCTAGACATAAGGAGATTTTAGAGTTACGTAAACCGCTGACCAATGTCATTATGAATACAACACTGCCCTTTATTCTGCCAGTGAGGAAGGTAGGTAGGAGAGTGCTGAATGGAATCAATGTTAAACACAACATGTAGACTGTGGCAAGATGTAAAATGATTTTCACTGTCTAATTAAATATCACTCAGTACTACCCTCAGCAGGTGTCTCTTCTGTATGCTTATTGACATTTAAGTCTTTCAACTGACCAGCCAGCTCAGTGGTTCCATCATCCACTTTTTCCTTCTCTTCATCTTTTTTTTCAGCATTAGTATCTCCATCTAAAAAAAAATGTCCATGCAAGAAAACATATTCCCTTTAAAACAAAAATATTTCAATTATCTGCGTTAAAATTGGTTGGAATTAACTATTTTTAAACAAAAAAGAGGCTGCTTATTAATTGTTAATGTGTACGTCCAAAGATAAATAATGGGGTGAGAGGAGAATCTTTAATGGGATAAAAATCAAATTCTTTATGGTCATAAATTGCTGCAAAAATATAACAATTCTCACGAGCACAGTGAAAAGAAAATAAACTTACTTTCTATAACTGACTTGGTGTTCAAAACTTTCTTCATTTGCTCTGCAGACTCATCAAATACTGTTTTAAACTTCTGGGCATCTGAAATGGTTTGTCAAAAATGTTATGAAGACACTAAAATTATACAGCCCCCACAAAATTAAATACACCTGCAGTTAGATGCTTTGTCTAAGTGCAAAAATAAAATATACATCAGGTACTAACAAATTGTAGAAGTGGATTTCAAATAGATTAAAAATTGTATTAATATTATTTTCTTTTAACCTATTCAAAATTCACCCCTACTTCAGTGAGTATGTACAAGTCTTTTAATTGGGTATTAAGGGAACAAGATACCCATGTTTTCGATAAAATGTTAATTTTGCTATTCAAAATTTTTATTTCTTAATTCGATACTAATACCTTTTATCTATCTAACCCGAACATTTCGGACTTCTACAGCTTACGGTTATTCGTTTATTGCGATGTGAAACATGGTACCCCCCGGCAAGTTTTCACACTACTACGCGGACAGCGGCTATCTTCGAGCGGGTATTACATCATTTATTGCCCGAGAGGCACCATAAACTTTACAGCAATCTAAGGGCCAAGCACTCGTGTACCCGCTGGTGTAGTGACCTTTTCTTTTGTTCTAAAAATAATTGGGATAGAAGTTGTTTTCTACAAAGTAAAATTTTATATTAAACTCCATATAAGGGCATGCGCGTAAAATTTATGAATGGGAAGAGGTTCATTGATACGCTTGACCAATCATATTATAGTACAGTAAATCAAAATAATTCACGATAGGCTGCAACTAACCACGTGTGCTAGGCAGCCATCTTGTTTCTAGATAAACAAAACAATCGCCTGTCTCGTTTGTTTACCACTTTTGCGTATACTCTTCTATTTTTTGTTTTAAAGTTATACAACAACATTAAGTTTAATAATTGAAACTTTGCCTAGAAATGTACTGTTGATTATCACTGGAACAATATTAAACACTGTTGCGTACGCTTTAAAATTATACTAAGCTGAAACAATGCGTCATGTACATGACTATCAGTTTGAAGAATGTACTGTCCATCCCCTTTACCCCCTTCATTCCCTTCTCGCCATTCAACCAACGGCCGGTTTATAATCTTGTTACGGCATGCTGTGATAGGCTTGAACGCGTTCATCAGGCTTTACACCGGACTGTATACGACACATGTGTTAATGTGTATGCCCATCTCTCCGTATAGGGTGTGCTAGCAACGAATGTAAATACTAGATAGTAGTAGATAGGATAGCTGGGAAGCATTCACTTAGGCCCTGTACTTGACCCTATCTACACAGATGTGTTATTCGCGGTTGAATGAACATTGGTAATCTATGGCTCATCGGTTCCTCATGCACTATCCAGCGGTGGGATGGGGTGGAGGGGCGTGTCTAGCCTCAAGCGTTGTACCCAGTGTTGTGTTGTAGGCTATTATCATAAGGCAATAAACTTGTGTAAGCTACAATTTGAGTAGAGAAAGACATTATTTTGAAGTGAGAAGACCGGCTAACAAACAAAACTTTATCTGGTTTGATGATAGCTGTTCTGAGAATACCGCTCGATTGATAGGATGTGTAATACTTAATAGTCATACATTCATTACCTGTTGTATACATATTTTCTGCTTACATAGAAAAAATCTATCTAAAGCTTACAACATAAATCAAAGCGTATTTTATTAGTCAAATGGTTATTCCACATATAACAAGACGTTTTTTTCTGTTTTCTATAAGAGAAAACGCACCGCGCCTTTTCCCGCTCTTCTTTTCACGTTTTCTCAACTTTGCATTTTTACTCAAAATTCGACATTCAAATCGCTAAGGCTTTGGAACCCTTTGTCATACAAGAATGAAACATTCCACGTGCGTTCAGCATTATATCATCTACAAAACTACGTTTGTACATTAAGTTTACTACAATACTTAAGGAAATATTGATATTTTTGTAACACCACCCCCTAATTTTTGTACATAAGTTTACGTAAAAATTTGTATAAAAAATTGAGTACAAGCTATCGCAATGAGTAAACGTAGAAATGTATAGTTTGGTTTGAGAAATCTAAATCTTTCATCCGTTTTTTTAAATCTCTTATGGGAACAAAGCCTTAGCGATTTGAAAAGGTGTTAGTTTTCACACCTTTTCGCTGTTTCCATGGCAACCAGTACTGCTATTGACGGCTATATATCATTTTTGTCTATAGTTTAACAACTATAATTATATGAACTTATTAAACATCCAGAAATGTGTTAAATAAAAAAAAAAATTTTATCCGTGGTGCCTATCCTTAAGGTTTTTTTCAATTACCTTTTGTCAATATTCTCTAAAACATCTAAACAATGCATAGTTGAAAATAAGTTACTAATAAAAATAACATACTTTCTGCATTTGCAAATCTGATGGCAAGCACCTCTTCTTTGCTTTCTTCATCTGCAAAATCTCCTGTAGTGGACCAAACCCATGCCCGATCACTGCCACAGTTGGGTTTTAGTTCCATCGAGGGATAGACTGAAAAAAAAAGTTTTCAGACAAAAATCTAAAAACTGTATAAAAGCAAGTATCGTAGTATATACCTGGTTCTTACAGATTTTTCCAGAAAAAAAAAAAACAGGCTTAATGCCGATACTTAATCCTGTCAAATCTACAGGGATATAAAAATGGACAACAATATTTTTTAAAAAATCAGCACCAGAAATTTTCCAGACATTTAAAAGTGGGAAATTCTTCAATATTTAACTTTTTTTTTGACAAAATAAGTAACAAATCAGAGGTGCTAAAAAAAAACAAAGCAAAAAAAAGTAAAGTTTTACTTACTATAGTGATTGGCACAAATTTTCAGTGTTTTGTCTCTTCTCATTAAAATCCTAATCAGGCCGTTTTTTTTATGTTTCAAAATTTTGCATTCTCCTGTGCCTCTTTCTTTCCACTCTTTAGGCTCTGCATCATGATCATAGCGGAAAAGCTTTGCTCTCCTGTTAACGATAAGTAAAACAAAAGGCTATACTTCCAACCTTCTATTGGTTCAGATTCATTATTTTTTTTGGGTCAGACAACGTGATAAAAGCACATTTTAAGATCAAAATGTCTGTCAATTTATACTAAAACCATGTATCTTAAATTTTAGCAGTTTCTAGTTTCTTTCAAACTTTGCATGTTGATAAAACAGAAACTTAAAAAAAATTAATTTTTTAAAATTAATTAAAATTAAAAATGTATATCCAGCCTAGCTATATTTAACTATAATTTTAATACTGATATTACTCTCAGCACAAATATTTTTGAAATAAAAAAAAATCTTTATGTTAAGTAGGTATTTTTCTGATAATAAGCTATGAAGCAAGAAACAAAATATGTAACAGATGAACATTACTTACAAGTTTAACAACACTTCTTCATCTTCTTCCATTGTCTTGATCTCAACAAGGGACAACTTGACAATGGGTTCAAAATGGATTTCTGGAGATTCTGGCACATGTTCTTCATGGTCCTGTTGAGTAATTTTCAACTTTAAATGAATAAATAATTTATTTTGTCAAGTGACACACAGATGTAATTAGCATCTGAAAAATCACACACAGGCCAATATTTTACAACATTAAAGGTTCTCCAGGTAGTAAACAAAAATTTAAAAAGTGCATTCAGAGCAAAATCATGGGTTCATGCAAAACAATCCATAATGATAACAGAGCTCAAGACTCAATATAAAGACTATTGTTATGCATTGTAGTGTTGTGCTCAGCTAAGTCTAAGGGCAGCCTATAGAGTAACTCTTCCAGATAACTAACACCCTGTAAGGTGCAGAGATGATCACAAAGTATAGCTGATAGTTTTGGATGGTGTCAGTAAAATGTGAGATGCAAAAATAATAATGGCTAAAATTGCTTAACTGAAAGATAGGTGGATAACCCTTCAATAACTCTAATAGTTTACCAGATAATGAAGTGCCACGTCATGATCACCTCCGTATCTCTCAGTTTGAATAGGCCTAGTAATATTTATTTTAAGTTTTTTCTGGAAGAGATACCTCCCCTACTGAGGTTTTTCCATTCCAGGGCAATTTTTAATACCAGTGTCCAATGATAGAATTTTCTTAAAAAAAGGGGTGTAAGGTTACTGGTAGTTAACTAAAATACATACATGGCGTGCTAATGTCACTGCTAACCTTATCCCTAACTCCAACTCTAGTCCTACCATACACCTAACCCTAATTTCTAACTATAAAATTAGTCGAGATACTACTAACAACCCAACACATCTATTTTTGGGACAGTCTATTATAGGACATCTGTATCTAAACTCATTCCAAGATTATTTAATTTTAATTTAACAGAACAGCAAAATTATAATAAGCCCACGAAGAGGCCAAACTGGAAATTTTTTTTGTTCCCAACCAGGATGACTGTTTTGAGAACATATAATTATAAGTTAGGCCTATATTCTGCTTTGGTTTTCATTCTATATCAAATAGTAATGAAATTAGTAATTAAATGCATTGAACCAGAGAGGAGTCTCATTTTCAGGTTAAGGGTATTTGGGGCTGGTAGAGTCACTCTACAATTTATTAGTTATAGTATATTAATGTTAAGTGTCTAGAAAATAGAAGTAGTCCTAGCTAGGGAAAATCTAGAGTAATGTGCCCCAAGCAATCATACATAGCAGAAAAATCTGAAATCTTGATTTTCTTAGGACGTTATGTTGTAACCATTACACATAGAATCAAACAAAAGTACTTTGTTACTCTAATTCTAATATGTATAAGTCATTTTGTATTCCTATGCATAGAATTTGAGATATTCTTGTTTTAATGACGATCCTCCTTGCGTATCAATGGTGTTTTATACGTTTAGACTCACTTTTAATAGATGAAATAAATATTTCACACATTTAGACATGTAGATTGTACTATTAATTAATAGAATGCAAAACAAAAAATATAAAAGTCTTAGGTTTTAGTTTTAATTGAATTTATTGGCATCCAGATCAAGATTTCTCTAGATCTAGAAATAAATCAAATTTACAGGTATTAATATAAAGAAAAGAATAGAAAATAATGTTTTATCAAATTATATATACAATAAAGTACTTCAGAACATACATTTATACAACATTAGGCCTACATAAACTATATACAAAGAAATTACAAAAATTCCAGAAATCCTTGCCACACACAAAATTAAAATGTTGCAGCTGCTCTGCGTTTAATTCGTTTGCTAACATCCTTCATTTTTTTGTGTTGGGTCATCCAAATCATCATTGTCCATCTTCATTCTTTTCGTTTTTATCATTTGTGCCTCATGCTTCTCCTTTGCCTCTTCTTCCTTTTTCTGTAGCCGCTCTTTTCTTTTTCTTTCTTTTATCAACTTCTGATACTCATTCATTTCATATTTTTTTCTTTTTGGCCTCTTCTCACAATAATATGTTGCCCACTTAATTTCTCTTAGTTTCTTCCTTTTCAAATAACTTCCTTAAAGTTTCCCATGTCCACTCACAAGGTTGGGCGTATTTGGCATTTTTTTTTGGATTTGCCCTTCCCTTTGGAGGCGAAAAAGGGGACCTTCTAAATGTCATCTATTGTTAAGGTAGCCTTCAACTGTGGCTCTTCAGGGACATTTATTTTGCTAACTAAATGCTTTTTGGAAAGATCTTCTTTAAGGAAGAAAACAAACTCTTTCAACACTTTTAGCTGCTGGGCACTGAATTCCTGTTCAAATCCAGCATTAGTTGGCTAGGTAGAAGACGACGGTTCAGTGTTGGTTCAGTGTTAGTGTTACATTGTAATGCAGATGATGATGGTTTGGGGTTGATCATGAAATTTAGTGCAGATGTTGATTGTTCACTTGTCTGTGTCAAAATCAAGAGGGGGCAGAATAATATGTTCATTAACTTAGGGCTGTTCATGTGTTGATGGTGGTTGTTTGCTAGTAGCTGTGGTTGAATCGCCTGCTGATGTAGCTCGGTAGACCATGCTTGATGCCAACTTGCCAGAATTTATAACATTCACTGGGTTATATGGGTATACTCCGTCAGTTTTAAAACTTTTAGTTGCTATTTCTGGTGTTGTCACTTTATCCCAAACAGGCCTCAAAACATCAGCAAATGATTCTTGTTTCACCCAGTGGTCTGTTACGCACTGCTTCAGCCCAGGCAGGCTTAATAACACCAAAAAAAGGCTTGGTCTAAGGGTTGCCATAGGCTAGAATACAGTATAGAATAATTAATTTTCTGAGCATAGTTCAGAAGTTTCCAGAAGCGATGTGTGGCCACCCACCAGAAGGACTGGCTTCTTGAGATGTTTCACAGCTGGGATGAAGCAGTCCCTAATCCACAAATGGAGTATGGTAGCATTGATACATCCATTGTCAGAAAGCTGTAAATTGGCGTCAGGAAATGCCTCCAGCAAATTGCGGTTGGGAATACGCCTGTATGGATAGATTAACAAGGGCGGGGTGTACTACCCAGCAACGCTAACGCAGGCTTATACTGTCACCTGATGTTTAGTATTCGACGTTACCTGGTAGACATGTTAAAATCCTTTACAGGCGACTACTTTTCTACTTTTCACGTCAAACCCGAAACCAGTCTCTTTGCGTTGAAAATCCTCTTGGGGGATTCTAAAATCATGGGATCAATTCCATCCACACTTGACTAAAATGTAGAAAACCAATTTTCTACCGCTCCTGGGGTAACTTCAGCTTTCTTTTCTGAGGGACATCAGGGTTCTGGTTGACAGTTGGGGGTGCCGCTTCAAAACCCATACAGCCACTGGTTTGGTGGAATTTCTAATTTGCGTTTAGAAGCAGCATTTCTCACAGTCAAGATGGCTTTAGCGGTTTCTTCGACATCGTCTTGTGTTCCATCAGCCACTTTGCAAGCCGGGTTTCCTCTTCTACTGTGAGCAGAGAAGAGTCTGTTTGGTGACGACGACTGGTCGTCTCCTGCTGAATTTATGATGTGAAGTAGAATGGATAATTCTTTAGATTTTATGCTGGTTATGGCAGCATTAACACCAGGGCTATGAAGAAAACACTTTTTTTTCACTGGTTGTTGAGATATGTTTGTATGCAGATTCAAACTAGATCTATAGCTAGAAGTAAATGTTCAAAAATCTTTTTAAACAACAGAAAAATTTAGAAAATCTATAGACTCAGATCTAGATTTAAATATATATAATCAAAATTAGATCTAGACTAGTCTGTGTGCCCAGCGAGGGTATAAAACAAAAAAAGGATTCCCCATTTCTTGAATAGATAGCTTTAATAGCCTTAACTATCGTATAGGGTACTATATATATAGTAGAGTGCAGCCTTAGAGGATATTCTCAGGATAAAGTGGAACGAAGAAATCCCGAACAAGGAAATACGACGAAGGACAGACTTAAACGACATTGTCTCAGAAGTACGAATGAGGTAATGGTGATGGTTGGGTCATGAACAGAAAAAGAACCCGAACATAGCACTAAAAAGGACTCCACCTGCAAAACAAAAGAGAGGAAGGCCACTGGGAACATGGAGGAGAGAGATGGAAAAAGTGCAGGCTACTGGCAAGACCTGGAATGAATTAAAAAAATATACACACACACAAACTACTGATACATTTCTAAATACATCCAGGTCAAATTATTTTGTTTTATAATTTTTAAAAAGTTTTGAGGTATGACGTCATATGAGATTCTAGTCCCCTGTATGAAAAACACTAGGTCCTGGATGAGACGAATAAAACCAACCAATCAAAGCTTTTTTATAACTAGGCTAACTATAAATAGCTTCTAGGTTATTTGTAGGACCCTGTAAATACCATAGTTAAGGCTTTTAAAGTGATCTGAGAGGAGAAATAGGGGCGGCCGCAGCTGGGAAACGATTAGGGTTTTTACCCTCGCAGCGTTACCTACGACTTGAACTAGACTAGCCTAGATCTACGACTTGAACTAGACTAGCCTAGATCCTCGATATTTAAATCTAAGTCTAGAATCTATAGGCCCTATATTTTCTAAATTTGTCTGATGTTTTAAATTATTTTCGATCATCTAGGCCTACTAATTCTAGATCTAGTTTGTATCTCTACACACAAAAATGTATAAGCAACTGTTACATTATATAGGCTTTTTGATGAGAATTACAGAATGATTTTTTTTATTAAAAATGTATTAATAATAGCTAGAATACTAGTAAACTAAGCTAATTTAGCATATTTTAACTTTCTGTGCAAAGTCATTATTACTGAAAAAAATTCCAAAGTCAGGTCAGCCTGTGGCACCCTCCACTGAACTTGAAAGAAGGAAAAAAAACTTGACCTGTGACCTTCATTAAAATAGAATTTACTTATGTTTCTTTTTAACTATTAGTAAACATGTGCTTAATATTACCCAATACGTAATAAAAATTTGACAATTAATTTTAATTACTGTTGTAAAGTGAGATAAACAGCTTAATAAACACGTGTTTTCTTGAGGGGGTGTGACCCGGGTGTGGCACATCGCATGTAACTTTTTATTTCTGTGTTTTATGACTGACTATTTGTTCACAATCAGCATGCTATGCTTTTAAAATTGATAAAGGGTAAGTATACCAAGCTACAAAACCTAAAATCTAACTAATAATTCATACTTTCAGTTTAAAAAATAATAAAAACGATTATCAATGAAGAAAGCGTAAACATTCTATTTTTAGGTGTGACATAAAAAAACAGTCATAAACCTAGCCAAATGATTGGATTCTTGCGCGGCACACATTTTCCCGCGCCTCGTGTTCACCAAAAAAGATTATAATAAAATGGCATTATTACTTGCACGGACCACATCTCATTCCGACCATAAGTTATTACCAGTTAATTGTAATGTGTGTAAAATTGATACTTTCAAGTTTCATATACACATAGTTTGGTTTATTATACACGGGGTATTTTAGAGTTATTTGATTCGAAAGATGAGAATTATATAGAGCTACTTTCACTAAGGCGCCGCTTGCGAGACAAACAAAGAAATTAGGCCAAAAGTAGATCCGACAATTCTTAATTAATAGACTTAAATAGAAACGGATAGTTCCGATTTCTAAAATTAACGATGGCTTCGTAATCATTAGTTTTATCCCTCTACCCATTAGTGAAAGCGAAACTGGTCGCCATTTTTGGTAAGCGCATGAGCCGTGAGATGGCTTCAAAACAACAAACCCGGAAGCTGTGAATCGAACGGCCTACATTATATTATATAGGCCTAGTATTAGTGATTGTTACGTCCAGTGTATTAAGTATATTATGGTTGCGCTCCTTGAGTGTTCACGGTGTCATCCATGTGTAGTAGTTAGGCCTAATAAATTTCATTAAAACTAAAACCTAAGGCTTTTACATTTTTTGTTTAGTAATTTATTAATTAATAATACAATCAACAACACATTAAAATGTGTAAAATATTAATTTCATTTATTAGGCTATAATTGAATAAAATCGTATAAAATATGGTTATTACGCGAGCGGGGCAGGCGGCCGCAGGTCATCACTAAAACATGAATCTCAAATTCTATGCGTAGGAATACAAAATGACTGATACATATTAGAGTGTAGAATTATATCAGTACTTGCAGATTGTCTCTAGTCTAGAACTCTAGATCTAGATCTATGTGAAACAGTTACAAAAATAGTGCCCGATGTCTTATTACTATAATAATCTAGAGAATAGATATTCTAGATCTAGATCTAATAGATATATATCTGCTGGAGTCTAGATCCAAGTCTAGACTAGAGATTCTAGTTCAGTGGTTCTCAGAGATTAACCTGTGAATACCCAAGGACTACGAGGAGTGTTGGCTTCAAAAATCAAAATCGTAGCCTAGGCTTAAAAAAATTTGGCCGAAGAGTAAGAATGCAATTAGTAGACTAGAATTTAGATCTAATAGAATTGTTAGGCCTAGATCTAGATGTTTTTATTATAAAAGGAAGGCCTAAGAACAATGAAAGTTTATGCTAACTCTGTCAATAATTCGACTAAATCAAACCATTTTGTCTAGAGTCTAGAGACTATGTCTAGTCCTATATGTCAGATTACATAGGTAATATAGATCTACTATAAATATATCAAATGAAACTAAAATATCGTTAGCTTCCTGTTATAAATTATGCAATAGACATTAATAAGCAATTTAAAGTATTATTTACTTTGTCATCTGCCATGATTGTGATGGATTGTTATTTCCCGCTACTATCCTTCTCAAATATAAAATTACGTTCTATAAGAAAATGTACAACTTCCGGTGATTACAAAAATAGAACCAAAAGACCTATTTCTCTTTGCGGTAAATTCGTAAAAATGTGCTGAGAGGGAGATAATTCCTATTTCTTATTCACTACTTTCACTATTACATTTCATCAGTTTCCGTTAGTGCTTAGGTACGACGAGTTCTGTTAACCGACCAGCCCACAGAGATACGCTGAGTCTATCTAAATTTAATATTTCTCAATTTAAAAAATTAGCAAGACCTAAAGAGTTTTAGCCATGAGTAGTCAATCCAAAGAGTATGATATTTATAAGGATTCACTTTTGAGATATCTGGGTAAGTTCAGTTTATCATAGGTTGTAGTTGTAGCATTCAAAATTAATTTTTGAGTATTTAATCTTAAAATCATATGAGTTAGTTAGAGGAAGGATTAAGAATTCCATTGGTACCAAATTTATATTTCTAGCTTCAACAGGAGAGGAGAAATAATTTTTTTTCTGTTTAAAATGTATGGTCTTATATAATCTCTGTAAAAAATGAAACTAGTGGGAAACAAAAATGAAAATTTTATAAAATATGTTTGCAAAAATTTTTTGAATTCTAATGATAAATTATGTATCAGGGGTGTTTCCTTTATGTAAATTTGCATTAATAATTGTGCAGGCTTGTTTCTGTTTGATGTTATGCTTTATTTTAAAAATGTACATTTTTACTATGACTAATTATATAGGAAAAAACAACATGGCTGATAAAGGTCCAAATCTTAAAAAATTCATAAAAAATGTATTTGTAAAATTCTGTCCCAATTTCTTTATAAAATAAGAACCACACGTGGTTTATTTAACTGATTTTGCATAGTTTTGTGTGCAGGCAAGTGTTTATATATTAAAATAAAGTTGATTTAGAGCATATATTGTTTTCAAATCAATTTTTTTATAAGCAAAAATGAAAGAAAATGAAAAGTAATTGCATTAGGCTATAGCTGAACCTCATTAGATTTTGAAAATGTAGTTGCTTTGTGTATTGGAAATTAATATGATATTAATTTAAAATTAATAAGAGACAGTGGTAAAAACAAAATTTGAAAAATCAGTCAAGAGCTCTGGGCAGGTTTTTGTATGAAAATTATCTCCCTTTGTTCTAATGCTACATACTAGTTTATCATGTTTCTGTCTGTAGTACTGTTGTGTACTGTGTAGTGCACGTCAGTGTACGACTACTCCCCTACTACTCTGTACCCTCTGTACTTAGTACTTAGTCTAGTTACTTACTATAAACGCAGCCGAAAATTATCTCCCTTTGTCCAAATGCTACATACTAACTGTTTAGTTTAGAGTTAGAGTGTAGAAGACTTAGATTTATAGATCATAGTCATAGATCATTAGAAGAGTAGTCTATACTACTCTATCTTTCTATACTATAGTCGCAGTCAACTGTCTACTGTACTCTGTACTACTGTACCAAGTCAGCCATAGCCGGCCATAGGTGTACAGTAGTGTAAGACTGTAGAGTGTAGACTGGCAATAGGTAGAGTAGAGTAGTGTATTGAGTGACTATGTCTAGAGACTAGTAACTTAACTAGACTCCAGTTATTGCCTAGTGCTTAGTAAGTTAGTATAGTAGATCTAGTTACCTAAGTTAGGCTAAGTACTGGTCTACAGTACAGTTGAGTAGATCAATTCTAGTTATGAAGGAAATTTATTATTACTTCTTTAAAATGATCTATTTTAGGCATATTGTATATGCAGTATATGCTGTGATGCAGATTTAGTTGTTTTTATATAATTGCCTTCCATTCTTTAGGATATGCAAATGAAGTTGGTGAATCTTTTCGCAACATTGTTCCAGTGAATGTGGTTTGGTTCAGCTATCTACTAGCCACTGGATATGTTGTTGCAGATGCTTCTGATAAAGGCTACAAGATGTGGAAGGTAAAGTTGTATAAATATACCAAGTTAAAAAAAAAAAAAAAAGATGAATGGTTTAATCAATAATGGGCCGTATTTAGGTGGCATCCTAGAGAATTAGGTTAGCAATAAAGCGACGGCTTGAACCTCCCTTTTATCTTTTATGCGATAACTTGAAAGATAGAGAAAGTGAACTTCAGGAAAATGAATTTAGTCCAACTTAAAGAAGAATGTCGAAGAAGAGGAGCAAAAATAAGCAGAAGAAGAGATCTTGTAGAAAGGTAAAGTTTTAATATATGTTGATTGAATTTGCTTGCTAGATTCATTTTAAAAAGAAGTTGTTCTGACTAATTTATTTATTATTTAGTAAAGTGTGTCAGGGTCGTCTCAGGTAATCTAAATGAATAATCAGATAGTCTAATTAAATAGTAGTGTAACTGACAGTATTATTAAGTTAGGGGTTAGTTTTATTTTTGCTTTGTACAAGCCAATGTTAATAATTATTAGGATATATTTCCTTCTTATATTCTGACTTTTAGGTTGGAATCTTATGCAAAGAACACAACTTTGGCAGAGAGGAAAAGTTGCAGCCAGAGTTTCAAATGAACATCCCAGATATTTTATTCTGTGATGAAAACACAGACTCAGTTTTACCAGATATTTTCATGATGCCTTACTTGCAATCATGCCATGCATCTCTAACCCAAATTGCACAATCTATGTACCACGAAAGGTATGCTGAATGATCAGTTTGGCTAAAGATTTAATTAGTCAGTGATTCAAGTCATTATTTTTTAATTGCTTAACTGTTAACATAATACACTTTTTTATTCACGTATATGTTGAATACCTGAGGCAAGGAGTGGCCAATGATTATTTGAGAGCACAAGTTATGTCTCAGATGAAAAAAACCAACTGTATGGTGGACATGAATGGGGTGACTTTGGAGGCACAATGTGAGTGCAGCAGGCATGGGACCCCATTCTCATTGCAAGCATGTCCAGACCATCATTTACAGCTTGAGCATTTATAAAAATGATGGATTTGTGTGTTCAGACATGCACTGAAAAACTACTAGGGTTTCATGTGGTGAACAAGCACACAGGATCACCCTTAAAAACCCCATCTCCAAGTATGCCAATTAATAAGGCAACAGAAAAAAAAAATTAAATAACTTAGCTCGAGTTTTAATGAATAAATGTGATATAAGATATTAGTTTGCCTGCCTTAGGCATGGTCATAAATATGAAGCTGGTGCCTCTAGCATCTTCTCCTGATGGTGTTAAAGCTGATGCTAATTGGCTGAAGCATGTTGTTAAGGCTAAGTGCCAATATGTAGCTAGACAAAACATTATTAATCCAACAAGTGTTCCTTACCTGTGAACCACTGATGATGTTTTGGGTGTTAAAACAACTCATGATTATTATTATCAAATACAAGGCCAACTGCTTTTTACTGGTGCAAGGAGGGCATATTTTATAACTTATACATTTTCTGATTTTAAAGTGTTGTTGATTGAAAGAAATAATGATTTAAAAAATCAGTATTTTTAAAATTATCTAATTTTTATGATAGTCAATTTAAACCCATTTGGTAGTAATGTTTTCCCCCTCAAATTTTGCCAGCATCGTTGTGTTGAGAACATTCCAGTTGCTGAGAGAGCCCTTGAAGTATGGCCAAATGTAAAAAAATTCATGCAATCACTTATATTGGCCAAGAAAGCACTAAAAACAAAATCCTTTGAGCAACCACAAAGTTGTATGGCTGATCCCCTTTTAATTACAAAGGTTGAGAGCTTTATTTCACTGGCTAAAGTGCTGCAGCCGTTTCTTCTGAAATACCAACAAGACTTGTACACACTTCTTGGTCCTCTGCTCCAAAGATGTATAAAGGCAGACGGTTTGAAAGAATGTGTATCTATTTCCTCTCTCTTGTGCTTAGATCTCAATATAACAACTTCCTGCCAATTGAGGAGTTAGACATTGGCTTCAACGTGAAAAATACTTTAAAGGAAGCCAAGAAAACAGCTAGCTCAAAGGATATTCTGAATTTCAGAATGCAGTGCAGAGCATTCTTGGTAGCAACAATAAAAAAAAAAACTAAACAAGTCTCCCATTAAAAACCGCCTTGTAAGAAGCTTGCAATGGATGCAACCAAAGAAGATTGTCAATGATTTTGGTGGCTGCCTCAAACAGCTTGAGTTCACATTGAATTGTCTTGTCAGTCTGGGCAGAGTCAACCCTGACTCCTGTGACTCGATTAAAACGCAGTATACGGAATGGCACTCCAGTGTTGTTGCTCAAAATTCTGGTGCTTTTGAAGTCTTTAGCTTGAGCATGCACCGCCTTGACAGTTTTTAAAAAAATATTTACAGTGCTAGTGCTATCGCATGGACAAGCAGCTGTTAAAAGGGGCTTTAGTACAAACAAGGAGGTAATGGCAAACAATATGTCTGAGAAGTGTTTAATTTCAAAACGAGTGATCTGTGATCACATGGCATCAGTTGGTGGCTTAGATAACATTGTTGTAACAGGGAACATGTTAGCAGCAGCATCCAGCGCCAGAGTAGAGTATAGGGCTTTCCTGGAGGAGTCAGCTAGCCAGAGAAAAGCCTTGTTATTAAAAAGAAAGAGGGAGGATGACTATGCTGAATTAGACACCTTGCAAAAATAAAAGAAAATTCGGCTGGAAAGGGACATGGCCTATCTAACAGAGAGTCCTGATAAGCTGGCAGAAAAGGCAGAAAACACTGGCAGCCATAAATTCTTAATTGAATCAAACTCTATGCGCCGCTCTGCCAGACATAAAAAGGGAGAAATTGCCACCTTAACTCTAGCCATAGAATAGATGCTAGGGTGAAAAAAATTGGCAATGAATGATTCAGCATTGGTGGATATTTATTTGTATATATTTGTATATTATAGAGTAACACTGTACATAGTGTAAATACAAATTGTGAATAGTCAGCAATTTATTTAAAAGTATTATAATGTAAGCTTTTTTATTTTTTATGCAATTTGGGTTTCTTTTTTGTTTCTAAAATCTCCTGGAATTTTTTTGTAAACTCCTGGAAAACTCCTCAAATTTTATTTGAACTTTTGAACATGAACCCTGGTTTTATCAAAATCTAATATTTTTTTTCAAGATTGATCATGATTAATACTAGCACTACTGTTGTATGTTGAAACAAAAGTAACTTTTTGTAAAGTTTTGTTTACCATTTTATTCATTATAATAATAATATGTACGATTTTTCTACATGTAATATAATAATGTATACATTTAGCAATTTTTAAAAATTTAAAATTATATTTCACGTGACATAATTTAATTTGATGTACACAAGAATAAAGGGACTTTAAAATGTACTCATTTTAATACTTTCATCTGCACTTGTTTTGTTGTAATTTATAATTATATTGATGAACATTGTTTCACAAATAATAGCACCTAAAATGACTGACCATTACCATACAACAAAAAGTTCATTCATATGTTATACAGCAGTTCTTTATGTGATACAAATTTAAGTTTAAGAATTGGGGGGGGGGGGACAATTATTTTCCTGAAGTTACATAAAAAAAAAACATACCTTAAGTATTTGAGTAGCTAGTCTACATTCTGTTGAATTGAAAAGCTGTTAACAAATTTTGTAAACTTTGGCCATACCAATAATCCTTTCAACATGAACCCTTTTGCTTGAAATGAACCTATCTCAAATAGCAGTTAGTGGATGAAGCTTATTTGATTTCTTAAAGAATATTTTAAGTTAAATCTTTCCTAGCAAATAAATCCTGAACATTGAACCTTTGTCTGCAATAGGATTTATATAGGCAACACTTAGCTAAAGGCCTACGATCTGGTATAATATATATATAACATACCTATTTGTATTATAATTTATACAATGACCACTGCCAACATGCTTATAGATCTAAATGGAGTATTGTATTGTACATTAAGTAAGGTGGTAAATTTACCTGTTGCAATAGTTGAATAGGCCTAACAATATAATGTAACAAGTGATATCATTAAACTTTTAGGCTTCATAGGGGTCATCCATAAACAACAAAATGCTTTTTAAAAAGTGTGTTTTACCTGTCCCCTCACACCTCAATCTACAACCCCTCCCCCCATGAAATTACACTTTTTGGTTTTTAAAACATCAATTTCTTTCTTAGACATTACCTTAGCTCAGTCAACATTTAGTATATTTATCAATTTTTATTACACTTTACAAAAACAGTCTTTTAAAAATGCAAAATAACTGCTAAAATTCAGTTTCTCACATTTATTTTTTTAAATGCAATTGTGTGTCATCGTCAAATTTTCGGAACACTCCTTCCCTTAAATACACATCGTTGCAAAATTTGAATCCCGTTAGAGGTGGGATATCATTTATAAACAAACGCTTATTGAATCACTAAAATCTACAAATTTTAAAATAGTAGTTAAATATTATTTCAATAATTTCATTATAACTATGAATGTCTGTAGGCATACAAATATTAATAAAAGTGTTTTTTTTTTAAAATTCTATCTTCAAATAGAAAGAGGCCAAGGTGAATAAGGCTGCTATAGCTACAGTGGACACTCTTATCTGGCAAGGACTGGCATCAGTTATTGTGCCAGGTTTCACAATCAACCGCATCTGTTGGGCAACTAGAACTGTTCTGCAGCGAGCCACCAAACTGCCGGGTCCTGTTAAAAAATGGAGCGTGGTGGCGATGGGCCTGGGCAGTATACCATTCATTGTGAAACCCATTGACCGTGGTGTTGACTGGTTCATGGACCACACTTTTAGGAGACTTTATGGGCACCACTAGACTCTTATAGATCTGTATACTTTGTTGCTAATACATTTTAAAATTATACTGCTACTATTCGAGATCTTCTTGTTTTGAAAAAGCAGATTATTAATTAATTTTTTTGTTAATTTTTTAAAACAGATTTATTTGTGTGATATTTTGATATTAGGACTTTTTTGCTCTATGCACCAGATATTTTTCAGGAAATATAAATAATAGAGCCTGTAGAAACATCAAACCTGCATTAACATTAGTTTAACAGCTGCAGATCAATCTGCCATTAACTTTGATCAAAATATGTTCAAATGACTTGTGCCTATGTCATTGTTGTTATAAATACCTCTAAAGCTTAAATTGTTATGTTTCATAACCCCAGCATAATATACACAAACCTCATAGATAAAATTTCAATATGTATATATATAAATATGGACCATTAAAATTTGAAGTATTTTCATATATATATAATTTATGAGTTGAAATTTAATCACTTTGGTTATATTTTAGAATATGCATCTGGCAAATATAGAGTATTCTAACTTACTCCTAAATATTCTTGCAACCCTTTCATTGATTGCCAGTTTTTATTGTTGTATTTGATCTCACTTGCATTGTTAGTTTGAATCCTTCACTCAGATATCCCATTTTGGTAGCATATTATCAACCAAACTAGTGTTTTCCATTTGTGTTTAGATAGTTAATCCATCCCAATAAGGGCACATGTATATTTTTTGTGGTTTAATAATATTTAATATGAGCTAATTTTTGTAAATATGTTTTGTTTGATAAGAAAAGTGGATTATTAATAACCAGTCTTGATCAAAATCATAAAAGTACAGATTTTATCTTTTTCAGCACTATAATTTTGTACTAGTGTTTTCAATTATTATTTTTATTTAAATCATTTTCTGTCATGGCCAGGATTTTTGTTTGGGATATTATTCCCTAAGATTTTTTTTAGACTAGTTTGTTTTAAGAATGTTTTAGGTAATTTTTTTTGGTTCACTCATCATCATGAGGTGTCCAGTTAATGTTTTTTATTAATTATAATTACTGTTTCCTAGTATTAACCAGATGATTTATATTTTATCTATTGTGTTATTTTTGTTATTAGTATTTATAAAAAGTACAAATATTCAAGTATTATCTGTGATATGCTCACATATGAGGTAGTGTTTTCCTGACTTATCATGTGGCTAAACATGCTACGGAATATTTATACCAGTAGCTTTCATATTCATGATAAAATAGTGTGCATCCATAATTTAATTACAAAAATGTTTGTCAGTGTGTATGTCAGTCGACATGATCTCACTTTTGACATAACTTGTTATGCTGGTTTTAATACTCTGTATGTGTTTCAGACTGAATTTTGAAGTTACAAAGGGTTATAATTATTTCAACAATTAATATAGTAACTGTTTAAACTTTATGAGTGTATTTTTAACCATACCATATCATTGGGTTTACAAAATGTATGTGATAATGTTATGTGAATTAGGATACATAAGTAAAGTATTTGTCCGCATAGCCTGGTCTCATAGGGATTGTTTATTTTTGTTAGGCTATGTTTGATTAAACTCATATTGACTTTTTCTTCCATTTATATTTGACAAAACTCCACGAAGTTATTAAACTCCACTAGAATTTGGCTTCTATTTATGTTTGTTTGACTAAACTCCACTAAAATTTGGCCCCCATTTATATTTGACTAAACTCCACAAGAATTTGGCTTCCATTTATATATTTCACTAAATTATCATAATTGGCTTCCATTTATAGTTGTTATCTTTGAGCAGCTAGTATATGTCTTTGTGTGGTGAAGTTAGTTTTTATATGATAGAACCAGGATTGTATATGGTCATGACATATACTGTAGGTGTGTTTTTGTATGTTGTAGCTGGGTTGTATGTTTTAGATGCTTGGGTTGTTTTAGCCAAGCATATTGACAGTGCCTTGACAGGTTGTGCTTGTTATAGACCAATAGACTCCTCTGTTACAAGTTTTTTCAAACTATGCAAATAAAATTTAAAGTTGAGTTTTACTTTAGAAATTGTTTTTCTTTGACTCTTTGGGTCTGTGTAGTGTGCTGTGTAGTTATGTGAATGAGTTAGTGTGGAGTGTAGTTAATTGAGTCAGAGAGAAGTGTGGTGTGTAGTTATTTGAATGATTTGGTGTGGTGTGTAGTTATTTAAATGAGTATAACTAAGTATAATGTAGTTCGGAAGTTGGGTCTACGATGTTAGGGCAGGTGGAAAGTCAGAGGTAATTTGGGGGGAGGGGGGAATGTCCTCTTCCCAATTTTTTAGCCAGGGGAAAATTGAAATCTCCTTCCTTAGTTGTTTGGTCAGGTGGAATGTACAGAGATAAAGAGATAATGGGAGGGGGGGGGAGGGAGGTAATGCCTTACTTTAATTTTTTTTTGTGGCAGGGGGTAATGTCCTTCTATGTTTTGTTACCAATGCAGTAGTCGTTGTGCGAGTTGTGTAGAACTATTATTGTCCTTGTTGATTAGTCATACCAGGTGCTTGGTGCTTTGAGGTAACGGAAGGGTCTGTTTTATGTTTAATCAACATCTCTCCTTTACTCCTGTACAAGTTTCCACAATCTGCTTCCACAGTCAATCGTTTTTGTGTTTGCGTTTTCTTTTGTGTTGCGTTAGTGTTTGTATTTTTGTTTGTGTTGTTTTTTTTTTGCGTTTGCATTGTTTTTGTGTTTGCGTTTTCTTTTGTGTTGTGTTTGTGTTTTCTTTTGAGCTCGTGTTTTGTTCTGTTCCCAAGTTGATACATTTAAAAAAGATTCACATTGGCGGAGCGCGGGTATGCAGCTAGTATGATTATATCGCAGACTATGCCGTGTCTTCTCATTCGTCCGCATCATATCGCTCTACATAACACGCTTGTAAAGTCACTCGACCCAATCGCTTACCTTGTTACACTCCATAACTCCGTACAACACCCACATACACAGAAGTCACACCGTCTCGCTTCAGTGCACTCCTTATCTTCACTACCGACTCCACACATTTCAATATCACCACAGCAGGTCTGGTTTTACCGTAAGACTGTGGATAATTTATTATTTCAAAATACTTCAAGAGTTCACAAAGACCGTCCGTGCCTTCACACAAATAAAAACATCAACTTTCTTATTATTCACTTGGTGAAAATTTTACGGTTATATGAATCATTGTTCGATATTGCGCACCATAGAATGTGCATTGAACAATCGGCGCACACATTGCAACATTCAGTCTTTTACTGCACACATAAAAACAAATTACGGTGTCAAAGAGAATCGATGCTGAATTATCTGTGTCGAATGTTTTGAACTCAGAAAGACGTATTAAGCGCTTAATTAATTTATTCGAGAAAAAACACTACCAAGATTATGCTAGTGAAATTTTTTTAAAAGTCTAACACAAATAGGTCATGCGTTTAAGAAAACATGACTTGGTTTTAAGAAAAACTTGAACATCAACATATATAAAGCTGACACCGGGTATTCAGTAGGCGGTGGTTTGTCGACATGGTATTCCATCCTATATTGTCGATGTTTTGATTCGGTGACTATCTTCCTGGGACTATCGTAAGTTGACGTGGCAGTATTTTGAGCAGTGAAGGCTGCCTTGGCCTCTCATCTTCAAGGGAGGTTAGCGTCCTCCATGTATAGGTAGAGCAAGGCACTCCCGCAGGGAAATGGCTGACCCATTCATGTTCTTTCCGCTTAGGGCTCTTGGTAAGTCACGTGATGTGGGTGTTCCCCCAATGTAGCCTAGAATAAAACTTAAAGTAGTTAAGTAGTTGTAAAGCTGTCGCGTATATTTATTTTGTATAATAGCCTTATATTAGTTTCATAGAGCACAGCGCTCACAAAATATATTCTGCTCACTTCCATGTGCTCATTCGATGGAATGTTGAGTTGATGTATCAGGTTATGGCGGAGTTGATGTTTCTGTTGTCAGGTTATGGAGTTGATGTTTCTATTGTCAGATTATGGTGGAATTAAGTTGATTTTATCAGGGTATGGTTGAGTTGATGTTTCTATTTGTCAGATTATGGTGGCGTTGATGTTTCTGTTGTTAGGTTATGGTTTAGTTGATATTATCAGGTTATGGTTTAGTTGATGTTGTCAGGTTATGGTTGAGTTGATTTTGTCAGGTTATGGTTGATGTTTCTAATTGTCAGGTTATGGTTATGGTTGAGTTGATGTTTTCAGGTTATGGTTGAGCTGATATTGTCAGGTTATGGTTGAGTTGATTTTGTCAGGTTATGGTTGAGTTGATGTTGTCAGGTTATGGTGAAGTTGATATTGTCAGGTTATGGTTGAGTTGATATTGTCAGGTTATGGTTGAGTTGATATTGTCAGGTTATGGTTGAGTTGATTTTGTCAGGTTATGGTTGAGTTGATGTTGTCAGGTTATGGTTGAGTTGATATCGTCAGGTTATGATTGAGTTGATGTTGTCAGGTTATGGTTGATGTTTCTAATTGTCAGGTTATGGTTATGGTTGAGTTGATGTTTTCAGGTTATGGTTGAGCTGATATTGTCAGGTTATGGTTGATGTTGTCAGGTTATAGTTGATGCTTCTATTGTCAGGTTACGGCTACGCTATTGGCGTGGGCCTGCGCTACCGCTTTTGTGACGAGCTGCAGAACTCATGCAAGACGTTCGGGCTGACATTTGTCATGTGTCATGTGGCGCACAGCATCTGGGAGAACGTGAGTAGATAAACAGGTCATGTGAGTCAGTCACTTAGTAGATAATTAGGTCACGTGAGTAGGTTGTACAGTCATGTGAGTATATCATTAGGTCATGTGAGTATATCATTAGGTCACGTGTGTAGATCATAAGGTCACTTAGTAGATCATTAGGTCACGTGAGTAGATCGTTAGGTTACGTGAGTATATCGTTAGGTCACATGAGTATATTGTTAGGTAATGTGAGTATATCGCTAGGTCATGTGAGTATATCGTTAGGTCACGTGAGTATATCGCTGGGTCATGTTAGTATATCTTAAGGTCATGTGAGTATATCGTTAGGTCATGCGAGTATATCGTGAGCTCACGCAAGTAGGTCTTTAGATCATCAGGTGAGTTGCTCATCAGTTTAGGCAGTGGCGTAGCGAGGTCGGGTGTCACCCGGTGCGGCACTTAATGGTGTCACTCCCCCCCCCCCCCCACCCACCCAGAGGCGTAGCGATTCTTCCCGGGGACAAACTTTCAATTTTCGATTTGCAACCCCCCCCCCTCGAACTTTCGATTTGCACCCCCCCCCCCTCAAACTTGCACTCCCCCCCTCAAACATTCGATTTGCCCCCCCCCCCCTTCTCAAATTTTTCTCTCTATATAATATTTTACTATTTTTTGCCTTGGTGTCATCCCCCCCCTAAATATTGTCACCCGGTGCGGTGCGCACCCCCCGCCCCCCCCCCCCCGCTACGCCTCTGAGTTTAGGTGATTATATACAATATATACAGTGTTTCTTCCAGACTTTTTTCTCCGGGGGGGGGGGCACTTGAAATCCCCCCCCCCCCCAAGAGATGCCTGGAAGAAACTCTGATTATATATCTAGGTCACGTAATTAGGTTTATCAACCACACTACTTTATCATCATCTGCAAACTACACCCCATTACCGTAACCCCCACGTTTTGCAGGCAATGTCAAAACAACTCTAAAGTTAGGAAGAAACCCAACAAAGGGCTGACAATCTCCACATTAGCCTTAGACAAACGTACACCACTGTTGTATTTCAGACTGATCTCCCCAAGTCCCAAGTTGCCATCATCGCCACGGACGCTCTCATCTTTGACGCACTGTCCTCCCTGCTCATACCCACCCTCATCACTTACTACGTCAGTCAGTAAGTTAAACTAGATACATTTATTTACACAAATACTAACATATTGTATGTGTTGCTATTTTTGCTATCGTTTTGACAAATGGCCTGAATATAACTTTATCATAGTAGTTTCAATATATGTATATATATATATATATATATATATATATATATATATATATATATATATATATATATATATATATATATATATATATATATATATATATATATTTATATATATATATTTATATATATTACATTCATATAGATATACATTTTATATATATATATATATATATATATATATATATATATATATATATATATATATATATATATATATATATATATATATATATATATTAGTTTGAATGTGAAATTGTGGTTTTTTAACATTCGAAAATTTGAATACGCCACGAACGCACTGTCGCCAAAAACAGTGACCTAACATCAACAAGCTATTGTTTTGAAAGGGGGGGGGGGTGTTCGAGCCCCTCCTCAACCACCCCCTGTCTACGCCACTGGCTTCGACTATTCCATATCCGAAATTGAATTTCTCGTATGTTCCAGCACTTGCCGAAGCATCCTAAAGAACTCGGACAACGTCCCTAAACCTATGTACAAGTGGGGGCCCCTGCTATCCGGCCTGCTAGCCCTGTGCCTGTCTGTGCGCCCCGTGAATGCGCTGGTCAACGTGCTGATGGACTCGACCATCAGGAATTGCTACGTCATCCCCGTCACGAATTGAGTCGGCGTCATCACCATCGCGTATTGAATCGGCGTCACCCCATAACTTATTAAGTTGGCGTCATCACCATCACCTATTGAGTCGGCGTCACAACATCACCTCCATCAGCGTTTGCATAACATCATCCACTGATATTATGAATAAATATTCATCGACAATAAATTTTCCATAATAATTTATACAGTGTTTTCTATCAACTCGTGATATTTCTCCTGTCTGACTATTGTGAAGATTTGGTAATATGTGTTGTGGTCAATTCTAAGTCTAGCCGCCTTTACTTTCCCTATCATGTGTCAGTTACCCATCATAGCTGGGTGGACTACATACTCTTTCTCGGGATTGGAACTACTTTGGGGTAAGCAGTTGTTTGCTCTACCGTCCCATCACGCACACCAACATGTAACTGCCAACTGCCAACATCGTTAATCAGGCGATGACCTACCCAAATTCGAGACGTAATTTTACCATGACTTTATTACTTAAATAAATTATGTGTGATTTTAAATAAAACACACCTTCCATTCCTAAATCATAATACACACTGGGCCGTAGAGCATTTGCCTTTAACTTTGTTTCAATTGAGACATCTTTCTTGATGCTCTTTTTCAATAATACTGACTGATCAGCTACACTGCGATATGAACTAAAAGAAAACACGTTTTAATTTTAGACAACTAAAATCCGTGTGAAGGAATCTTTCGTAAATGTTGTTACGCTTTTAATCCCGGTTTTGTTGGCTTATCGATTTTACTTTTACATTGGCCATAAAAAAAATTGAAAAAAAACAAACAACAAAAAACAACTTAAGCACGAGAAAAAAATCAGATTTTTATTTTTTTATTAATGATATAAAAGTTGTAGATGCAGAGAGATTGAAAATAATGTTTTGGAGTTGAAGGCTAGATTTATTTTATTTTATATTACGCATACGTTTTAACCTGAAGTTTCACTTTTGTAAGACAACAATTGATTGGCTGTACAGGAACTTCGTGATCGATCTCATGAAAATCGCACTTTGTAGTAATTTTTTTTTCAACCCCATAAACCAATCTAGCTCTGTATTACGTGTTGACATTTTCAATGATAAAATGAAAAGCAACCGAACTGTTTTTGGCTTTTAAAAATTGCGTTTAGTCCCAAAAATACTAAAAAGATTAAATACACCCAATCATTAGTAAAGTCTAACAAAAACCTCAGTATAATGATTTTATAACCACATTTATTTGAATAACATCGCACCCGTTTTTTTCAAATATTTAAAAAACCATCTGAGACTATGTTAGAATCTGTTTCAATGCAACCTGAAGAATAAATTCAAAATGCGATGTTTTTTTTTTTTTAAATTGTGCCTGTAACCGGGATTTCCCGAACCCTGCACTAGTGCTGAACAACATCGAGTGCACACAGCAAACGCTTCTTGTGTGGGTGGTTAGAGCGATGGTTACTCACCCAGTTCCGGTAAAATAGATCAGGTAATCGGTGTTTGGTGACAGGAATACGGGCTGGTACATTTGATTTAACTATCAGACAGTTGTAAATAAACATGCAGTGGGGGGGGGGGGGGGCATATTTGTTTGCGAAAATTATGTTCGATAAACCCAGTTGGATCTAAAAATCATTTAAATTCTAGCTAGATCTAGATTCTAGATCTAGACGTAGCCTAGATTTAGATCTAGAATCTAGATTTAGATCTAAATCTAGATCTAGATCTAATCTATAATCTATACATTCTAGATTTATCTATTTAAATCTTGGTCTAATTAAGTCTAGTAGGCTAAGGTGTCGGTTCCAGGGTCATATTTAGAGCTAGGGTTAGGGTTGTGTTAAAGTGGGTTTAGAGGTCGTCTATAAATGACGTCAAACTCATAGGGGGGAGGGGGGTTGGTAATTTGTGTGATGATAAAAAAGCAATGTTAGAAAACGAATTTTAGATGTTATTTCGCGTTTTAAAAAATGTTTTAATAAATTGTAATAGGAATTACTTAAAATACTCTATTTTGACAGAGTTCAGACAAGATTTTGTAAAAATATCGATGTTTTAAAAAAAAAAAAATTTAACTGCAATTTTGAGGGGGGGGGGGGGGGGGGTTGTAGGCTGAGGTGTGCCGTCGTTTTAGGGGGGGGGGGGTCAAGCTTTTTGTGACGATGTGTGACGGAGGGGAGGGGGGGGGGGAGGTAAAAATCGTCAAAATAAGCGTGACGTCATTTATAGATGACCCCAAAGTATACATTATCTATATAAATTATGTATAATTTCTATTTCGTCCGGAGGGGTGGGGTGTGGACGTGACCAAAAGAGATGCCTGGATACATTGTAGTTATTAGTAAGTCAACAATTTTTTTTTTGTTCTTCTTCATCACAGGAAGGGGAGAGTACCTCTAGCTAGACAAGAGAGTCCAAAGGGAGAGAACCAACAGTAGCCAGAAGAGTGAACAGTTTTAAAAAGCAAGTCACCGCAGAAGACGAACTGGCCCAACAATGGCGGGCGGACCCTTCGATGGACTACCCCTCCGTGGAATAGGTCAGTTAAAGATGTTCACATAGAAGCTATTCTGTTGAGGTGTTCGGTAACTTTTAGCTCTTCAGTTGCATCAGAGGTGTAGCGACCCTTCCCGGCGCCCGGGGACAAACTTTCGAAGTGCACCCCCCTCAAACTTTCGATTTGCACCCCCCCTCGAAATTATGATTTACACCCCCCCCCCCTCAAACTTTCAATTTGTTTTTCCAACCCATTTTGGCGCCCCCTGCTAAGGTCGGCGCCCGGTGACATATGTCCCCCCCCCATCGCTACGCCTCTGAGTTGCATACACTTATTTGTATGATAGAATGGATCTCCTTGTAAAAGTGTGTTAAATAAATGGGTTAAAATGTAAGTGAACTTTCTCTTTAGCGATCCATTGGGCAAATGAAGTAGAGTTTATATGTTTCTTGACCTCAGCATATAAATGGATGTTGTGGCCAGCACTATGTAAAGCCGACTTTACTTTCCACATCAGGGATGGGTTGACTCAGGGGGGTACATACGTCCCCGGGCGCCGACCTTAGGGGGCGCCAAAATGGGTTAGAAAAACAAATTAAAATCTCATTTTTGGTGCAGTTTTGCATTATAAATATAAAATAATATAACGGGGGGGGGGGGGGGGGGGAGCCGCAAATGAAAAGTTTGAGGGGTGGGGTGCAAATGGAAAGTTTGAGGGGGAGGGGTGCAAATGGAAAGTTTGAGGAGGGTGCAAATTGAAAATTGAAGGTTTGTTCCCGAGGGGCGGGGGGGGGGGGGTTGTCCCCGGGCGCCGGGAAGGATCGCTACGCCTCTGACTCAGGGGCAGCCTACAGTCAGTCCGAATCGAGATCCGAACTCGAGAATACGCTCTGCCATTGGGTCACGCCATCCCACCAAAAAGTAGATCTGGAATTGTTTTTTTGCGGTATTTTTCAATTCACGATATCAAAACTATCCGGCTTGCCATTTACTCTAATATAATGGAAATAGTTCTCTTAAAAAAAAAACATCGCCGATTATTAAGGTTGGCATTTGAAAAGAAGTTGCTAAGAGGTGGATTATATTTGAAGTTGGTGCATAATGTATGTAAAAATGACCCATTATTAATAGCGGCCTATACTTAAATATGGCCTACAGTAAATGATGACCAATTAGTAGCAGTGTTTCTTCCAGACTTTTTCTCCGTGGGGGGGGGGGGGCACTTGAAAATTTCGGGGGGGGGGCGGACAACAATTTTCGGGGGGGGGGGGATGCGGACACTAGTAAAAGTGTATGTTTATTATATAAAATACATCTCGTTCGGGGGGGGGGGGGGGGGGGGCGGTAGACTTTCTTCGGGGGGGGGGGGGGTGCTCCGCCCCCCTAAGAGATGCCTGGAAAAAACTCTGATTAGTAGGAGTATATTTGAAGGCGGTCCGTGTTTATATAAAGATGACCTGAATTTAAAAGGTGGCCAAAATTAAAACGGTGACTAGTATTTAAAGGTGGCCTATACAAACAGGAGACCTGTTTAATTAGTTTCAAGGTGGCGTAAAGGTAAAGGTGACATGTGTTTAACTAAAGGTGACCTGTATTTAAAAATGGCCTCTATATAAAGTTGGCCTGTATTTGAGTCAGAGGCGTAGCGAGGGGGGGGGGACGGGGGGAAATATGTCCCCGGGCGCCGACCTTAGGGGGGGGGGCGTTAAATTGAAAAGTTCGAAGGGGGGGGGGGGGTGCAAGTCGAAAGTTAAAGGGGGTGCCGGGAAGGGTCGCTACGCCTCTGATTTGAGTGGCCGACATGAACAAATCAAGCGTGACGATGTACTAATGAGCGCGTGTTGCAGGTTACGGGCAGGCGATTGGTGAGACGATCAGGTCACTGGCAACAGATCGAACCGTCAGGTTTTGTCAACTGGCCGGCGGTCTGTTCGTCTTGTTCCACATCCTCAGTGCTGCCCTGGATAAGGTGAGTTGTGCACGTGGGATGGGGTTAGGGACAGGTGGGTCATACACCTGGGATAAGTGGGTCGTACACTTGGGGCAGTGGGTCATACACCAGTTGCAGGTGGGTCATACACCTGGGTCAGTGGGTCATGCACGGACAGGTGGGTCATACACCTGGGATAGGTGGGTCGTACACTTGGGGCAGTGGGTCATACACCTGGGTCAGGTGTGTCATGCACGGACAGGTGGGTCATACACCTGGGATAGGTGGGTCGTACACTTGGGGCAGTGGGTCATACACCTGGGGCAGGTGGGTCATACACCTGGGTCAGGTGGGTCATACACCTGGGGCAGGTGGGTCATACACCTGGGGCAGGTGGGTCATACACCTGGGTCAGTTGGGTCATACACCTGGGGCAGGTGGATCATACACCTGGGGCAGGTGGGTCATACACCTGGGGCAGGTGGGTCATACACCTGGGTCAGTGGGTCATGCACGGACAGGTGGGTCATACACCTGGGGCAGGTGGGTCATACACCTGGGGCAGGTGGGTCATACACCTGGGGCAGGTGGATCATACACCTGGGGCAGGTGGGTCATACACCTGGGGCAGGTGGGTCATACACCTGGGTCAGTGGGTCATGCACGGACAGGTGGGTCATAAACCTGGGGCAGGTGGGTCATACACCTGGGGCAGGTGGGTCATACACCTGGGGCAGGTGGGTCATACACCAGGCGCAGGTGGGTTATACACCTGGGACAGGTGGGTCTTATAACTGGGACAAGTGGTTAAGACAACTGTGAGAGTGTTAGGGACAGGTGGGTCATACACATGAGACGGGAGTGTTTGGGATAGAAGAGTCATAACCTGAGGCAGAGGCTTGGTTGACTATTGAAATTTTATTTTACTGATTTCTTGTCAGTTGTACGTGACTAAATATGTCTCTCACATTCACTCACTCACTCACGCACCCACACCCACACCCATACTATATATATATATATATATATATATATTATATATATATATATATATATATATATATAGTCCTATTCGTCCATTATATTGTATGCTCCCCTGTAATCCTGTATACATCGTGTCCCAATGACAGAAAGATCCAGTTGATATGGTTAAAGCCGGCCTCGATGTTCTGTTTTTTGAAGCCCTCGCCTCTATCCTCATCCCTACTGTCTTCTGTGCGCAGGTGCTGAGGTAAGATTTGTAGTACAGGTGATGAGGTAATATTTGTAGCACAGGTGCTGAGGTAAGATTTGTAGTACAGGTGATGAGGTAAGATTTATAGCACAGGTGATGAGGTAAGATTTGTAAGATTTGTAACACAGGTGCTGAGGTAAGATTTGTAGTACAGGCGATGAGGTAAGATTTGTAGCAAAGGTAATGATGTAAGATTTATAGCATAGGTGATGAGGTAAGGTTTGTAGCACAGGTGATGAGGTAAGATTTGTAACTCATGTGCTGAGGTAAGTTTGTTAGCATAAGTTTATGGTAAAACTGGTAGCATATGTTTAAGGTAAGATTGGAACATATGTTTAAGGTAAGATTGGAACATATGTTTAAGGTAAGATTGGAACATATGTTTAAGGTAAGATTGGAACATATGTTTAAGGTAAGATTAGAAGATAGGTTTAAGGTAAGATTGGAACATATGTTTAAGGTAAGATTGGAACATATGTTTAAGGTAAGATTGGAACATATGTTTAAGGTAAGATTGGAACATATGTTTAAGGTAAGATTAGAAGATAGGTTTAAGGTAAGATTGGAAGATAGGTTTAAGGTAAGATTGGAACATATGTTTAAGGTAAGATTGGAACATATGTTTAAGGTAAGATTGGAACATATGTTTAAGGTAAGATTAGAAGATAGGTTTAAGGTAAGATTGGAAGATAGGTTTAAGGTAAGATTGGAAGATAGGTTTAAGGTAAGATTGGAAGATAGGTTTAAGGTAAGATTGGAAGATAGGTTTAAGGTAAGATTGGAAGATAGGTTTAAGGTAAGATTGGAAGATAGGTTTAAGGTAAGATTGGAAGATAGGTTTAAGGTAAGATTGGAAGATAGGTTTAATAAAAGACTGGTAGCACAGGTTTAAGGTGTGACTGGTTACATAGAATTACGGTAAAACTTATATAATAAGTTTAAGGTAAGACTGGTAGCACAGAGGATTGAGGTAAGACTAGTAGCTGATTAATGTGTGCAGTGTTTCTTCCAGACTTCTCCGGGGGGGGGGGGGGGGGTGGGTCAGACACTGGTAAAAGTATAGGTTTTCTACATATCTACATAAATTCCAGATGCCTGGAAGAAACTCTGAATGTGTGACTGGTAACTGGTTTACAGTAAGACTGGTAGAATACGTTTAAGATACGATTGTTAGATACTAACGTTTCCACTTGAGGGAGTAGCACTAAACCAGAGTTTCTTCCAGGCATCTCTTCGGAGGGGGGGCGAAGCCCCCCGAAAAAATTCTATCGCCCCCCCCCCCCCGAACGAAATGAAATTTATATAATTTATATATAAAATATATACTTTTAACAGTTTCCGCCCCCCCCCCCCCCGAAGAAAGTCTACCGCCCCCCCCCCCCCGAAAATTTCAAGTGCCCCCCGGAGAGAAAAGTCTGGAAGAAACACTGGACACAACACCAGCGTTGCACCCACCATTCAAACCCTGTAGACCTATCTAAACATAACAACAAACAAATCAATATATCAGTTGACAATTCAACTGTAGACTCTATTAACATTCAGAACACACAACACTACATTTCATTAATCAGTATATCCATTCTGACCTTTAACCTACCCCCCTCTTCTCACCCCCTCCCCTCCAGTCTAGCCAGGGAGCTCTTCAGTCGACTCAACGTGGGCGGGGACGCCAACAGGTTTGGGCCACCCATCCTCACCCTGGTCCTGCTGTTCGCCATCTCCACGCCCGTGGACGGGCTAGTCAACTCCCTGCTGGACGCCACCATCCGAAAGGTGTTGTAGAACACCCACATGTCACCATAACACCACAGCTGTTTGCTTGATATCCGAAAGGTGTTGTAGATCATCCACATGTCACCATAACACCACAGCCGTTTGATATCCGAAAGGTGTTGTAGAACACCCAAATGTCATCATAACACCACAGCTGTTTAATTGATACAAAAATAAACTTTGTATAACTTGAAAAAATATTTTACGTGAAGTTTTTTTTAAATTGTATTTCTTTTATGATTTAGCTAGTCTTGGTCCTTGGAAGATGAAATGGTTTAACTTAAAAGGCGCACTAGAAATATTTATAATACACTTTTTGTTTTCTAGAATCAAATACGTCAATGCAGCAAAAATTACCTAACCATGTCCTTAAACCTAACCATATGCCTAACCCTGTCCTTATAACTAACACAATTCTAACAAAAATCCTAATCAAAACATTCTTAACCTATCCGCATCTCTATCTTTAACTGGAGTTGGGGGGGGGGGGGGAAGGATAAAATATACATGCTGGATGGGTAGGTATCAGAATGGGAGTTGATGGTTATGTCTTGTCCACGTGTATGGGGGTGAAGGTGCTTTTGGCTGTAACATACTTTTTGCAAATTAGATACAATAAAAATCGTATGTGTGTATTGGGGGGGGGGGGGGCATGTTTTTAAAAAATAATTGTAGTTCCTATACGTGGGTGGAAAATATACAAAAACCCTACAATAGTGGCAGAAAATAAAGGAAAGAAGGTTACGATGGTTAGATAAATAAACCGCGAGTGATCTCCCCTAAACTTTCTCGAATATTCTTATATAAAATAACAGGGGATGGGAACTCGGGCTATAGACATGATTTTTAATCCATTTTAAATACTTAAAGTTTTAAAAATAGAATAAAATCTCGTAGACAAATTAATTGCACACCAAGTGAACGCGAATAAAAAAGCGCATAATAGTGCGCAATATTATTAGTACTTTTAAAATTTACATTAGTTTTTTGAGAAATCGGAAGTAGCGTAAATAAGTACTTCCGGTCAACGAAAAATTCTCAAAATTTGACCGAAGGTAGAGAATTAGATCTTTTACTTACATATCAAATTTCATTTATCTATCTGAAATAGTACTCAAGTTATAGGCTTTTGAAAAATTCAAAGTAGAAAAAGTACCACTTCCGGTTATCCGAAATCGCTCAAAAGTTGATACGGATCTACGATTTTGATAAAATACTTATATATGAAATTTCATCAACCTAGCTGTAACGGTACTCAAGTTATCGTGTTTACACACGGACACACACACACACAGACACACAGACAGAATTGCAAAGCCCAGTTTTTCAGACTGGAATACGCATAAAACCTTTTAATTTTGATAAATCTGGATTGATAATTTTTGCCCGATTAAAATAAGTCCTCTATACTTCGGATGTGATGAAGGACTGAGGTGTAATACGGTGAAAATAGTTAAAATTTCAAGTGATTTTTGTGCACGATTACAATACTTTCTCTATACTTCGTATATACGAGAAAGTAAAAATGGAAAAAGAATATCAAACAACAGAGGGGTGAAGGAGGGGTATAACCAGAATCACAAAGAGAAAAGACTGAAGACAGGATGGATAGATGATGTGGAGACAGAGCTTCTAGACTCGGAAGTTGAAGACATCAGACACATCTGAGTGGAAGAAGGTGGTGTGGTAGGACAACGCCTTCCATAGGCTGTCAATTCACAGAGATTGGGGGGGGGGGGGATTTGAACCGCGTGGCTTCCGTTTTGTTTGGAGTGTTGGGGATATTCTTTCTATATAACGACAAGTAAATATTGATGATGGTGGTAAGTGGTGGGATAATTTAAACAATAAAGTTGAGCCACTCTTTGTATTGCAGTTACCTTTCAACTCAAAACCAAACGCTAACACCATTCATCAGAAAAACCATGATTCCAGAATAAACATTTCGCATGCACCTAACACTTTTCTAAAAAGTTGACGGAGCAGAAAAAATTTGCGTGAACTGACCCACAAATACGTTGGTGTGGCTAATGGTGTAATGATAATTAACACGTGCAATTTTAATATTAAAATATTATCAACAACTGGTTCGTATAGGCCTACTAAGTTGATGTGTATGAACAATGTACCGAAGACTGCGTTACATTACACACTGACAACGGGAATTTCCAATTCTTGAGCGCTCAAAACTTAGCCCCTGTGGCCAATAGAACATGCAGGAAATACACCCACAACGATAGACACAGGAAAATGTCCAGACTACATGTTGGCATGCTTTCGGCACGATAGGTCAGGTATGTTGTTGCCTAAAAAAATTGGAGGTAGAATTATACCTATTTTGTTTCGCCAAATGCTATTGGGGAGTTTGTTTTTGTGGTACTCATTTTGTTTAATTAAGAATAAAAAAATCAGACGGCATTTGTAGTTCTACACACCTACGCCAAAATATAAACACTGAATGACACACCCAAGCACAGATACAGACAGATACACTCATACACACACACACACATATATATATATATATATATATAGCCTATGTATAAAACCTATATATAGCCTATAAATAAAAGCTATATATAGTCTCTACATATAGCTTATATATATATAGCCTATATATATAACCTATATATATATATATATATATATATATATATATATATATATATATATATATATAGCCAAATGAAAATAAAAACATGACATTGAGAATAAAAGATAAGAAAACAATAGCCTTTTAGGTGATCTATTTTTATTTCTCGCTTTACTCTACTCTCTCCTCTCCTACCCCAGGTCACACATAAAACCCAAAGTCCCGGGACCCACAGTTCCATCCCTGCAGGGCTAGAGTCCCACATGAAGCACAGACACACGGGGACTTGACCTGCTCACTCACCATGTTGAGTGTTGTCTACAATGATCCCTTCATTGTGTTTCCCTTCCGTTTGTATGGTGAGTAGCGTGAAAGTCCCGGTGTGAAACTGATTGGTTGGTTTATAATGGATGTGATCTGATTGGTTGGTTTATACTGCGTGCTGATTGGTTGGTTTGTACTGGGTGCGATCTGATTGGTTGGTTTATACTGCGTGCTGATTGGTTGGTTTGTACTGGGTGCGATCTGATTGGTTGGTTTATACTGCGTGCTGATTGGTTGGTTTGTACTAGGTGCGATCTGATTGGTTGGTTTGTACTGGGTCCTATCTGATTGGTTGGTTGTAGAAAGAGTGTTTTATTTTTTAGTAGTAAACTTGAGGAGATCTAATTGATTGTTTCTTTGTTTGTTGGGCTTTTGCTGATGGCTTCATTAGTTAGTAGTTGGAGTGATATGATTGTCTCGTTTTGGAATCGATCAAATTTGTTTGGCTGTTTAAATACTGGCCAATATCTGTTTGGTTGATTATTTTCTGTATTGATTGGTTAGTTTTATACTGGACAAAATCTGATCGGATGGATGTTAAGAGCTTGACTTGATTTGTAGTTGTTTTTTCATAATCTAATTGGGTTTTAAGGATTATTCTCATATTACTTCATTTATACATTTTGTTGATTGTTGATTGGAAATGAGGGGTTGTGAGGTGAATAAAGAGATAAATCATGAATGTAAGAATGCTATTAACGTGACACCTCAATTTTTCTCTCCCTCCCCCTATCCCCACCCCCGTAGGTCTTGGATTTGCTTTTGGTGAGGCAGTGTACCGCCGGCTACCCGTGGGGACGCTATTTTTGGGCGAAACGATAGCCCGATGCTACATCCTAGCCCACACCATCCACAGGGCGTTCAATGCCGTAAGTTGAGAAGGTTCTATTTGGTTTTTGGGGGTGTACGAGTCCTACCAGAGTCTGATGATGTCGCAAATAATGGAATCTTCTTTTAAAAAGGGGTGTTAAGTTATTGGTAGTTAACAAAATACAAACATGACCAGCTAATGTCAACTTTAATTCTCTAACCCAAACCCTAACCCAAGTCCTCACATAGTTTTAAATCCAATTGCTCACCATACCTCTAAACCTGAGATTACAATACCACTAACAACCTAACACAGCTATGTTCGGAGGGATCATTTTTCGGACATTGATAATACTAATACCAATACTCAGGGCTATTCTAAGAAAAATATAATTGGGAGCTAGGAGCATAAACTGGAGTAGTTGATGGGGCGCCATTGTGTTTTTATTGCTACAAGTTCCTTCTTGAGACATTTGACTTCTGACAGTGGGTATTCGATGATGAGTGTTACGTTATCAGAATGTAGGAGTAAATAAATGGGCTTTGGAATGTAAAGATTGAAATAAGCAATACATGCAGCGCGGCTAAAACATATTTCAAATGTAGCCCTGGCCATGTTAATGTTATACTATTGATACACTTTGCTCTATTTGCACATAGAACAACCTTGGCTTTGGCCACCATAGTCTTTGCTCAACTTCCACATAGAACAATCTTGGCTACGGCCAACATGGTCTTTGCTCAACTTCCACATAGAACAATCTTGGACCAGACCATGATATTCTATGCTCTTTTTCCACATAAATAATCTAGGTCATAATATTCATTGCTTTTCATCCACAGCAATCAAATGTAGCTCCTGCCGTCATAGCCTTTGATACCCTCATACATGACGGGTTCTCCTGTGCATTTTTCCCTCCCGTGCTGGCCTATCATGTGTACAAGTAAGTCAGGGTCAATGCTCGTGGGTTCGAATCTTTATTTTTTTTGGCCGAGTAAATATACAGGGATGTAGTTGTCAGAGGGTATTTGAGCTGGGGGTTGGGGATAATGTAAATGTGTGAGTGTGTGTGTGGGGGTGGGTGGGTGCGGAGGGAGGGGTGTTGGGGAAGGGGGATTAGGGTTGGGGTAGTATACATAGGGTATTTTAGTTAGCTGGGAGATGGGGTAACATCAGTTTTGGGTTGGGGGGTAGGGGGTGAAAGAGGTGAAAGAGGTGTGTGTGTGTGTGTGTGTGTGTGTATGTGTTTGTGTGAATATATATATAGTATGGAGTAGTAAACATAGTTTACAGTTTTATTTATGAATATTTTTCCAGAATTTTCGAATCCTTAATGGGGGATCTGGAATTTCTGCCAATGTTTTTCCGCAAGAATGTACCAGCCGTCATCAGCTTAGCAGCAGTGTGGTACACCTACCCCCATTTTGACGAACTGGTCGAGAAATTCATGAACGAAACCATCCGACAAGTCTATTAAATGCCAAAACTCACAAAAAAAAAAACAAGTTCCATATTTTATTTTGAAGAATTGTTAGTGATTGATCAGCTGCTGTTAATTTTTATGCTACAATAGGATAGTGTCTCGATTACTTTAATTATGTGTATCTCATAATTTACATCGAATTTCTTTATCCAGACGGATTTCTTAAGAAAATGAAATTTTGTAAAAAATATCCTTCTTGGAACTTAATAATTTGATTTAAATCCAAGTTTTTAAAAAAGCGTGACCAATAAATATAGCTCTACCACAAAGTAAAATTTTTCAATGCTAACGATGTCCTTGGTAATGTTTAAGTCAAGCTTTTAATCTATAGCGTGAAACATTTCATCCTGTTTTATACAATTAATTAAAAATGCCATTTATGTAATAACGTGTTTGGGTTTCAGTGTATAAATGTGTTGAGGTTGTTCTGGGCTTAAATGGCTAGCCTGTTGTCACATACAGTAGTGTCACGTGATGTCACATACGTGTCACGTGTCTTAGATCTACAAGCATGACATCACTGTAGTCTATCTGTTTAAAGTCTGTAAGCCAAGAAGTTCATCGTCTCCTTACATTTATACAACTTGAGAAATGTTTGTTGAAAATACGTTCTCCTGTTACATTGGTATAGTATGAAGCAAGAACAGGATATATATATATATATATATATATATATATATATATATATATATATATATATATATATATATATATATATATATATATATACTAGCCGTCCCGGCCAGGCCCTGCTCTGGCTTCTGTGAAAAACCTTTCTGTTAAATACCATTACCTGTGTGTTTAGTAATAATCATAAACCCGGCATTGCCCACCCAAACCACAACCAACCAAAAACAACAAACCGCAAACATAACGCTAACACAATTACAAATACAAACGAAAACAAAAACCTAACAACAAACCCAACCACAATCACAAACACCAATACAAACACAAAGAAAACACAAACAAAAAAGCAAACGAAAACAAAAAACTAACAACAAACCCAACCACAACCACAAACACCAATAAGAACACAAAGAAAAAACAAATGAAAAAGCAAACGAAAACAAACCAAATCCAAACGCAAAACGCAAAACCAACCACAAATACAAACCCAAAGAAAAAAAACACAAAGGAAAAAGCAAACGAAAACAAACCAAATCCAAACGCAAAACCAACCACAAACACAAATACAAACCCAAAGAAAAAACACAAACGAAAACGAAAAAAGAGAGAACAAAAACGAACCGAAACGCAACCACTAACGCAAACGCAACCCAAACACAAAGAAAACACTAACGCGTACATAAACGCAAGTGCTCACAGTCAAGCCCGGGGCGGAATCGCCTGTTTTAGCTTAATAAACGACTATAGTACCCCAACTTATTCATAGTCTTTTGCACTCACTTAAGCGAACGTAGGCGCCAAACAGAACACGGTAGACACGGGGCCCCAAATAGCACCCTGTCTGGGCACCAGAGGACGCCCGATTCGATTCACTTAAAGACTATGCAGGGGTCTCCAAACTACGGCCCGCGGGCCGGATGCGGCCCGCGAGGTCCTCTCATCCGGCCCTCGGAGATCATTTTGTCCGCGGAAAAGAAAATGTGTGTTAGAGGTGGCTGAGGAAAAATTCAAAACAAACTGAAAATGTAGCATTGAGTGCAAATAACATTGAAGTAAAAGTCGCCAGTTGGCCAGCAAACGAACTCCTTACAGACAAGTTCAAATAAGGGCGGGTGGGTTTTATAAGTATTTGCCCAAGGAAGACTTTCCTAATATTAAAACTTTTAAAAGTACCTTTCGAATTTTGGAACAACACAAACTTTATCAAGAATGAAGTAGGCCAACGTGAAGAACAATTTGAGAACAAACTTGGACTTCGCGTGTGTTGTCGGTCTCCGACAATATTTTTTTCAGACTTTTTCTCGGGTGAGCGGCACTTGAAATTTATATATATATATATATATATATATATATATATATATATATATATATATATATATATATATATATATATATATATATATATACAATTTCTTTGGGGGGGGGGGGGGGGCTTTGCTACCCCAAAGAGATGCCTGGAAGAAATTCTGGCCCCCGAACGTATATCTGATAGTTACACCGGCCCTCGGGCTGGAAAGTTTGGAGACCCCTGGACTGTAGTAACCTTTCTTATCCATACTCTATCGCGCTGTTTAAAGCGAAATTAGGCACCATGGCGCTCACAGGATAGCCCAGAGCGCCAAATTGAACCCTGGTCGGGCGCCGGCGGACGCGCCTGTTTCAATTTAATGAACAATTATAATACTCCAAGCTTATTCGTAAAATACCTACAACATTTGCACTTGATCAATCCCCGCTAATTATGTAATTAGTTTTTTTCCCAACACCAAAACAAAGTTATAAAAAGTAAATTCTTTTCCACCAATGCAATGTTTTTAAAGGGAAGTAATTGTGTTTTCCTAATTTATCAAAGGGAAGTAAGTGCTAAAGGACTAAACATAAATAATTTTCAGACATAATTAGAATTTTTGTTCATTTTTTTTTAAAAATTGTGTTTAATGAACATGCCGACAATTATTACTGTCAGTTTGAAAAATGAAAATTATTTCCCAACACTTTCAATAGTAATTTTTAACTCATAAATTTAGACTGTGAGCACGATTAATAGTCTAACACTTAAATCCATAGAAGTATGTCAACGACAAACAAACAAACTTATTACATGCTAGTTACATACAGAATTGAGCTTTATATATATTATATATATATATATATATATATATATATATATATATATATATATATATATATATATATATGTATGTATATATATATATATATATATATATATATATATATATATATATATATATATATATATATATATATATATATAAATATATATGTGTGTGTATACAAATGGATAATTATATATGTATTACATATATATCGATATTTATTATATATATATATACATATATATTTTTCTGTGTAAGTGTTTTATCTAGTGTTTCATACATTTTATTCGGAAAGGGGGTGGGGTGGTTGCACTTGAAACATTCGAGGGGAGGGAGTGCGGACTAAATATTCGAGGGTTGGGAAGGGGAGAGGGGCACTGATAAAAGTATATATTTTCTATATAAATTCACTTTGGTTCACGGGGGGGGGGGGTGAGGAAGGGGGGTTTAGGGAATGGGTGCCGCACCATCTGTAAAGATGACTGAAAGATACACTGATTCTATTAAATGTCCTGAAATGTAGGGTGTTGTTACATAGAAACAAACACAAAACTTGATGAATATTTCCGATAAGATGTAGTTAAGGTTAATGGTTGTCAAGAATCATCGATGACACTCAATTCTCCACGGCTTCAATGATGAAACGTTCAAAATATTTACAAAAATTGCTTTCGAAGTTAAATTCTTTTTCACTTTTTAATTGTGGGAATACCCGCAAAATTTGTGACAAAAGCACCGTGCGGAACAGGAAAAGCCAACCTACAATATGGAGTAGGAGTGTGTTCTCAAAATATAAAAACTATTTTTAAAAAAAAGAAAGAACACACCAACAAAGTATAATTTATATTTTTATTTTGTGTTATAGAATGTCTGTGAAACCGTATTTTATAATTAAATTATTTATTATGTAATTTATACATTAGGTTTTAAAATAAAGTGATATTAATTAATACAAAAGCTCATTTAAATATAAAATATCTAGATTCTATTACTATTGTTGAGTCAAGATTAGTCTATGTTTACTACACCTAACAATTGTATTATTCATACTTAATTACGGTATCCCTCCACCTTGTCCCTCCCATAAGGCCGTAAGCATAAGGACATAAGCCATAAGGACATAAGCCATAAGGACATAAGCCATAAGTTATTAAAATAAAATGCTACAACTAGCAAACTTTTTCCCCCCAGAACAAAAACATGTGTAACCCGTCATCCACATAAAAGCTATGGAGCCACCTCCACAAACTGATCCACAGCTCCACACATTTTTCGACCCTTTTCGAGAGTTTCCGTTTCGTAGGTTAGGTAAGATTGTCACTGTTCAGTGGATTAGGTAAGATTGTCGCTGTTCAGTGGATTAGGTAAGATGTTCGCTGTTCAGTGGATTAGGTAAGATTGTCGCTTTTCAGTGGATTAGGTAAGATGTTCGTTGTTTAGTGTGGATTAGGTAAGATGTTCGTTGTTAAGTGTGGATTAGTTAAGATGTTCGTTCATTGTGGATTAGGTTCGATGGTCGTTGTTTAGTGGATCAGGTAAGATTGTCGTTGTTCAGTGGATTAGGTAAGATGTTCGTTGTTTAGTGTGGATTAGTTAAGATGTTCGTTGTTCAGTGTGGATTAGTTAAGATGTTCGTTGTTTAGTGTGGATTAGTTAAGATGTTCGTTGTTTATTGTGGATTAGTTAAGATGTTCGTTGTTTATTGTGGATTAGTTAAGATATTCGTTGTTAAGTGTGGATTAGTTAAGATATTCGTTGTTAAGTGTGGATTAGTTAAGATGTTCGTGGTTCAGTGTGGATTAGTTAAGATGTTCGTTGTTCAGTGTGGATTAGTTAAGATGTTCGTTGTTCAGTGTGGATTAGTTAAGATGTTCGCTGTTCAGTGTGGATTAGGTAAGATATTCGTTGTTAAGAGTGGATTAGTTAAGATGTTCGTTGTTTATTGTGGATTAGTTAAGATGTTCGTTGTTCAGTGGATTAGTTAAGATGTTCGTTGTTCAGTGTGGATTAGGTACGATGGTCGTTGTTCAGTGTTGATTAGTTAAGATATTCGTTGTTAAGTGTGGATTAGTTAAGATGGTCATTCAGTGTGGATTAGTTAAGATATTCGTTGTTAAGTGTGGATTAGTTAAGATATTCGTTGTTCAGTGTGGATTAGTTAAGATGTTCGTTATTCAGTGTGGATACGTTAAGATTGTCGCTGTTCAGTGGATTAGGTAAGGTGTTCGTTGTTCAGTGGATTAGGTAAGATGTTCGTTAATATGGTCGTTGGGAAATTATAAGGTAAGATTGTCGCTGTTCACTTGATTATGTGAGATCAGAAAATAAAGTACCTTTTCGAAGCCTAAGGTCCATGTGGCATGTGAAGTAGATTTCACCTGTTTCAACGGCATGAACATATAAAAAGGATGGTGTGGTCAGCATTATGATCGGCCGTCTTTACTTACTCCAAGGTGTGCCAGGTACCCATCAGAACTGGGTGGACTCGGTCATCGTACGTTTATATTTTTTTATATTGAAAACAAAACAGAACTCTATGTATGTTTAAAATTAGATTTAAGAATCTCGACTTCCTGTTGACCTAGGTCATGGCTACCCAATGGCGGAGGCGCTGAAGCATTGTGCGACTGATGAGGCGGTGAACTTTGCCTATGGGATGGGGACTCTCTACTTCTTCACGCATGCTCTGTGGCACAGCTACGCCTCTGTAAGTGGTACAGCTACGCCTCTGTAAGTAGGACGGCTATAAGTCTGTAAGTGGTACAGATATAGGTCTGTAAGGAGCACAGCTATAGGTCTGTAAGTGCTACAGCTTTAGTTTTGTAAGTGGTACAGCTTTTCGGTCTATAAGCGTGACGGCTATAGATATGTAATTGGGACGGCTACGCTTCTGTAAGTGGCACATCTACGCTTATGTCAGTGGTACAGCTATTGGTTTGTAAGTAACACAGCTATAAGTCTGTAAGTGACACAGCTATAGATTTCAAAGTGGTACAGCTATAGGTCTGTAAGTGGTACAGCTATAGGTCTGTAAGTGGTACAGCTATAGGTCTGTAAGTGGTACAGCTATAGGTCTGTAAGTGGTACAGCTATAGGTCTGTAAGTGGTACAGCTATAGGTCTGTAAGTGGTACAGCTATAGTTTTGTAAGTGGTACAGCTATAGGTCTGTAAGTGGTACAGCTATAGTTTTGTAAGTGGTACAGCTATAGGTCTGTAAGTGGTACAGCTATAGTTTTGTAAGTGGTACAGCTATAGGTCTGTAAGTGGTACAGCTATAGGTCTGTAAGTGGGACAGCTATAGGTCTGTAAGAGGTACAGCTATAGGTCTGTAAGTGGGACAGCTATAGGTCTGTAAGTGGTTAGAGGCGAAGCGGGGGGGGGGGGGGCGGGGTGTGCGGACTGCACCGGGTGACACCATTTAGAGGGGTGACACCAAGGCAAAAAATAGCAAAATATATAGAGAAAAACTTGAGGGGGGTGCAAATCGAAAGTTCGAGGGGGGGGGTTGCAAATCGAAAGTTTGAGGGGGAGGGGGGGTGCAAATCCAAAATTCAAAACTTTGTCCCCGGGGAGGGTCACTACGCCTCTGGGGGGGGGGGTGACACCATTAAGTGCCGCACCGGGTGACACCCGACCTCGCCACGCCACTGTAAGTGGTACAGCTACAGGCCTGTAAGTGGTACAGCTACAGGCCTGTAAGTGGTACAGCTACAGGCCTGTAAGTGGTACAGCTACAGGCCTGTAAGTGGTACAGCTACAGGCCTGTAAGTGGTACAGCTACAGGCCTGTAAGTGGTACAGCTACAGGCCTGTAAGTGGTACAGCTACAGGCCTGTAAGTGGTACAGCTACAGGCCTGTAAGTGGTACAGCTACAGGCCTGTAAGTGGTACAGCTATAGATTTCAAAGTGGTACAGCTATAAGGCTGTAAGTGACACGGCTATAGATTTCAAAGTGGTACAGCTACGCTTCTGTAGTGGCACCGTTATGTCTTGGTTGTCAAGTGGCTGTTATTCTTATGTGAAAGTTATTATTTTAGACCTTTTTTTTAAAAAGACAGTTCTCATACCATAGCTAGTTCTCATACCCCCACCCCCATCTACCCCCCCCCCCCCCCCACACACACACCTAATTCTGTGACTCCTGTCCATATCGAACTTGGTGACGTAATCTCACATCCTCTTAACTGCCACACAAAATGACTCCACTCACATAATCCATTTTTAACGCCTTTAAAACAATGTACCCCAGGGTAATACCCCCCCCCCCCCTAATTTTCCAGTTTAGCGGACTGACCCTTCTCCCAACAAGTTAATTGATCCCTGTTGAATTTTGCTTTCAGTACAAAGATGGGGACAGTCTCGTCGCTTTCTTCGACACTCTCGTCTTCGATGGGTTCGCTTCAGACATCCTACCCTCGTTTGTTGTCTACCACATGTGCAGGTGAGGAGTCGTGGGGTGTGCGTTGTGCGTTGTGCGTGTGGTGTGTGTGGTTGTGGGACAGTCGCTTCAGACACCCTGCCCTCGTTTGTTGTTTACCACATGTGCAGGTGAGGTCGTGGGGTGTGGGGGTGTGTGGGGGTGTGTGGGGGCATATATGACATCCTGCCCTCGTTTGTTGTCTACCACATGTGCAGGTGAGGGGTCGTGGGGTGTGGGGTGTGGGGTCTGTGTGTGTGTGTGTGTGTGTGTGTGTGTGTGTGTGTGTGGTTGTGGGATAGTCACCTCAGACATCGTGCCCTCGTTTAAAGTCTACCACATGTGCAGGTGAGGGGTTTTGGGGTGTTGGGGTGTGGGGGTGTGTGTGTGGTTGTGGGATAGTCGCCTCAGACATCCTACCCTCGTTTGTAGTCTACCACATGTGAGGTGAGCGGTCGTGGGGTATGTGTGTGTGTGTGGTGTGTGTGGTTATGGGATAATCGCCTCAGACATCGTGCCCTCGTTTAAAGTCTACCACATGTGCAGGTGAGGGGTCGTAGGGTGTGGGTGTGTGTGGGGGGTGTGGGGGTGTGTGTGTGGGATAATCGCCTCAGACATCTTGCCCTCGTTTTAGTCTACCACATGTGCAGGTGAGGGGTCGTGGGGTGTGTGTGTGTGGTGTGTGGGAGGGGGTGGGGGAATAGGGGTGGGGGATAGGGGTTTGGGAAGACTGGGTCTGTTTATCATTAAATTCAGCTTTAGAGCATATTTTACATTGAGACTTGTTCTCTATGTGAGGTGCGGTGAGCGAGTGGTACATTATTGTTATATCATTTTGATTATGTTATTTTGCGCCGCAGTATTGAGTGTGAAACAGATGTTGTGAAAAAAATGTTAAGATTCCTCTTTAGACCTAGTGATTAATTGTGCAGATGAAATAGAGTTCATATGTTTCTTGACCTCGGCATATAAAGAGATAACTTGTTCAGCACTTTTCCCAGCCACCTTTTTTCCTCTAACGTGAGTTAGGAACCCATCAGAGCTGGGTGGAATCATGGACATTCTAGTAAGTTTATCCCGGATTCGAACTCCAGACTCTTAAATTAGCTGTTTGGTGCTTACCTCACTATACCTTCCCATCCCGGTGTCACATAAACAGGTGAACTCTACTTCACTTGCCTCATAGACCGTCATGTTTGAAAGGGTTGTTTACTTTTTACTTTACTTAATAGTAAGTAGTATCAGGTTAGTTAAATTTATTGAACTTGCTAATATGTCAACTCGCCAATAGATCTAACATCAGGAAACTGTTGCAGGCTAACCGCCAATTGTGTCACAGAGAACGGATACGTCCCTTCGGCATCTCCGTTCTTTGTCGGGCTGATCATGTTGGAGATGGTGTGGAAGCCAATAGATAAGTTTGTTGACAGCGTCATGGACGCCACCATAAGGAACGCCTACTGAAAAGTTTTGCGCAGTCATCTCCCCTGTTTCTTGACAAAATGGACGCCATTATAAGCAACGCCTACTGAACAGTTTACCGTAGTTAACTCTCCTGTTTGTTTACTACATAGACGCCACCATAAGGAACGCCTACTGAAAAGTTTTCCGCAGTCATATCCCTTGTTTCTTGACAAAATGGACGCCATTATAAGGAACGGCTACTGTATAACATAAGGAACGCCTACTGGACAGTTTGCCGTGGTTAACTCCTCTCCTGTTTGTTGACAAAATAGACGCCACCATAAGGAACGCCTACTGAATAGTTTTCCAGTCATCTTCCCTGTTTCTTGTAGTTAGCTCCCCTCTTTAAAATAAATACAATTTACACAACAAAGATTACTGTTTGTTGTATTATATCGATTATTACACTTTTCCTCGCGTAAGTTGTAGAATTAAATGTTTTGTAAGACATTACTTTAACTTGATCACGCCATCCTTACATATACCTGGTTCTTAGAGATAGATGAACTACTACGTCATTGACTGTAAGGGCTATTTAAAATGTCAATAGAAAACAAGATATCTTTCAGCGAACTTCGCAGTAAATAATAACAAAAATGTATAATCTTTGAAGTGGGCAAACATTTATTTCTTGACAAACATTCTCTCCCTTTGATAACCTGTAAAAGTAACAAAAATTCCCGATGACGTCACTCCGTTTAGCCGACCACCGGTTTTGTTCCGCAAGGGGGCAGCACGTTGATTGAGAAGTCACATGACTGAATCTCGTTATTGAACACAGTGGCTGTGACGTAATAAAGTCAAGCGTTAGCACACACAAAGAGATAATAAAATTAAACTTGCGCGCAGGGTTTCTTTTAGATCCATATACTCCGCAAGTGGGTTGGGGGTTAAATATAAGAGGAAAAGTGAGGCAGTTGAATGTACAATGGGGTTGGGTGGTCAATATGGTTAAAATAAATATAAATTATACATTTAAAATTTGTTTCGTCAGGTGTGGGGAAAGTCCTTGTGCTCATTCCCCCCCCCCCTTTCACCCCCCCCCTTCCCCACAAACCCAACCAAGGAGTGATGTAAAAGAGACACTGAACACAGGATGCAGAATGGGGCATCTCTCTCACCAGATCCCTTATCTAGCCGCTAGACTTTAGTCATACCCAACCTTTACATTTCAGGACGCTTGATCTGGCCAATGCTAAATCTGATGCAGTACTCGGCTTAACAATTACAACCGTAACTACAAATATAAAGCCTTGGTACTCAACGGTTATAAAAATTTAGCTTAGTGACAAGATCGTTAGAGCCTAAACCGGCGGGCATTAAAATTCTCTCAGTGTCTGGTTGCTATCTATTTAAAAGTAAAGTTAGTATGAAACTTGCATGAAGGCGCAAGAATAAAAAACACGTACTTGCAGGGCAGTAGAATTCACCGATAGGTTTCTTGTCTAAACATCTCGTGTATGTGTGGCAGTTGTCCGCCTGAAATGTTTTAAGGCTATAATTAGTGGCTGAAATTAATTGGACAATTTAGCCGCTGTCGGACAGAGGTTTGAGTTTTAGGCAGGATCTGGGTCAGTAGATATTGTATAGTATATTGAGGTTTTTTTTTACGAATGACGTCGTTTAATTAAAGTGATTTCTTTCAATAGTCGAATTTTTTTTTTATTGCGAGTCCAATATGTTTCTGTGTCTGTGTTTGTATGATTATATGTCAGTATATTAATTGTGCCTGTATGTTTGAGTATGTCGGAATAATTCTGTGTGCGTTCAAATGATGGTGTGTTGCCTTTTGTTTGTGTGTGTGGGTTTTCGTTTTCTTTCTTCAATGCCTTCTGGGAAATGAGCTGGTGTTTGCACACTTAGCAGAGGCTATTAATTGCATACAAGATAATGAAATTAACGAACTATGCTACACAGTTAAATCATACATCTTATCAGTGAATCAAAGTCTTTTATTGTATGCCATTTTTATCTTGAGAATAGCGTATTTAAGACAGTGAAACAAAGAAATTATTTTTAACTTCAATTCCTTAAGCGTTTTGTATTAATTGATAAGAAAAGAAAAAAGAAGAAAACGAGTTGGTGTGGTGTGGTGAGGTTAAACAGAAAACTAAACTAAAAGTTATCGAATATGATGATAATTAAGTTGAATAGACATTTCAACATATAGTGTGCTGTTTGTGAAATGTGTGCTTATGTGTGTAATCTATGAATATGGGAGGAGGGGGGGGTGTGGATTGTCACCACCTCTACTGAACATGTCATCACCTGGACTTAAAATGTCACCATTTATACTAACCGTCTCACCACCCAAGACTCACCACGACACCATACATCCCATCTTCCTTGTTTTCGCAAGTTGTAGCGTTACTACATTCATGTGAAGCGCTGTTCTCTGGACTGAAACAGAACACCATGACACAACGTGACTAGTGATCGCTTGCATTATTGTGATGTATAGCATTTATTTTCTACTTTTTAGTTCAATCAGAAAACGTGGGTTTTTTTAAACTTTTGTAATGATTATTTTCTACTTTTTAGTCTTTGTCTGTTTGTTTGCATTAAAATCTTGCTATCGATTTTATCTTTTCACTTTTTTTTTTGGGTAAACGAAGACAACTCGTAAAAAGACAACTCGTAAAAAACACGTTGTGTGAATACGTTACTGACTAGAACACATAGATTTGAACCCGTGTCGAGTGGGATAGCAATCGTGTGCCCAACCATTCGACCATATCGTCTCCGCCATACTGGCCACCAGTTGTTACGGTTGTTTGTACACAAACACCGCGTGAACACTACTCAGTAAGCAAAGAGGGAGAGTACCGAACCTTGTTTTCATCAAATTACAGTTACTGGGTGATGTCCCTTTTCCCCCACGTTTTTACTACAATTATATAGCGGTCTAAAATGCTCAATAAAATGTTTCCATGGATCAATTTAGTAATAATAATAATTAAATATTCTATTGTCATCCAAAACAAAGCTTCCCTGAAAATTTCAGCGCGCTAGCTAACTGGGAAGTGCCAGAAATTTTGATCGCAAGATTTGATCGGAAAAACAGAGACGAAAGCAAGTTAAAGAAAACGTTGGAAAAACGTGTTAAAAACGTGTTAAAAAGAAAAGCAGGCTGAAATCGGAGTCAATGGCCTCAATGGCGTATAACCAGTTGACACGTAACGCTTAATTGTGTTGGAGGCGTGGTCGAGTCGGCAAAAAAGCTCATGGTTGATACATTCGAACAAAGTCTCGAGTTCAAACCCACTGGCAGATAAATCTCGATCCCCTTCAACACTAATAATTTAGAACGAAGAAGAAGAAGAACAGATCTTCCCATATGAATAATGTCTTAATATATGGTGTATCTTTAAATGCATGTTTTTCTTTAATTTAATGCACCGATACGATCCGAAATATTTCTAGTTAAGAACAAATAATACCAAAGCGAGGCCTCAACTGCATGATATTTGTATGAATTGGTTTTTTTAGTGGGGGGGGGGGGGGGGGGAAGAGGGCTATTTGTTTTGGGAATCCTGTACTTCGACCCTCAAAACCATAGTTTGTACTTCTCGTACGCAGAGTATAGAGAAATTTTGACAGGGAGTTTTCATTGTTTTACAACTCAGTACTTTTTTTAATCGGGTAAAAAAAAAAAGCGGATTTATCAAAATTTTGGTGTTCTATACGTAATCGAGTCGGAAAACTGCGCTTTGCAATTCTCTCCGTATATCTCTCTGTGTGTGTGTGTATGTGTCTGTGAACGCGATAACTTGAGTACCGTTACAGCTAGGTTGATGAAATTTCATATACAAGTATTATATCAAATGTGTAGTTCTGTATCATCTTTTCAGCGATTTTCGATAACCGGAAATAGAACGTTTTCTACTTTTAGTTTTTCAAAAGCCTATAACTTGAATACTATTTCAGATAGATAAATGCAATTTCACAATTAAGTAAAAGATCTGATTCTCTGCCTTCTCTCAAATTTTGTCTTCTTCTTCTGCGTTTTTAATTTTAGTAACCGTAAATTACGTCAAACAATAATTATGATTCGTATCAATGGAGACCACGCAACAGTGGTCTACTATATGGAAATCAAGATTGCCGTTTGGTAGCCTTAAAGCAAGGATGTCTGAGGACTTCATGTACACATAGTCCACCTGTTTGCCGTAAGTTAGACGATTGAAAACAAAAGGACCTTGACTTACACAACACACGCCATGATCGCTCTCTCTAGGACCTGGTGTTCGGGACACGTGCATAACACCGTGACGTTGTCTTTGCATATCTTGTAGCCCCAGCAACCGGTCTCAATTACACTGGTGTTGCCGGAGAGGTAGCACGGCTGCGGCGGCGACGTTGTAGTGACAATAGTTGAGGCGTCACAAGTATCAATTTTTTGTTGTCGGAGGACTCGGTAATCAGAACAGTCTTCACATAAAGTGGATTACAGAGAGGTAAAATAGTCGATACTTTGATATTTAAAAATGGGAACATTTTTAACACTTAGATATTAAGAAATGGGGAAAATAATGAACACTTAGATATTAAGAAATGGGGAAAATAATTAACACTTAGATATTAAGAAATGGGGAAAATAGCCAATACTTTAGTGTATTGAACTGGGGAAATAAATACCCTTTTAAACCTTACGGTGCAGAGAGCAAGGGAAGTAGAGTTAACCTGTTTCAGCGACCTCGGCATATGAAGGAATAGTGTGGTCAGCACTATTACTAACCGCCTTTACTTTTCCTAACGTGAGTTAGGTACCCATCATAGCTGGGTGGGTTAAAGCACGACGTATTGTCTCTTGCTCGGAATTCGAACTCAAGCCTTCTTTCTTTGTAGTCGAATGTTCTACAGTATGAAAACACGGTCCCATTTAACTTGGAAAATAGCCGATATTGTTTTGAATTGAGAAAATGGCTAGCTTTTAGGAGCTTTGAACTGCGAAAATAACCGACACTTAAGCCGTCTTCAGACTGATTACAATAGCCAGCTATAAAGGTTACATGCCTAGCCTAAACAACTCTGATATTTAGTTCTAATTTCTACATGGATTATATCACATATCTTGATTAGGTCTAACAACTTAGATATTATCTGATTAACGAAAGCCAAAATGTATGATGATCGATGCTGCATTCTACTAAATCAATTTAAAAATCTATTTAAGATTTCGTAACGCCTAAATGGAACCGAAATTGTTTCAGTAGAAGCTATGTGGTGTGGATAATGGATACAGTGCTTGATTAGTAGAATAATGGATTATTTAGTGATTACAGACGAACCCCACCTGTGCAGGCGATGAAACCCAAGGCGAAAACAACGTAGAAAAACATGGCTGTCTTGTGTACTGACACGACTGGAACCTGTAGAATGACAAAAAATTTCTCAAACGGTTCCAGAACAACCAGAGTTCAAGCCTACAAGATGGCTGTGTGAGAGTGAGATTAGGGAAAGGTACTTGGCCTACTTACAGCCGTCAGGTGAAGATAAAACTACCAGGAAGTGACCATCGTCTCAAGAAAATGTTGCAAGTGTTAAGATAATTTTCTCTCTCAGTGAAGATGTTTACATAATATATTATATTTATTTTAGGGACATATATATATATATATATATATATATATATATATATTTATTTATTTATATATATATATATACATTTATATATATATATATATATATATATATATATATATATATATATATATATATATATATATATATATATATATATATTAAGACTTCATGATGTATATTTTGTTGGTTGTGGTTAGGGTTATGTTTAATTTAGGGTTATGTGTTTTCTTTAACGTCGATATTTGCATATACACATTTAATTGACAAGTAATAATATTCCTAAACCCAGGCAATGCCGGGTTTGTGCTTCTTAATAAACTCACAAGTTATGGTTCTTTACAGATATGTTTTACACAGAGGTCAGTGTAGGTCATGGCCGGGACGGCTTTTATTCTTTTATTTTTCCTTTTGTTCTCTATTGTACTTATAAAACTCATGCATACAGTGTAAATAACTTTGTTCGGGTAGAAAATAAGCTTTTCTTCAGTTCCCACCTTATGTTGATATTTATAATGTATAAAAACATTATAAACAAACCGTATGGAATGTATCCGTCTCTATTCAAGCTCCTTTGATACCAGGACCCAGGGGCGGAACTACAATGCCGCCAGACCCCGCAATGCGGGGGGGGGGGTGCCCACGCCATTTAGGGGCCCATAGCTGACCATAATAAAAAATTTTATAGTTAAAAAAAATATTTTCTTGCATTTTTTACTTGACGGTAGAATCTTTTGTAAATAACAAACAGATCTACTACAGTTGTGATGTTATACAATAGCTAACACATAATGTTGCGTAAAAAAAATATGCCTGAGCTATAGTGTGAAAGATAGACAAACGTTCAAAACACTTCCATGACTTATTTACCTTTTTTAAATAGTTAAATAGGTTTGCTCATAAGCTCCTTTTAATATATTTATACTAAACAAATTAAAAAGCAATTACTTTTCTTAATTATTATTTTAGAAAATACATACTAAGAATGACATAACATAAGAAGGTAATATATTTAACAAAAATAATATAAATATAATAAAAAAAAAACATAAAAATAAACATAACACAAGAAACCATTACACATACAAAGCTTTCACGTTTTATATTCTTTTGACCGGCTGAAAAACTAGAGACTTAGTAGTATTACAGCAAACATTCAGAAAGAACTAGACTGTAGAGCCGGAATAAGTAGGGAATGCAAAGCGAAAGATAGCTAGCACAATGAAGAAAGCTACAAGAACAGCACTATTGGATAAACTTCATTTATGGACAGTTCGTTCTTTAATGGGAATAACAGTTGCAGGATGCACTCTACTTTCTTTCCAAATATATACCTATTTTTCATATGTGAGACCAGCCAAGCAGGAAGAGCGCAGAAAAGATCGGGAGAAAGAAATTGCTTTAGAGCAGCAAGAGAAGGAAGAGGAACTCTTGCGTCGACAGAAAGAGGCTGAAAAAGTTTTAAAGTATTAATGTTACTTTTTTCTAAAGCTTAGTGTTGTTTAGTGATGAGAGAACAACAGATGGTATATACATTTGGTGAAAAACTTTTTCCAATCACTTAACCTAGGAATACCTTTAACGTAAACTGCTCTGTCAAGTATAAGTATACTTAGTAAAATTGATCTTCAAGTATTAAGTTAAATGTTAAATTTTTGTACCTACTAATATCCTGTCAAATTTCACAGGAACGACCATTCTAAAAATTATTGTGAAAATCTTTTTTGTTTAAAATATTTAATTTAACAGGGCTGGTAAATGTATACGTTTTTTCCCCATACTTTTTCATGACTAATTATTCATGTATCATAAAGTCATTGTGAGACTTTTGGTGAATTTTCTATGTTACTGTACAATAAAATATACAAATATATATATAAAAAAAAAAAAAAAAAAAAAAAAAAAAAAAAAAAAACTAGATCTAGTTCTAAATCTAAAAAATAATAATAATTCAAAACAGACTAATGCACTCACACACATGACATGTTGTATTTTGTTTATATTGAGAAGAAAAAAGGCAATTTTTTTCAAAACCCGATCAGGCCAGAAATGAGTAGGCCTATCCAATGTTTGTGTTATGTGTTTGTATATATATATATATATATATATATATATATATATATATATATATATATATATATATATATATATATATATATATATATATATATATATATATATATATTTGGGGGCCCAGATTTTTTTTTTGCGGGGTGGCCCTTTTTTTCTAGTTCCGCCACTGCCAGGACCATCTCCTTCTATTTACACCTATGTCACGCCATGTGTTTTTCCCTTTATTTACATACTTTTGCCCATTATACTCTCTCTAAAAATTCTGTCGAGTAGGAATAAGAATATGGGCTACTTGTACTTTGTCGTCAGCCCATGACACTCCGTTCAAAGAGAGAAATAGACGAGTAAATCTTGAACCAAGCAGGATACCAGAGTTGTCTCCGTTTGTTTATGTTTCTCACTTTTTGATACACCAAGTTTATTATTTTTTTTTTTTGAACTTCTCTATCTTTCATATTGTGCTTAACGAACATTTTTGTCATCTTATAGGACAAAAAAGTATCCATTTGGTCATTTTCCAACTGCCTTTTTTGTTTCTGGCCATGGGTCACCACTGTGTCAATTTTTGATATCACAGATGAGGATGAAGCATATTCTAAGCCGTTGAAAGTAACAGAATAGTATCTCCTAATGATTATTTTAATCACGTTTTTATGTCATTTTACTTTCTTCATTTTATTACTATGTATACACTTTATGATCATGTCTTTAAAAGTGTATAAAACTACAAAATAAATTGATTTTCTTTTATCTATATATAACAACCTTTTATTTAACTCACTTCTTCGTCAGTCTGTTGTCAGTCTGTGGTCAGTCTGTCTAGATCGAAACGCCGGAGTGAAATTGCAGGCACTTCTACTTGACAGATACGGTTCGTAATTAGTACGTCGGTCAAGACATAAAGACAATGCATTGTGAGATTAAATTTGACTTAATTGGATGCCTAATTCATTTTTTATGAATTAATTAAAATTTTGACCAAATTAGTAGGCATTTCTATCCAACCACACCACACGCGTCATTACGTTCAATAGCGCGTCATCACGTTCAATAGGCGCGCAATGGTTTTTAGTCATGAAACTCTATTGTAAATAAAAACATGTAAAGTACTAAAAAAAATTCATAAAAAACGTTTTAATAACAAGCTTTTATGTTCTAATGCCCTAAAATTAGAAAATAAATTATAGACTACTATTTAAATAACTATAAAGAAAAGCGTGGGCCTCTTCCTAAACATTAGTAAAGGTATCCAATATATACTTAAGTGACCCACGCTTTTCTTTTAAAGAAGGCATTGCATTGTCTTTTATCACAACATCCTTTCGTCTACCTGGTTTTTAGATAGATGAACTCTACTTCTACTGCGTCATGAACTGTATGGGCTATTAAAAATGTCAATAAAATACAACGTACTTCGCAGTAAATAACCAAAATGTATAATCTTTTATGTGGGCAAACATTTATTTCTTGACAAACATTCCCTCCCTTTGATAAACTTAACCTGTCAAAGTAGCAAAAAAAAAAAAAAAAATCCTGATGACGTCACTGTTTAGCCGACCACTGGCTTTACACCGCAAGGGGGCAGCACGTTGATAGGGTAGTCACATGTCCGGTCCTTATCGTTGAACACAGTGGCTGTGACGTAGGTAAATTAAGCGTTTGCACATACACAAAGAGATAATCAAATTAAACTTGTGCTCAGGGTTTATTTCAGATATATATATAAACTCCGCAGGTGGGTTGGGGTGAAATATAAGAGGAAGGGTGCTGCAGTTGAAAGTTCAATGGGGGTGGGGCGGTCAATATGTTTAAAATTAATATACATTTTTTTTTAAATGGTCCGGAGTAGGCAAAGTCCATGTGCTCAGCCCCCCCCCCCTCGACCTCCCCCCACTCCCAGCGAACCCAACCAAGGAGCGGTGGCTGAAAGTGATACTGAACACAATAGGATGCAGAATGGGGCATCTCTCTCACCAGATCCCTTATCTAGCCGCTAGACTTTAGGCATCTTCAGCCTTTATATTTCAGGACGCGTTGTGTTCCGATTAATCTGGCCAATGCTAAATCTGATGCTGTAGTCTAGTGTGGTAGGCTTAACATTAACAATTACACCCGTAACTACAAATATAAAGCCATGGTACTCAATGGTTATGAAAATTTAGTTTAGGGACAAGATTGCTTGAGTTAAAAAAAAAGGCGGGCATTAAATTCTCAGTGTCTGGTTACTACCTATTTAAAAGTAAAGTTAGTTTGAAATTTGTATGAAGGCGCAAGAATAAAAACACGTACTTGCAGGGCAGTAGAATTCACCAATAGATACTCCACCTATACATCTCGTGTAAGTGTGGCATTTGTTCGCCTGAAATATTTTAAGGCTATAATTAATGGCTGAATTTAATTGGACAATTTAGCCGCTGTCAGACTAAATGTAGGTGAGATTTGGGTTTTGGGCAGGATGATGGTTAGTAAATATTGGATATGGTTTAAAGGGTCAGTAGATATTGGATAGGATTTAAGGGGTCGGGAGAAATTGACATGGATATTGAGGTTGTCTGTAAGTATGACGTCATTTTATCGGAGTAATTTCTTTCATAAGTCGAAATGTTTTGTGTGTAAATGCGAGTCCAATATGTGTCTGTGTTTGTGTGATTATATGTCTGTATACTTGTGTCTTGTTTGAGTATGTCTGCATAATTATGTGTATAATTGTGTATACTGTGTCACCACCTAGACTCACAGTGTCACCATCTAGACTCATCGTGTCACCACCTAGACTCATCGGATCATTACCTAGACTCACCGTATCACCACCTAGACTCACCGTGTTACCATAAAACCCGTCGCTCTTCCCTTTGCAAATGTTAATGTCCACTTGCGAACATTCATGTGAAGTGCTGGTCGCTGGACTGAAACAGAACACCGTGAAACCACGTGACTATAACACCATGACACCATGTGACTAGTATACCATGAGACAACAAACTATAATACGACACCACGTAACTATAACACAATGACATCACGTAACTATAATTAATAATAATAGTTTCGCTGTCTGTCTATCTATCTATCTGTCTGACAAGAACGCTCTAGAGAAAAGACAAGCAATTTAAAAACATGCATAGTAATTCGAAAAACGAAGTATGACGTCGACACATTTAGCGCACAGAGTAGAAAATAATCTCAAACCCAGAGAGTGCACACAGTTATATGACGTCATTGATTATCGTGTAAACATTCAATACAAAGGCAATTTGGTCTAATCTAAGTGGTTTGCGTGAAGAGTTTCTTGCATTCAATTCTTCGGGTAGGGGCGAAGCCCCACCCCCCGCGTAAGAACGTCTGAGCCCCTCCCCCTCCCCAACTCAAAAGAAATTTCCTCATCGATACTCTATAATAAAATTAATGTGTCTAATCTAAAAAGTGGTTTTCTTGCAATGGGACGGTAGACATGTTTTTTTTTTGGGGGGGGGGGGGGGGGGTGGAGGGGTGGGGTGGGGGGGTGGTGTGTGTGGGGGGGGGTGTGTGGGGGTGGTGTGTGGGGGGGTGGGGGTGGTGTGTGGGGGGTGGGTTGGTTTCAGTGTTTCTTTCAGACTTTTTCCTCCCCGGAGAGGGGTGGGGGTACTTGAAATTTTCGGGGGCGGGGGTAGAATTTTCTGGGAGGGGGCGGACACTGGAAAAAGTATATAATTATATTTCGTTGAATGGGACGGTAGACATGGTTTTTTTTTTGGGGGGGGGGCGGTGGAGGGGGGGGGGGGTTGGAGGGGTGGGGTGGGGGGGTGGGGGTGGGGGGGGCGGTGTGTGGAGGGGGTGGTGTGTGTGGGGGGTGGGGGTGGGGGGTGGGGATGGTGTGTGGGGGTGGGGGTGGTGTGTGGTGGGGGGGGTGGGGGTGGTGTCTGGGGGTCGGGGGGGGGTGGGGGTGGGGGTGGTGTGTGGGGGGGTGGGTTGGTTTTAGTTTAGAGAAAAGAGACAGCACTATCAGCCTAGCGCCCGTTGTACCCTTCCTCAACGGGCCATTTTTCTCGTATATAATATAAATATAATATCATGACACTACTTGACACCGCGTTACTACAATACTATGACACCACATTTAGGAGACCTAAATACAACAAGTCCATATTTTAAAAAAAAATTCTGTGTTTAAAGCTTTCACTATTTTTTAAACAGATCTTCCTTAAAGGTATCGAACTTCGTATTATAGTGTATCTTTACATAAATGTTTTTCTACAATTTAATGCACTGATACAGTGTGAATAAGTTCTAGTTAAGAACAAAGTCGCTATTATCGAAGAAGCTTAAAGAAAGGCAACAACTGCATGACACTTAGATTTGTATGCACCTTGGTGGATTGTTTTCTTTGTGTCTGAATATGGAACAATGGGGGGGGGGGGTGGGATTGTTCTCAAACCCTGGTTCTTCTACCCCAAAACAATATTTTTTTCATTATATATAGGCTTGTGAAAGGGGGCTGGGGTGTAAATCTATAATACGTCAAGAGATCTGAGGCGAATCTACTGAGGCCATGCAACATTGGTCCGCTATATGGTCATCAAGATTGCCGTTTGTTAGACGTAAAGCCAGAGTTTCTTCCAGGCATCTCTTCGGGGGGGGGGGGGGGGGGGGGGCTTAGCCCCCCCCCCCCCGAACGAAATGAAATTTATATAATTTATATAGAAAATGTATACTTTTAACAGTGTCCGCCCCCCCCCCGCCCCCAAAGAAGGTCTACCGCCCCCCCCCCCCCCCCCGAAAATTTCAAGTGCCCCCCCCCCCCCGGAGAAAAAAGTCTGGAAGAAACACTGCGTAAAGCAAGAATGGCCGAGGACTTAATGTACAAATAGTCCACCTGTTTGCCGTAAGTTAGAAGATTGAAAACTAAAGGACCTTGACTTACTCAACACATGACAGAGTCGCTCTCTCCATGACCAGTGGGGGTAAACACTTGAAGGTCACCTGGATGTTGTTGTAGCACTGCTTGTAACCCCAGCAAGCGATCTCCAACACGTCGTTGTTGTAACACGGCAGCGGCGTCGTATTGTCCTGACCGCAGACTCCAACTGAGGAGTCACAAAAATCAGCTTTTGGTGTTGTTGTATTCGGTAAAAATAACAATGTTCAAATAAAGTGGATTAGATAGAATGAAATAGTTGTTTCTTAGGTGTTTTGAACTGGGAAAATAGCCAACACTTATATATTTAGAAATGGGAAAATAGCCAACATGTAGATGTTTAGAAATGGGGAAATTAGAGTACCTTACGGGCCATTGTCTCGTCACATGAAGAGATAGTGTGGTCAACACTATGCCCAGCTACTTTTACTTTCCCTAAAGGTATTCAGGTACACATCAGAGCTGGGTCGACTCAAGCACGTCGTAAGGTCTCTTGCTCGGGATCCAAATTCGAGACTTTTTGCTTTGAAATCGAACGCTGTACAATAAAAAAAAAAAGACAAACGGTCCGATACATCTTGGGAAATAGCCAACACTTAATTGTTTTAAATTGAGAAAGCATCTAAATTTTATGTGTTTTAACCTCGAAAAAAACCGACACTAAAGCCGTCTTCAGATTGATTGCAATAGCCAGTTATAAAAGTTTACGTGAATCGATTGATCGACGGTGATATTTACTGTTGATTTCTACTTGGAAATATCCCATATCTTTAATTCAGTTTTTATTATCCTTGATATTATCTAATTTTACGCAAAACAGTGGCGTAGTTACCGTAAAGCTAGCGTAAGCAAGGCATAGGGGTCCAAGGCAAATATGGCCCATTTTCCCTCTTTAATTGTTTAAAAACTTTTATTTTGGAATTTTAATATTTGTACTTTAAAAATAAGTTTAAAAAAGAAACGGAAATCTAGTTTCTTTTCTACTGTAGAAATAATAAAAAAATCCAAAAAAGGCCCTCAAAACTTTCTTACTGGGGAGGGGGGTGTACAAGGCCCATCGGTATTAATAACACTATAGGCATTGTTGCATTGTCGGGCAAGTCGTTGAGAGAATAAGTCTATAAACAAACTTTAACATTGACTTTTTTGGGAGATTGGCATCCGGCACCCGCAAATTTATACGCGCCGCTAAAAACTCTCTACAGCAACGCCAAAAACCTGCACCCCCTCCCCTCTCAATTCTCTGTCCTCACCATATTCCATCCAATTAGAACTACAATTGAGCCATCTTTTTAAAAATAAGGCGGTTCGGTTTGCCACCAAGTGTTTCCCAGCAGCTTTCAAAACAACCCCCCCCCCCCACCATGAGCACTACGGCACATACACTTGTTTTAATGAGCGCCATGCACTAGGGATACGGAGGGCTACTATAATCAATGGCGAAAGAAAATAAGAGGTGTCCTCCAGCCACGTCTCCAGTATTATACAGTTGGGCGCCTCAAATCTCTCCATTATGATGATGTTATTAAACAAGTTGTAGATATACCCTTTGGGTCAGTAGCTTGGCCATCATAAGTATCGAACATACATAAGCAGCTAAAATGGACTTCAAGGAACATATTAATCACTTTCCAAATGTATAAGATAGAATAAAAGCAAACCTAAATAAATCATGAGCAACTTTTTAAAATTGTGTATTTCGTTAGTGGCGTCACAAGGTTCGATATCACCCGATGCGTTTAGTGAGTGTCACCCCCACCCCGTCTAACAATTTTGCATTTCTGGTGGAGTGTTACCCCCTCTCCTTAATATTTTATTATTTTAACTGAATAAAACATGGTTTTGACAGTTTTCGTCATGGTGTCACGCCTAAATTGTGAGGCCCCCGCCTCGTGAAGCTACTGTGTTAGGTTACTTAAAGGTTACAGACTTACAGTTAATTTGTTAGTTTTTTTTTTCATAAAAGTTATAGAAAATCAAAGGTATTTTACGCTACGTGGTACTACATAATAATACCGTATAAATACACAAGTATGGACGTATAAAATACACAATTTACAGATTAACGCAGGGGCCCAATAATAATTTTTGCATAGGGGCCCAAAAATCCTAGCTACGCCACTGAAGCAAAATACAGGATTTTTTTCAAATGCTGTATTCTTTTATCATTTATTTTAAAAACCTATTAAAAATTCCCTTAAGCCTAATTAGAAGCTAAATTTTTTAATTAGAAGGTATATGGTGTGATTTATGGATAAGCTGCTTAATTAGTAGAATAATGGTTTAATTGGTGACTACATTGATTACAAACCAATCCCACCTGTGCAGACGATGAAACCCAAGGCAAAGACGTAATAGAAAAACATGGCTGTCTTGTCTACTAACACGACTCGAACCTGTAGAATGAGAATATTTTTTTCTCAAACGGTTCCAGAACAATCAGATTTCAAGCCTGCAAGATGACTGTGTGCGATTGAGATAAGGGAAAGGTACTTGGTCTACTTACGGCCGCCAGGTGAGGCAAACACCACCAGGAAGTGACCAACGTCTTAAGAAAATGTTGGAAGTGTTCAGATTATTTTCTCTCTCATTGATGATGTTTACACAATGGTAGCGTTGATTTTAGGGATATATATATATATATATATATATATATATATATATATATATATATATATAGATGTAACTAGTGTAGTTACCATACTATTGTAAGAACGTATTACAGTCTGATGCAACAGTTGCAGGACTGATAACGAACACCAGGCCGCTGCGCAGTTAATAGTTCTGATGCAACAAATGGTAATTATTACGTATACGAGGGGATGATGGGAAGGCGACTGGTAGAGAGAGGCAGAACCCAGTTGGTTACTGAACGGTGTAGACGTGTGTGATTCGTGAGAATAGGAACGATGGACACGTGCATTCTGTTATGTTAGGACTAGTGAGGACAGTGGGGGTCAGTTGGTTCATTGTATTCTTGTGGAACATTGGTGCATTGTTATGTGGAGCATTTCTATTGATTCATGTAATAAAGAGATCAATGTAAACCTGCATTTCCGAGTATCTATATTGTGGTCGATGTTGTGTGCTGGTCAAAGGTAGCACGAGTAAATACACTCGGTAACATTTGGCGCTGTCAGCAGTGAAATCGGTAACATTTGGCACTACAAGTAAATAGACTCGGTAACATTTGGCGTCGTCGAGCAGAAGAATTCAACTAGACCTGCCGCTTTAGGCACCCATTATCAACCTAGTTAATAACTGTGTTTCGTGTGTGTGAATTCGGACATTCAGGAACAGGGAAAAGTATTCTTACATACACGGTAGGAAAGGTCTTTTTTTTTTTTTACTCAAAGAATTAAAATTAGAATGTCTACTCTGGACGAAAAGCAGACCCATATTGTGGTCCTGCCCAGAGAGTCCCACATCAACAAATTTTACGGGGACGGTGATCCAACCTTAACCAACAGGTTCAGTGAAGAGGTCAGGGCTGCCTGGGCCTCGAGATACATGGCACCAGAGGAAAGATTAAGATTGTTGATGGGCAGTATAGGAGAGCCGGTTAGGGCAGAGGTCAAATGCCACGATAAAACCATCCAAACAGATCCAGATAAGGTGCTAGATCTAATTATGGAGACCTTTGGGGAGAGACGGTCGGGATCGCAACTGCTATCGGGGTTCGTAGGCTTAAAGCAGAGAATGGCGGAGAGTGTGATGGAGTATTCACACCGAATGAACAGGGCCTTTGATGCGGTAAAGGGCAAAACACCCGACATTGATGTGCGCCTACTGAGGGACCATTTCATCGAGGGGCTAGCAACCCCTATCTTAAGGAGATATTTGAGAGAAGAGGTCTATAAAGACCCACAGTTGACCTTCCTTCAGGTCAGGAACTCAGCGATCCGCAGGTCCGAGGATGAGGACCAATCGAACTGTTCGGTAGACAAAGTCTCTGTGCCGGAACAGAAACAATCCCCACCCACAGGGACCGGCACGATGGAAACCATGATGGCTCAACTGTTGGCCCACCTGGATAAGGTTGACCAACGATTGGAGAGGTTAGAAAGCAGGTCAACAGCAGAGAATCAGGGCAAAAACGGGACAAAACATAGACAGGTTAGACAGCCGCGACCTGCTGGTCCATCACTCCAGTGGACAGCTGACGGTAGACCAATCTGCCTGTCCTGCTCACAACCCGGACATATGGCACGGGACTGTCAGGGGAAACGATCGCCTTATGTAAGGCAGGGTAAGGCTACAGAGCGGCGAGGTTATGGCTTAAGAAACAAAATGGGACAAACAATGAAAGAGTCTCAAACAAGACTCGAAGAGAAATTATCAGATATTGAAAAAATGAACTGTGAAATGAACTTGGATGTTAAAAAGTTTCAAGTGAACAATTTGTTGGCTGAGAAAAAGGATGATAAGGAAGTAATTGGTAGACTTAATAATGAGATCTCAAGGTTAACCATGAAACTGGATAGGGAAAGTTCATGCAAATTAAAAGCACAGGAGAAATGTTCATCTTTAGAGTGTCTGTTATCTGAAGAAGAAAATAGAAAATTTGTACCTGGTTTTGCAAAAATTGCCGCACCGTTGCATGACTTGGTAAACAAAATGACAAAGAAACACAGTAAGGAGAAAAAGAAAGGCAAAACACAACTGATAGGTGAATTATGGACTGAGGAATGCCTGAACTCGTTTAAGCTACTGAAAAATGCTTTGACCGAGGCGCCGATATTAGGATACGCAGACTTTGACAAACCATTTCGGCTAGAAATTGACGCCAGCTCTAAAGGTCTGGGAGCTGTACTATCACAACAACAAGAGCAAGGTTCCAGGGTTATTGCGTATGCCAGTCGAGCTCTGAAGGAAACAGAGAAGAACATGACAAATTACTGCGCCATGAAACTAGAACTTTTGACATTAAAATGGGCTGTGACTGAAAAATTCAGGGACTATCTATTAGGTGCTAAATGTGTGGTATACACTGACAATAACCCCCTGAGTCACCTACAGACAGCAAAGTTGGGATCCATCGAACAGCGATGGGCAGCAGAATTGGCACTCTTTGACCTAGAGATAAAATATCGCCCGGGGCGGTCCAATGGCAATGCGGACGCTTTATCAAGGAATCCTTATGAGAGACCGGGCGATGAGGAAGAAACGCTGACAGGAATATGTGAGGTCAGAGCGTCAACAGATATCCCTCACGGGGTGCAAGTGATGCAAAACGGGCAGACTGTGGTGGAGCACATATCCACAGAGCCCCGACATATGGACATCAGTGATTTTAATTGCCTTAATAATAAAGAGATAAGAGATGCCCAGAGAACGGATAGTGGGTTACAGCCGCTGTTGAAATACGTCCAGGAACAAAAATTCCCAAGAAGAAGGGAAAGAGAACAGTTTGGTCGGGAAACAAAGAAACTACTGAGTCAGTGGGACCGTCTCAGTATAAAAGATGGTGTTCTCATGCGGAGAATTCATGACCAAATAGACGGGACAATACACCAGGTGGTGGTGCCTGGACAGTTACGAGAAGAAGTGCTAAAGGTGGCACATGACAGGGCGGGACACCAGGGTCAGGACAGGACGCACAAAATATTACGACGGCGGTGCTATTGGCCCAATATGGAGATGGAGGTCAAACGCCATTGTGAGGCTTGTGTGAGGTGTCAGCATGCGAAAATGCCAGTTGTCAAAATGAGACAGCCATCAGGACACTTACTGGCGACAAAACCACTAGAGATTGTGGCAATGGACTTTACGTCGTTGGAACAATCATCGGATGGGACGGAACATGTGTTGGTGATGACGGACGTATTCACCAAATGGACTGTCGCGGTGCCCACACGAGATCAGACGGCCAAAACAGTGGCAAAGGTCTTAATAGAACACTGGTTCATCAAATATGGCATACCAAGACAATTACACTCTGACCAAGGAAGGGCCTTCGAGTCAGAAGTAATTAACCAACTGTGCAGCCACTACGGGATCAACAAATCTAGAACAACCACATATAATCCTAAAGGAAACGGACAGTGCGAGCGGTTCAACCGCAGCATGCATGATTTGCTGCGTACTCTAGAACCTGAACAGAAAAAACGTTGGCCTGATTTTCTCCCAGAGTTGGTATATCTATACAACTGCACCCCCCATGCCACAACCGGCTTTTCGCCACACATGTTATTGTTCGGACGGGAGGCTCGACTCCCTCTCGACTTGTTCCTAGGAAAAAAGGAAAGTATGTCTGGCTCATACACCGCACTGGAATATGTGAATGAACATATGAGACGAATAAGAGAAATGTACAGGGTAGTACAAGGAAGACTAGAACATGAAGCACGGCGAAGAGAACCGCGGGTACAGACAAAAGACCCGCCACTCCAACTGAACGACAAAGTATTACTGCGTAGCCACCCATTAGGCAGAAACAAAATCCACGACCTCTGGGGACAGGAGATATGGCAAGTCGTGGAGATGCCTAAAGTAGCAGGTGGCCCCTTTAAAATAAGACCCACCAATCACACCAAACCGGATCGGTGGGCGAATATTGCTCAATTAAAGAAATATTGGCATAGTCAAGAAGAGCATTTACACACAAAGAAACCTAAGACAATTAGGGAACCGGAAACTACAACGGAAATTCTCATACCCATCCCGGAACCATGTCACCATCAACAGCACAACAGCGATACACAAGTGGAGGATAACGGCAACAATGAGGATCCCGATCCTCCCAGAAGCAGAGAGACAGTAGACCATCAGATAAGTGGTCCGCGGAGAAGTGTGAGAAACAGAAAGAATACGAAATTTTTCGTCAGCAACCATCAATTCTTTCATGGTCGCGCTGGGATGAGAACAGACTGTTCAAAAGCTATAAAAATGAACTGGTGAAGACACCAAACGAAAAAAGGTGGATGTGAATTCTAGAACTGCTTTGTGTCTGAGGAATATGATGTAGACACATTTGATATGTGAAATAGGGATAACTGTCAATCTTTTACGAATGTGACGACATTGACAGTGAGGGGAACAATAAATTTTTTTTACGGTGTTGCGTTTGACATTGAAGGAGTGCACCTGCCAAGCGTTGTTTGTGGTTGAAAACACACACAAAAAAAGGCGGGGGTGGATGTAACTAGGGTAGTTACCATACTATTGTAAGAACGTATTACAGTCTGATGCAACAGTTGCAGGACTGATAACGAACACCAGGCCGCTGCGCAGTTAATAGTTCTGATGCAACAAATGGTAATTATTACGTATACGAGGGGATGATGGGAAGGCGACTGGTAGAGAGAGGCAGAACCCAGTTGGTTACTGAACGGTGTAGACGTGTGTGATTCGTGAGAATAGGAACGATGGACACGTGCATTCTGTTATGTTAGGACTAGTGAGGACAGTGGGGGTCAGTTGGTTCATTGTATTCTTGTGGAACATTGGTGCATTGTTATGTGGAGCATTTCTATTGATTCATGTAATAAAGAGATCAATGTAAACCTGCATTTCCGAGTATCTATATTGTGGTCGATGTTGTGTGCTGGTCAAAGGTAGCACGAGTAAATACACTCGGTAACATTTGGCGCTGTCAGCAGTGAAATCGGTAACATTTGGCACTACAAGTAAATAGACTCGGTAACATATATATATATATATATATATATATATATATATATATATATATATATATATATATATATATATATATATATATATATATATGCTTTTTACCCACTGAGGTGTTGTGGTTAAAAGAGTTGACACTGAAACGACGCTGTTGTCAACTACTGACTTTATTCACATTACATCGAGCCATAAACGGCGATGTAGAACAACAGTAGAAAACAATATAGAAAACAGTTGATCACAGCAAAACAAAAACCAAAGAAGACGACGACTGACGACGACGATTAACGACGATTAAATTGTATTCCTAAAACAAATGTCGGAGCGACAGAACACGTGGGCCCATGCCGGTCGGCCACAAAGTGCACGAATAAGAGAATCGAAACTGACCGCGACTGACCTGAAATTTAAATGAGCTATATATCGATAAATAAAATTCCCACGTAAGAAACTCTTTATAACCCTGAGATCGTAGACCGACCCTCGATGTTAGCAAAAATAAAAACTACGATAAATTCGGGAAAACTAAGGAAGGGCTGTAAAAGTGACCGGTTCGAGTTTCCTTATACAAACATTTTTAATTTGGTGAGAAACGATCGCTATTTACAAAATCATTTTTAGGGTACTTTGGCTCTGTATCTGTGGCTCATTGTTTTCCATAGACTTGGATAAAGATTTTGGCCGTATGGAAAAACCATCGGTTAGCCTCTGCTCGCAAGGCGAGAGCTAAAAAGTGACCGCGAAAGAAATTCTCCTAATATGAGCTATTTATCGAAAAAAAAAACTTACCGAACGCACCTCCCTTTGATATTTTGTGAATCCGTAGAAAAACGGTCATGGATGTCAGAAAAAAACTCGCTATATCTGGGAAAATTGGTAAAGCGGTCAAAACTGACCAGTCGTATTTCTCTAGAAATTAAATTCTATTTGAAAGGGAAAAATATATGATTTGTTGTGTATCATTCTTACTCTAAAAATCATCTATGCTGCTTATAATATTTATAATATTTTTTGCCTAAATTTACTTCAGCACTCGTTGTAAGGTCAATGCACCCTCAATACCTTAAAAAATAAGATTGAAATTAGGCGGCTTGTATTATGTACGAATAAACCATCTTGAATGGAAGAAAGAAGTATTGCTATTATAAATCTTCACCAGATCTGTTTATCAAACCTGCGATAACATAGGCTAACTATACTCAACAAAATCGATATTCTTCACTCTCAACTTACCACCACTCAAAAACATCACCCAACTATACAATAACATCAACTCGATTTCTTAAACTCAATACCAATAACTCGATACCACCTACTCGATACTTAACTCACGACTACTCAAAAAACTCTATTCAATAAGCTATCATTTTTATTACTCGATACTATGCAACGCACGACCTCTATTCAAACTATACGATACATCACCCTTTTCAAATTCCATTACTGCTAAACAAAGACTCAACGCAACCCATCACTGCATAACTGCAGTCGGTCACTCTTCGATACTTCGTCACCAAACTCGATACTCAACAAATTCATCTCTCCCGACTCTTCCTAGCGCTACCACCAACGACTAGATATGTTACCAACTACAAGAGAGAATACATCAACGATACCTTAACACCACAATACTCGCCTACTCATCAACAGGAGTTAAAGGGTGGTGTGAATTAAATAGAGTATAATTATGTAATTCAATTCACATTCAACGTTTCGAGCTCAGCTTAAGGGCTCAGGTTCATTTGGACTCCCAAGACGTCATCTAGTTCTGGTGGACATTGAACCATGCTTGAGAAAATAAAGAATGCATTGAATTGTCATCATTGATCACGCCATCCTTTCATTTACCTGGTTCTTAGAGATAGATGAAATACTGCGTCATGGACTGTAAGAGCTTTTAAAAATGTCAATAAAAAACAATATTTCTTACAAGGTACTTCGCAATAAATAACAAAAATGTATAATCTTTGATTTATCTATAATTTATTTCTTGGCAAACATTCCCTCCCTTTGATAAACCTAACCTGTAAAAGTAACAAAAATCCCCGATAACGTCAGTCCGTTGAGCCGACTACTGGTTTTACTCCGCAAGGGGGCAGCACGTTGAATGGGAAGTCACATGTCAGGACCTCATCATTGAACATAAGGTCTTTTACGTAAATAGAATCGTGTTAGCACACACAATGAGATAATCAAACATAAATTATACATTTAAAAAAAAAATTCCGTAGTGGGCAAAGTCCATGTGGTCAGCCCTCCTCCCCCCCCCCCCCACTTCCCGCGAACCCAACCAGCGATGGCTGAAAGTGATACTTTACACATAGGATGCAGAATGGGTCATCTCTCTCACCAGATCCCTTATCTAGCCGCTAGACTTTAGGCATCTTCAGCCTTTACATTGCAAGACGCGCTGTGTTCCGATTGATCTGGCCAATGCTAAATCTGATGCTGTAGTCTAGTGTGGTAGGCTTAACATTAACAATTACACCCGTAACTACAAATATAAAGCCATGGTACTCAATGGTTATGAAAATTTAGTTTAGGGACAAGATTGCTTGAGTTAAAAAAAGGCGGGCATTAAATTCTCAGTGTCTGGTTACTACCTATTTAAAAGTAAAGTTAGTTTGAAATTTGTATGAAGGCGCACGAATAAAAACACGTACTTGAAGGGCAGTAGAATTCACCGATAGATTTCCCACCTATACATCTCGTGTATGTGTGGCAGTTGTCCGCCTGAAATGTTTTTAAGCTATAATTAGTGGTTGAATTTAATTGGACAATTTAGCCGCTGTCGGACTAAATTTAGGTGAGATTTGGGTTTTGGGCAGGATGAGGGTTAGTAAATATTGGATAGGATTTAAGGGGTTAGTAGATAATGAATATGATTTAAGCGGTCAGTAAATATTGGATAGGATTTAAGGGGTTAGTAGATAATGAATATGATTTAAGCGGTCAGTAAATATTGGATAGGATTTAAGGGGTTAGTAGATAATGAATATGATTTAAGCGGTCAGTAAATATTGGATAGGATTTAAGGGGTCATTAGATATTGGATATGGTTTAAAGGGTCAGTAGATATTGGATAGGATTTAAGGGGTCGGGAGAAATTGACATGGATATTGAGGTTGTCTGTAAGTATGACGTCATTTTATCGAAGTAATTTCTCTCATAAGTCGAAATGTTTTGTGTGTAAATGCGAGTCTAATATGTGTCTGTGTTTGTGTGATTATATGTCTGTATATTTGTGTCTGCTTGTTTGAGTATGTCTGCATAATTATGTGTATAATTGTGTATACTGTGTCACCACCTAGACTCACAGTGTCACCATCAAGACTCATCGTGTCACCACCTAGACTCATCGGATCACCACCTAGACTCACCGTATCACCACCTAGACTCACCGTGTTACCATAAAACCCGTCGCTCTTCCCTAGGCAAATGTCAATGTCCACGTGAGAACATTCATGTGAAGTGCTGGTCGCTGGACTGAAATAAACCACCATGAAACCACATGACTATAACACCATGACACCATGTGACTAGTATACCATGACACCACAACACTATAACACGACACCACGTAACTATAACACAAAGACATCACGTGACTATAATATCATGACACTACTTGACTTTAACACCATGACGCCGCGTTACTACAATACTATGACACCACATTTAAGAGACCTAAATACAACAAGTATTAAACTTTCACTATTATTTAAACAGATCTTACTAGAAGGTTCCGAACTTCGTATTATGGTGTATCTTTAAATGAATGTTTTTATTTAATTTATTGCACTGATATTTTGTGAATAAGTTCTAGTTAAGAACAAAGTCGCCATTTTCGAAGAAGCTTAAAGACAGGCATCAAACCTGCATGACACTTAGATTTTGTGCTCCTATGTGGATTGTTTTTTATTTTTATGTCTAGATATGGGAGAATGGGAGGTGTGGGAGTACTGGTGTTTGTCTCAAACCCTGGCTATTCTACCCCAAAACCATCTTTTTTCATTATGTAATATATAGGCTTGGGTGGGGGGGGGGGGGGGGGTGAAACTATAAGACGTCAAGAGATCTGAGGCGAATCTACTGAGGCCATGCAACATTGGTCCACTATATGGCCAAAAAGATTGCCTTTTGTTAAACTTAAAGCAAGAATGGCCGAGGACTTAATGTACACATAGTCCACCTGTTTGCCGTAAGTTAGACAATAGAAAACAAAACGACCTTGGCTTACTCAACACACGTCATGGTCAGTCTCTGCAAGACCTGTGGGGGTACACACTTGAAGGTCACCGTGATGTTATTGATGCACCGCTTGTAGCCCTCGCAAGAGATCTCCAACAAGTTGTTGGTGCCAGATATGTAACACGGCGGCGGCATCGTTGTAATGTCCTGCCCGCTGACTCCGACTGAGGAGTCACAAAAATCAGCTTTTTGTGTTGGATATTAGGTAAAAATAAACCGGGAGTGATCTCCCCTAAACTTTCTAGAATATTCTTATATAAAACAACAGGAGATGGGAACTCGGGATATAGTTATGATTATCCGTTTTAAATACTCAAACTTTTTAAAATAGAATAGAATCTCATAGAAAAAAGAATTGCGCACCAAGCGAACGCCAAAACAAAATGTGCATAATAGTGCGGAATATTATTAGTACTTTATAATTTACAAGCGTATTTTTGAGAAATCGGAAATAGCGTAAATTACTACTTCCGGTCAACGGAAATTACTTAAAATTTGATAGATGGTAGAGGATTAGATCTTTTACTTACTTGTGAAATTTCATTCATCTATATGAAATAGTACTCAAGTTATAGGCTTTTGAAAAATTCAAAGTGAAAAAAGTACCACTTCCGGTTATCGGAAATCGCTCAAATGTTGATACGGATCTACGAATTTTGATAAAATACTTATATATGAAATTTCATCAACCTAGCTGTAACGTACTCAAGTTATCGTGTTTACACACAGACAGACACACAGACATACGGACAAGATTGCAAAATAATGTTTTTCCGTATCAGTGAGGTGTAAAACGTCCAGATTTGTAAAAATCTCGATTTTTTTTTTGCACGATTACAAGACTTTTTTCTATACTTCGTATATACGAGAAAGTAATTACAAACTTCACATAAAACGGATTAAAGAGAGTGAAATAGTCGACTCTTGGTGTTTTGAACAGGGAAAATAGCCGATACTAAGATAATTAGAAGTGGGAAAATAGCCGATACTTAGATGTTTCGAAATGGGAAAAAATAGTACCTTACGGGCCATGGTCTCGTCACATGAAGAGATAGTGTGGTCAACACTATGCCCAGCCACTTTTACTTCCCCTAAAGATTGTCAGGTAAACATCAGAGCTGGGTCGACTCAAGCACGTCGTAATGTCTGTGGCCCGGGATCCAATTCGAGACTTTTTGCTTTGAAATCAAACGCTGGACAATAAAAAAAAAAAAGACACACGGTTCGATAAATTGTTTTAAATTGAGAAAATATCTACATTTTACGTGTTTTAACCTCGAAAAAAAAAAAACCGACACTAAAGCCGTCTTCAGATTGTTTGCAATAGCCAGTTATAAAGCTAACATAACTCTGCTTGGAAATATCCCATATCTTCAATTCAGTTCTATTATCTTTGATATTATCTAATTTGACGAAAAATACATTTTTTTTTTCAAATGCTGTATTCTTTTATCAATATTTATTGAAAAATCCTATTTAAGATCCCCTTTGGCCTAATTGGAAGCTAAATTGTTTAATTAGAAGCTACATGGTGTAAGTAACGGATAAGCTGCTTAATTAGTAGAATAATTGATTAATTAGTGAATACAATAATTACAAACAACCCACCTTTGCACACGATGAAACCCAAGGCGAAAACAAAGAAGAAAAACATGGCTGTCTACTGACACGACTGGACACCTGTAGAATGACAATATTTTTTTCTCAAACGGTTCCAGATTGCAACGTGAGATAGTGAAAGGTCCTCGGCCTACTAACCGCCGCCAGGTAAGGCAAACACCGTCGCAATCCAATGTTGGAAGTAATAAAGTAATAAGTATATGATGATTTTCCTCCTCTAGTTGTTTTATTTTCTGCTTATCAGCAATTCATAATTTGTGAATTCAACACTACCCCTCCCGCCCAGGGATAGCAGCCGGTTACAGACAAACAAAAGATTAATCAGAAATTGTTACCTACCCTTCGTTTCAGATCGTTTAATACTAAATTATCTGCCCCTAATAGCCGTCACTAAACCGGCTCTACGATTGTAAACATTCGAGGTGAACCACAGCTCACCTGACAGGTGGGGATGAGGGTGGTGGCTAAGCTGCGTGGTGTTTTCTATGGTCTCCATGAAGAGAATTATATATATAGATATAGATGCTATGTTCAATGTACATTATTATAATACTCAAGAGCTCTTTTAGTTGAAAAATACAGTAAATTTTAAAATTGAATATGTATGTATTGGTTACTTTAACTGTTTATTCTTTTAATGAACATAGATACTTAAAATCGAGTGTAACAGTTTTTAAACAATTGCTACTGGATAGTATTAAGTTTCATAGAATACAACTAGCACTATTTTACAACCAATTCGTACTGAAATCAAACTTAAATAAATAATAAACAATCCTCTTTGCTCCAATTTGATTTTTCTGTTAAATTATAATCTATCTTCTCTCTATATAACAAAAACAATGTATGTGTCTGTCTGTTTGACTTTTATGCATTACTACACCTTTCGATTTCATCCCATCGCCATGAAAGTTTGGGAATTTGTTGAGAATACTCTTGGGGAGGTATCTGCGAGAAGTACAAAAGAAAATAGGAAGATAAAACCAATAATTTTTTTTACTGAAAAGTAGATACTTAACTAAAACTAGACACTAACGTAAAAATGTATCTCCTTACTACAACTGACTCTGAAGCTTATCAAGAGAGATGTAATGTATAGACATATGTTTAGTAAATATTTTTAAACATGATTGTTTTTCCCTTTGTTTTAATGCTGGGTTTTGCTACTTGTTTTTATTCATCAATCGAGAATGAGCAGAGAGATATCAAGATTTTGAGTTTGGTAAGTGATGCAGTTACATAATGTTTGTGAAACTGTTGGCTTAAGTTGAATCAGTAAAAAATGTAGACTGTCTTTGTGATGTTAAACCCTCCCCCCGAAACAACAACACTCAACTAGCTCTATGTAGTGGAGGATCTGGATAGACAAAGTGGAAGTTATGGCAGTCAGAAACAAACAATTTTAGTCAGAGAGCTGAAGTGTGAAGGTGTTTTAATCAGTCAGTTCAAACAGAAAAGTAAAGAAAAACAGGAAACGTGTTGACCTCAACTCTATTTATAGCCCTGTAACACATCTAAATTAAAAATAAAGATGATCACGAATGTAATCATGGCACATAAATAATGAATAATAAAATATGTCTAGGTTAACATTCTAAAACTGAAAGTGTGAAAAGTGAAAAAGAAAATGTGAAGATAAAACCAATGAAAATATTACTGAAAAGTGGATACTAAAGCTGGACACTAACGTAAAAATGTATCTCTTTCTTTCTACAACTATATGAAATATTGTATCAAACATTATTACATACAACACATTTAAAAAGATAAGGGTCCTTCTAAAAGACAGCCTTATTTCAACTGACAAAATACATTCCAGGTACTTTTCTTAAACTTTAACAACATAAGTTAATATAACTTTAACAACACATTTTGATTTATCATTCTCATAATATGACATAATATATACTGTTACAAGATCTAGAAATACAAAAAAAAGTGGTTAAAATGAACCATGAACCCAACTAAGTAGGCGGCTGGGCATAGTGCTGACAATACTGTCCTTTCATATGCCAAGGTCACAGAAACAGGTAAACTCTACTTCACTTGCCCATTCACCGTCAGGTTTAGAAGGAGAACTTTACTTTTACTTTAAGTAGGGCCTATATTTCAAAATTTTTAGTTGTTCAATCTAAATATTTACAATCCAAAAACACAATTTTAAAATAACATTATTTTAAAAAAAAAGTTATGGTTCTTAATAACTGTACAATTCTTAGCTTGGTACTCAATCTAATTTTCTCAAAAAAAAAAAACAAAAAAAAAAAAAACCCTGACATTAACTCATGGCTTTGTTTATATTCACATTAATCATTAAAAACAATTGCTGTTACTTGTTTTAGAAAAATAATGCTGATCTTTCAATAATCATAAGTAGAGATCTAAAGTTTGGCAGGACTTTAAATTTAATTTTAAGGGGATGTTATTTAATCAAGGATTTAAATATTTTTCCCATTTGAATAATTTATATTTTAAAAATGTAACATGGTTTAAAGAAATGCCAAAAAATTTAATTAAAAGGTATCTAGGAGCAGAACATCTTTTTAGTTTCAATATCTAAAGAATTACATGGGCGAAAATAACATAGCCAGTAACTTTCCTTGGTGCAGACAGTTTTTTTTCAAACATAAAAGTAGATAGGAATCTATTTGACTTTTTTCTTTTTCTGTTGTTGTGGGCTGGCTGTTTTGTTGGCTGGTTGCTGTTTGGTGCTGGACTGTTGGGTGCTTGACGTTCTGTAAGACGAGCTGAACAACGAGTCAAGTACCAACAGGACAGGCACCAAGAGATAAGGAAAATAAAACCCAAGCAGCGTCAGACGTTCGTTCAAGTTTCTGGGACTTGGGTGTTTTTCATTGGAGAAGTCGTAGAACAGGATGTGTGCGCTGATTGGGATAAGTGTCGTGGCGACGTGTGATCCATAAACAACACAGGGCCAGCGTAGCCACTTACAATTCTTGGAGCCTGGAAACACAAAATATAATACATGTGTTTGTTTTAAAGAATTAAGTTAAAGCTGGTAAAATGTTAAAAAGTAACAAAAAAATTCCCTTTTGTACCTGACAGTTCATGGGGCTAGTGAAGTAGAGTTCACCTGTATCTGTAACCTAGGCATATGAAGGCATAGTGTTGTCAGCACTATGCCTTTAATTTCCCTTATGTGAGTTAAGTACTCATCAGAGCTAGGTGGACTCCGGGACATTCAGCTGACTTGAAACCCAATTAGAACTTGAGGATTTTAGGTTAGCAGTCTAGTGCTCCACCGCTATGCTACACCACCCCTTTAACGATTATTCATTTTGGTCCTAGAGACCAAGGACACGCCTGGCAACTTAACTAAATGTTGGTCTATATAAATTTATAAATACTGTGTGGCCTGAACAATGCTCAGATACTTCTTTGTCTTAATTAAGTCCTGTGTATTCAATCTAGAAAGCAAATTTAATTACTAAAATTCCCAGTGAATTTTTAATGTAAGCAAACTTGATTCACATAAAAGTTAATAAATTTTTAATTGTATGTAGATCTAGAGCTAATTATAATTGTAAAAACAAATTCTTACTATACTTTTCATTAACGTAAAATATCAATGTACCTTTGAAAAAACCATAGACAGCAATGAAGAAGAAAGGAAACTGGATAAGCAGTTCACAAAAAACAAATGACTTGAACCAGGTGGGCGCTGCCACCATCATGGGATCCCGAAATTCTCTGCAGTACCATTCCTTGACGTCAATGAGCTAAAGGGATGAGAACATTAGCATGATGAGATTAATTAACAGGACATTGGCCTAGTTATATTTAAGCAAAATAATCTAGACATTAAAAATACCTTTTTATTTAACGTTAATTAGATCCATAATTAATAATTAGATATCGAATCTAGCACTTAGCAGAGGATTGAAGTTGTTAATTTTCCTTTCTTACACAATATTACACATTAAGCTGTGTAGTAGTGTATGGGAGCTAGATTCTAGATCTAGATATCTAGAGGCCAAGTTATGAGTTAGAATCTAGTTAAAATAACAATTGTTTCAAATTTAGCAATTGTGAATTGATTGAAGTCATTTGATTTATACTTCATGTGATGTGGTATTGATTATTCGTTAGGCCTAGATTTCTAGATCTAGATAATCTAGAATAGATATTAGAGATACAGGTAATCTATTCTAAGTAGCTAGACTAGATCTAGATTAGATCTAGATCTACGTGTACATGATTGATTCATGATTCAATCATTATCTCATTTAAAATGTTAGATCTAGAGATCTAGATCTAGATAGATCTAGATTCTAGATTTCTAGATCTAGATCTAGATCTAGCTAGATCTTTTCTAGATCTAGATCTAGATTAGATCTAGCTACACAGCTAATGGATTTTGCTTAGTTAGGCAAACAACTAACTTACTTGTTGTGGATAATATTCTAAGGGTAGTACAGACTGAAAATCTACCAACAATGAAATGGGAATGTGTGTTAAGAAATAAAAGAAAAATACAATATCAAGGAAGCGAGCCATTTTTATTTTAAATCTAACAGTTCAAATAACACCGCCGAGTCCAAAGGTCAAAGGCTGGACATTTTAAAACAGCCAGATAAAATTTTCGTTAACACAGCCAAACTTAATCAAAGTAATGAAAAACAAAAAACCTAGATCTGTGTATGAATTTTAATGCACAAATGAAAGCATTAATAAGCTGTTGGCATTCTAACAGAAAAGATGCACATCACTTACCATGTGAAAATATCTGATTTGTGATTTCTCTAAGCGTTATTTAATAGATACATTTTAAAACTTAAAATCCTGTTATATAAAATGTAATGTTGACCCATAGCAATCGGAATCGGAGTATCATTTTGTACTAATAACTAAGGTATTGAAATACGATTACATCATATATTATAATTTAATGGGGGGGGGGGGGGGCTTATATATTTTAATGGTTTGGATAGGGGCGTTACTCGACGAAGAGGTTACTATAGGAGCATCTTTAGGTTACGCCCATACTTATAAAAATCCACATGGAGTTGGCAGGGTGGGGATGGGGGTGGGGAACTTAAACCTTCCGAGGGTGAACACTTAATAGTGTGTAGCTTGGTATATTTGTTTATTCTTATTAGCATCGGGATGTTCCAAGCTACAACAGGCAACCATATTGGCTCAAGAACTTGAAGGAAGACAATGTTTTCTCGTTTTGTTGTTGTTTCTGTTATGTCTTAGCTTATAACATTCGCGGTATATTATTAGCCACTTTGAGGAGATGGCATGTTAAGATTGTTTGTATTTGCATATATTTAGAGTATTTTCATGTTTACATTACGCTTTAAACTATAGTCTGCGTTAGTTATATTGAGATTAAAATGTGAACAAATAGTACACAAAAATCTGTAGCTGAGGAATGATTGGGAGGGAAGTGACACACATCACGGTAAGAACTTCAAGGTTAGGTAGAGTATAAAAAGTGGGGATTAGGAAAGTTTGGGGGTCCATTCTTCTACAGACAGCCATGACTTATTGAAGTTCAACAAAAAGTAAAATAATCGCAAATACTGACTTTGTTTTGTTTAATTAATAATCACATTCAAGTATCGACACACCCTAACTCCGCACCAGATTGTCAAGACCATACCACAATGAGTAAGTGGCTCACCACTTCGTATTTTAAGTGCAATTAGTGATACATTTTTTGGGTGTCACCATTTTTATGTCAAAAGACTGATTTTTGCAACTCCGCTCCACACGTTTCTCAATTCGCAGACCAGATTATTTATCGGATAGTGAACGTCTCAGAGCAGGTAGAGATACATGGGTGTGTACCACAGCGTCGCCTGTGTTTTGTGGTGGTTGGCGTGTGTCTGGCCCAGCAGCCGGGCAGGGGATGTTGTTCTGCTTATAAAGGACACACCTCTTGCTGGCAACTTGAAAGATTCTGTTGTAAGTTTACATGCATTATTTTCTCGTTTTGTAACTTATTAAACACATATAGGTCCTAGGCCTGTTTTATTTAATGTATTAAAACTTTCTGCTAAGTCTAAGTTTTTAAAATGCATAGATACATCTAGTAACCTTTAAATGTATCAGTATGGGTTACATCATCGAAGGTCTCTATATAAAAAAAAACAACACACACAATGACGTGAGAAAGGAGGGGGGGGGGGGGGTTTGGGTGGTGAGAAGGGAGTATTAACCCTCACCCAATCTAAAATGACTACTTTCACATTTTACATTGAAACTCTTGGTGATGACGCGTATATATATATATATATATATATATATATATATATATATATATATATATATATATATATATATATATATATATATATATATATATATATATATATATATATATATATATATATATATATATATATATATATATAAATATATATATATATATATATATGTAACGAGTCTATTTGCTTGTAGTGCCAAATGTTAACGAGTGTATTTACTCATTCTACACAACATCGACCACAATATAGATACTCGAAGATGCAGGTTTACCATTGATCCTTTTATTACATGAATCAAAAGAAATGCTTCACAATAATAGAATGAATCAACTGACCCCCAACCGTCCTCACTAGTCTTCACATAACCGAATGCACATGTCTATCGTCCCTATTAACACAATACGTCTACAACGTTCAGTAACCCACTTGATACTGCCACTCCTACTCCTCGTTCTCAGCTCTCGCCTTCCTATATATCCCTTCGTATTCGTAATCGTATTCGTACTCATATTCATACTCGTATTTGTACTCGTATTCTAATCGTTGCATCAGAATATTAATTGCGCAGCTCTGTCGTACAGTCCGCTTATTAGACCACCTGCATCCTGTTACGTCAGCCCCGTTTGGCCTTGGTCATGTCAAAGTTGACAGCGCTGTACTAGGTTCTTATGTCTCTGGTAACTCTACTAGTTACATATATATATATATATATATATATATATATATATATATATATATATATATATATATATATATATATATATATATATATATATATATTTTTTTTTTTTTTTTTTTTTTTTTTTTTCTTCAGCTCGTAAAATTTGCGTATATATTAAAAAATAACAATAATAATAATCTGTCAAAGGAAATTGAAAACATAACTAAATTGGGTGCTAGATTTTATTTCGGCAAACGCTTAGATGAGAAGCATTGTCGTTAGTTTGAGAAGATGAAAAATATAAGCAAATATATTTCAATATGTGAAACAACAATGACAATCTTTTGCTTCTCTTTACGCTCGGAACTGAAAGAATTACTTGGAAAAGTTTGGCTACATCGAAGATGCATCAAATTCCTTAACAAGCGCTGAATCGATTCAACAGGCGTTGAAGTAAAGCATTTAATTGTTTTGAAAATATATTTATTTTAACAGAAACAAAATATTCAGACGTAATACATTTGATAACTTTAACTTTAACGATGACAAATAAATATAGGTTACACTCTAAAGATACCTGACATACCATGTGAAAGATGATGTAGAGTTTACCTGCAAGGAGGGATACAGAAAATAAATTAGGAATTAATAACCTGAGACAGACCTTCCGCACCGCCCCCCCCCCCTCTCCACACATACAAACCCACGTCATAACAAAATTTTAAGTTAGACACGTAAATTAGTTGAAATAACCAAGTCAGTCACATATAACAATAACAGGAACTCACTCAAACACACAACACAGAAACTCATTTGTTTCCACTGATACACATAGACTTTTATACACTGGCGAGAAATTATTTGGAATTCAATTTACTTGATTTTGGTGAATGAATCTTAACACGAACAAATCCACGGTACCTTTTATGTTGCAAGTCCAGTGTCTTGTGATTTTCCAGAGATTTCCAAGACTTCAATGGCCTGGCTGTGACCGGCGAGCTGGACCCTGCCACCCTCCAGAAGATGGGTCAGCCCAGGTGTGATCTGCCCGACGTCATCAGGCCCGGGAGTCGCTTCTTGTCTCCAGTCAGGGGTGTTCGGTCCGCGGATGGGGAGAAACAGCCAGGTGAGGGTGGGGATGGGTCGGGTGTGGGGGTGGGGGTGGGTCGGGGGTGGGGGTGTTTCGTGGGTGGGGGAAACAAGCATTTCAACCTGGAGGTGGGTCGGGGTGGGTGCGGGTGGGAATCTGTTGGGGGTGTGGGTGGGGATGGGGTGTGGGTGGGGTGTGGGTGGGGATGGGTCAGGGGTGGGGGAAACAAGCAATTCAGACTGGGGGTGGGTCGGGGTGGGTGTGTGGGTATGAAATGGGTGGGGGAAACAAGCAGGAGAGGGTGGTGATGGGTCGGGGGTGGGGGAAAACAAGCATGGGGGAGACTAGCAGCTAAGAGTGGGGTGAGTTGGTGGGTGGGGGTGGGGGTGGGGAAACAAGCATGTCAAGGTGGAGATGGTTAGGGTTTTGGGAAAACGAGCAGTTGAGGGCGGGGTATTTGTGGGGGTAGAGGTGTTAGAATTGTAGGGAGTTTGCTTTTGGCTGAGTCGTGGACTTTTTGTGTTAAAACCTAGATGGGCTGAGTTTTATAGTAAGACTCCAATACTTGCAACACACAAAAACAATATCCACTGGACAGACCCTAGTATCGGGGTTGGTAAAAAAGACGATAAGCCTGTTTGATGATAGTCTTAAATTTAAATTTTCAATCCCAGTTACTCGCCGAAAACACTCTAAAAATAAATACTATAATACAAACAGTTATATTGATTTTTTTTAAATATAGATATGATTTTTCCTATGAACAGAGACAAAATGGTCGACCTCAGATCTGACCTATGGATTTGAAAGCTACACTAGTAAGTTGGAGCAAACTGAGATAGAGTAAGTTATATGTTGTTCAAAGTAAAATTAACATAATACATTGACACACTACTCATACTTTTACAAATGATTTCTACTAGTCCTGATCAGTATTAGTTGAAAGTTGTTTAAAATCGATAACAACTTTAAAAATTGATTGACACGATATGGATAACCTTGTATGTGTATTTGTCATAATGTTAGTATTATAGCGTTTGTGAATATGTATGGGCATAAAGTTAGTATATAGTTAGGTATATATATATATATATATATATATATATATATATATATATATATATATATATATATATATATATATATATATATATATGCGTATGCTTTAGCCATAAAGTTAGTAAATTAGTAAATAGCGTAAGACTTCAAATTAAACTTGATTTTCTGTATATTACAAATATAAGAATACATGCTATTGGATTTCATATATACGCCTATATCGTTTCATGAAGCTATATTCTTTTAATGTAGTAGGCAAGCTTGCTATAATATGCAAAGTATCACTTTACAGAACCGCCATTTCCAATGCTTTCCGGAAGTGGTCTGACGTAACGCCGCTGACTTTCAATGCTGGCCAGGGATTGGTTGATATAAATATCGGCTTCAATCGCCAGGAGCACGGTGATGACAACCCATTCGACGGACAAGGTCAGACATTTAAAAAAAAATGTCTAACAAGCTTTTTTGTAGGCCACTGTGTCTTGTCCAACTGTAAATGGATTTGTCATCAAATAAAAGTTTTCACTTTTGACTCATTGTAATGCAGCGATTATTTTTAAGCCTTACAGATAAACTTATTTTCCGATGACAATGCAAGCATATCCCTATTTCAATCTAATAAAAATATATGCTTAAAGATGTTTACAAACCAGTAAACTCAATACATATTACTAAATTTTACATATTTGATATAAAATTTTAATATTCGGTAGATTTTTTGAATAACTAGTAATATCTTAAAATAGTAGAGTAAAAAAAAAGAAAAGATACCTACGTATCAGATTGAATACTGAACTATAAATGTCGGTCACCTAAATAAAAAGGTAGTTGAGTTACCGGTCTTTTGAGAAAATATAGTATAGTTCCAGCGCGGATTATCCGGCATTGCACAAATGTATCTTGTAGCTCAATTTTCAAAAAAAAAAAAATGTTTCAGGTAAAGTACTCGCCCACGCATTTTTTCCCGGCAATCATCAGCTGGCAGGTGACACACATTTCGATGACGACGAGGAGTGGACACTCGACTCACCTCAGGTAATTACGTGCCCTAATTATAATTAGGTTTCATCTTTCTTATAAACTCTGTTCGCATATGTTTAAATGAAATTTTGCAAGGAGAGAATGCTTGGCTAAAATAACATTATTGAGTTAAAGTAAAATTCCACTTTAGAACTTAGACAGATAAGTATAATGTTTCTTGACCTCGGCTTATGAAGAGATGGTGTGGTCAGTATCATGCTCAGCCGCCTTACTTTCCCAAACGTAAGTCTGGTACCAATCAGAGCTGGGTGGACTCAGGGATGTACTAATCACAAGGCCGAACCGAGATGCGAACTGGAGTCCTTCGGCTAGCAGCCAAACGCTCTACCTTTCGACCACGCCATCGAGTTTGTTTTTGTAGCTGGTTTTTATTTCTTGACGAAGACATTTTGTCCATAAGTACGTAAAGTAAGATCACTGCTAAGATTGTTTATACTTTTAGATTACAGATTAAATCGTAATTTATTTCGACGATTGAAATTATTATAGTATTGACACATAAAAAAGATCATAAATGTAACACAATATATTCCAATACCTGTTGAATGAGTGTACATCGACACTGTGAACTTGTGTACACAAAAGTAGTAAACTAATGTCACTGAGTCATGTGTGTGTGTGTACACTTTCCAGGGCAGAAACCTGGAGATGGTGGCCGCCCACGAGTTCGGACACGCCCTTGGGCTTAAGCACAGCCGACACCATGACGCCCTGATGGCGCCCTACTACCAGGGCTACGACCCCAACTACGCCCTCCACCAAGACGACATAGAACGCATACAAAAAGTCTACGGTAAGATTTCCGGTAAGATTTCCGGTAAGATTTCCTAGACCAAAAGAAAACTGTTGAAATGTTTTCGTTCTCTATGAATATGTTGGAACACCAAAGCTACTTTCAAGCCTACCCGATAAGAAAGTCCATATATATCACCATCCACCACACCGAACGAAAAAGAATTTATATAGAAAATATATTTTTTAACCATGATCTACCCTCGGAAAATGTTGTAGGTATTGACCCCCACTCTTGTAGATATATATTTTTTTTCATTCAGGCACAAAAACCAACCAAGCTTCAGACAAGTCGACACTGCAACCATCGTCGCCCCCACACATGGCAACCATTCAGCCGATTCCTCCCCCACAACCACCCAGACAACCCATCGATGCCAGAAAACCTAAGAAACCTATCAAAAATAGAAAACCTAAGAAACCTATCAAAAATAAAAAACATAAGAAACCTATCAAAAATAGAAAACCTAATCCGAAAAAAACCAACAAAAAAGAAAAACCAAAGGGTGAAATACACGTAAAAAAGGACCAACCTAAGCATCACCGACCTAAGCGACCGATTGTATCAAAGACAGCTAAACCTACACACAAGACTGACCATCACAAACATAAATCACGCCAGTCACACAAGTCACCTACTGGCCATAGACACAAACATCACCACAAGTCCAATAAAAAACACGGCTAACCAAAAAGCAAAAACACGGCTGACAAATAGAAGGTACCACTGACCAATAGAAAGCACTACTGACGAACAGGAAAACTGCATTTTAATCCAGAATGTTATTAATTAACTTACTGAAGTAAACCTAATACAGGATGTTATTAATTAACTTACTAAAATAAACGTAATCCAGAATGTTATTAATTAACTTATTAGAATAAACTAAAATTCAAAATCTATTGATTATTGAGTTGTATTTTATATTGATTCTTAAATGTATAATTAAAAAAAAAACACTTTCTATTGGTTGATAAATGTTTCTTTATTAGAAAAAAAAAAGACGACGAAGCAATTGGAATTTTTTTTCTAGCACAACTAAAAAGTTTCAAAGTTGATTAAAGGAAGTTTAAAAATAACATTTTTTATACGGAGTTTGCAAATTATTCCTTTCGTTGTTAAATTGTAATTTTATAAAACCCTGTTAACATATTCATCGGTTTTCAATGTATTTTATTCTAAGAAGTAAGAAAACTCATTGTTAACATTTGTTAATTTGATAAAGGTTTAACGACTTAAATCTATATAAAGCATGTACATGGCAACTGCCTACTTTTAGAATGTAAACTGTTGCAATTCATATTCAAAGATTTCTATTTTTTTTTTTTTGTTTTTTTGTTAGTCACAGAAAATATAGTTTGAATAATACGTTCGAAAATCCGCAATTTGTAAACAGTTAATTTTTTTTGGCCAGATTAAACTCATACAATATCGTCTATTTGGCTCAAATTTAGCAAGGGAACTTTGAAGACGTCTAGATTTGGTTTTACACTGAGGCGTCGCAAGGCGGGGGCGGGGGGTGCGGACCGCACCGGTGACACCATTTAGGGACGGTGATACCAAAACAAAAAAATGCACGATATGTTGAATACTTTTTTTGGCCAGTTCATCGAATGGTTAATTAGAGATAAACAAGTATTTTAAGTACATAATGACGATCACAACAAGGGAAGGGTGACACCATGACGTAACCAAATAAATATAGAGAAAATAATGCTACATCCAGCTGTATTAACAACTAACTATAGGTAAACATCCTTAGATTAAATGCGAGCTTTTACCAGGGGGGGGGGGGGAGTATGAAACCAACTGCAAAATTAGAGGGAAAAAATAAGGGGGGGGGGAGAGGGACACCATGAGGTGCCGCACCGGGTGACACCCGACCTAGCGACGCCACTGGTTTTACATGGTGAACAGGGCGGGTAGGTGGTGGATTTGGGAGGTAAACGCGGTTAAGAGTTGGGAACGAAATGCACTACATCGCCTACATCTTATCCAATGTTGAAACTCGACAGTCATAACACAAGAGTGAGTACTCATCTTCAAGTTGTATTCCCGCCCCACCTACTTCCGTTGGTTATATAAAAACTTCTATCTATAAAATTAGTCTTGTTTATCATCATGGGGAAGAAAAAAGAAGTGTAGGGAAGACTGTGGTGTGTAAGTGTTAGACTGGACATTTTTAAAATGTGTGTGGAGGACGCTAACATGCGGTGTTGTCGTCTGGTTGTTTGTCTGCTGGTGTTTGTATATGTAGGCGGTTGTACAGGTGAGACGGTTCATGTACCACGTGATGAGTCGACAGGTGTATTGGTTCCAGGTGATGCTATCATAGGTGAGGGGAATGTAAAACAAAAGAATGTCTCGGTGACTCGGGGAGTTGAAGAAACAGGAGATCACTCATCAACTGAGGTGGTTAGAAAAGTTCACTCATCAACTGAGGTGGTTAGAAATGTTGGAGATCACTCATGGATTGAGAACACTCAACAGAGCTGGACAGACGGCCTGGCTTCCACAACAAGTTACGACGGGACGGGGAAAACACAGGGAAACGACTCACTATCTCAGGTGTTTCGCAAACCTCGCGACACCAAAGGTGTTTCAGGTGTTGTGGATAGTGTGTTGAATTTCTTCGCCAAAGGGAAGGTAGGAACTAACTATAATATTCGCTTAAAATTTATTTATATCATTTTGTTCTCGTCGATTTCATTTAATTTTTTAACATAATTAGCAGAAAAAGACTTTAATTGGGTTTTATATATTAGTGAGGTAGTTCAGGTGCATGGATAGAAGAGCGGGGTGAGAGGACATTGTGTTAGAGCGGAATTTATCAAAAATTTATTAAAAAATGAAACTTTCTATCTTATAAAAAATACATTTGTCTTTGTAAATACATACATCTTAAAGTATCAAATTGTGTCCTCACCTCTAGGCGTTTCTGGAGAGGTTTGGGTACATTGAAGATGTCTTGTCAGGGGCCACAACCCCTGTTGGAGCTATCAAAAATGCACTGAAGTAAACTTTTAATAATTTCCTATTGTAGTTAGCGTAGTTTAAGTAACCTCAGGCTATAAGTGTGTTGATTGATTGGCATTGATAGGAGTGGCATCAAATTGATGTTATTGATCTAATTAAAGAACAGTGTTTTCAATTCATCGATCTAAAGAAATCAAACTAAAACATCATCGATAAAAGGGCAACTGATCAGTGAAATTGGGGTTTGTTTGCTAATCGAAGTCAATATTTTAATATAATCTTCACACATAATGTCTAATTTTGTTGGAGGAAACATCTCCAATAAACGAGATATGAGCGAAGAAGCCAAACTATAGGAATATATAAAGGTCTAATTTTTAAAGTACCTGACTTAAGTTTTCCTGTGATTTGACTTCTAACGTCAGATCTTTCCAAGACTTCAACGGTCTACCTGTGACAGGTGAGCTCGACCTAGCTACCGTCACCAAGATGCTCCAGCCCAGGTGTGGCCTGCCTGACGTCATCAAACCCGGAAGTCGATATGCCTCGGTGCCTTCTGGGTACAGAGCTCCAGGGTCTGCAGAGATGAGAGGTAGGTGTCGTGTAGGGGTGGGTAGGTGTCGTGTAGGGGTGGGTAGGTGTCGTGTAGGGGTGGGTAGGTGTCGTGTAGGGGGGGGGTAGGTGTAGTGTAGGGGTGGGTAGGTGTCGTGTAGGGGTGGGTAGTTGTCGTGTAGGGGTGGGTAGGTGTCGTGTAGGGGTGGGTAGGTGTCGTGTAGGGGTGGGTAGTGGGTAGGTGTCGTGTAGGGGTGGGTAGGTGTCGTGTAGGGGTGGGTAGGTGTCGTGTAGGGGTGGGTAGGTGTCGTGTACAGGTGGGTAGGTGTCGTGTAGGGGTGGGTAGGTGTCGTGTAGGGGTGGGTAGGTGTCGTGTAGGGGTGGGTAGGTGTCGTGTAGGGGTGGGTAGTTGTCGTGTAGGGGTGGGTAGTTGTCGTGTAGGGGTGGGTAGTTGTCGTGTAGGGGTGGGTAGGTGTCGTGTAGGGGTGGGTAGGTGTCGTGTAGGGGTGGGTAGTTGTCGTGTAGGGGTGGGTAGGTGTCGTGTAGGGGTGGGTAGGTGTCGTGTAGGGGTGGGTAGGTGTCGTGTAGGGGTGGGTAGTTCTCGTGTAGGGGTGGGTAGGTGTCGTGTAGGGGTGGGTAGTTGTGGTGTAGGGGTGGGTAGGTGTCGTGTAGGGGTAGGTAGGTGTCGTGTAGGGGTGGGTAGGTGTCGTGTAGGGTGGGTAGGTGTCGTGTAGGGGTGGGTAGGTGTCGTGTAGGGGTGGGTAGGTGTCGTGTAGGGGTGGGTAGGTGTCGTGTAGGGGTGGGTAGGTGTCGTGTAGGGGTGGGTTCAATATCGCTGAGTATAGGTGTGTTGTAGGGGTTGGCTCAATAGACACATCTGAGTGTAGGTGTCGTGTAGGGGTGGATTTAATAGACATCTGAGTGTAGGTGTTGTGTAGGGGTGGGGTGGGTTCAATAGACACAGTTGGTTGGTAGGTGTCGTGTAGGGGTGGATTTAATAGACATCTGAGTGTAGGTGTTGTGTAGGGGTGGGGAGGGTTCAATAGACACAGTTGGTTGGTAGGTGTTATGTAGGGGTTTGATTGGTTGACACAGGTGATAGGTAGGTGTCGTATATGTGTGGGTAGGTGTCGTGTAGGGTTTGGTTTGGTGGGCACATGTGATAGGTAGGTGGCGTGTCGGGGTGGGTTCAATACAGCTGAGTGTAGGTGTCGTGTCGGGGTGGGTTTAATAAACACAGGTGAGAGGTAGGTGTCGTGTAGGGGTTGGTTTGGTAGGCAGAGATGGGTGTAGATGTCGTGTATTAGACACAGGTGATAGGTAGGTGTCGTGTAGTGGTTGGTTCAATAGACACAGCTGAGAGGTACGTGTGCTGTAGGTTTTGGGTTGGTAGGCAGAGCTGAGTGGTTTGTACTCTATAAATAAATTAGGTAGTTTATCTAAACTAGTACAATCTATGCTGTTTGTGCTAGTATTCTATAAATAGCCTTGGAGTATTTGTTGCCTGGTTTAGTGACGCTGCTGATGACACTTAAGTAATTAAAAGTATAACAATTATGAATTTGATGCACTCTACCCAAATCTATACCGAGACTTGACTTGGCTTGCATCGACAGTATAACAATCTACACGTAGTACGGTATAGTCTAGACCAGCCATACGTATCTCATGTTAAAATCTTAAATCACATGCATTTCTTCTCTAGCCAAGTGGCCGAAAAATGACCTCACCTACAGACTGGTCAGCTACACGAGAAAACTGGGTCAAGGCCAAGTGGAGTAAGTCACGTGACAGTAAATATAAGTATAGAACTTTCTAGTTATATCCCCTTCAGTAAAGGTATAGACAGCTTAACAGCTTACCAGTGGCGGAACTAGAAAAAAAAGGCTCCCCCGCAAAGAAAAAATTAGGGCCCCATATATATATATATATATATATATATATATATATATATATATATATATATATATATATATATATATATATATATATATATACAAATCTATACCCTAACTCAGGGATCGGCAACCTGCGGCTCGCGAGCCGCATGCGACTCTTTTGATGTCAAGATGCGGCTCTCCAGCTCCTTGCACAAATACTAATAACCTTAACAAAAAAATTAAATGTTTGAAATAAAAAAATGTTAGTGGCTCTTTAAAACCAGGGAAATTTTGAAAATTGTAACTTTTGGCTCTTCCGCTTCAAAAGGTTGCCGACCCCTGCCCTAACTTAGTAATTTGGCCTACTATATGACCATTCTGAGAGAACGAACCAAACAAATTTAGTCCAAACCCATCTTGGGCTACAAATTGTTAATGTCATGACCACTACTAATAAGGCTGGTCAAAAATATATAAAGACGTAAGCTTGATTCGTGAAAGGTTTCTCGCGTTATGTTTATTTTTTTCATTTTTGGCTTTTATAATATCAATTTTGAAAATATTGATTTTTATAGCTATACCATTGTTTAGTACGTCTTATTTAAATAACAATTCAGAGAATCAATTGCTTTTTAATATACATAGTACAAAACTATTTAAATGAGCTTCGTGGGCATACCTATTTTAAAGAATGGAAGTAAGTCATGGACGTAGTTTGAATATTTGCCTACCTTTCAAACTATAGCTCTTGTAGATTTTAAAATATTTTTCTACGCAACAATCTCTGCTATAGTAGACCTGTTTTTTTTTTTTTACAAAACCACTTTCAAGATGCATGAAAAACATAATTTTTGAAAAAAAAAATCATTGTTTTTTGGTCGGAACTGGGCCCCTACACGTCCTGGGCCCCCCCGCATTGCGGGGTCTGGCGGTATGGTAGTTCCGCCCCTGCAGCTTACATATATATATATATATATATATATATATATATATATATATATATATATATATATATATATATATATATTAAAGAGCTTCTTTAAAAAATCAATTAGGCAAAGAATTATGCAAATATACAGATACTTGAACGCAAGTAGTTGTCTTCAATATATAATAACGATCTACACATAAGATATAAACAAAAGTGGAAATCGTGGGTCTAGTTATTCATTACAGAGAGACAAACACTAATTTAAATCATAATTGTAAAAAATTAGATAATCGAGTACATAGAGGACAAATGCAGTATGTCCACTTTTTTTGTGAAATCAATGTACCTTATTACTTATATTGTCAATAATGCAAGCTACAAGAACACTCATGTACAATGTCAGAAAAGTAGAATGCAAATATTTTATGTATGTTTAAACATAATATTTTTGCACTATTTTAAAATTGGAATGAGATTTGTAAACTCATTTTTCTCGAGATTATATTTTTTTGGAAATACTGCATTGTCCTCTATACACTCGTTATGTTAGGTTAAGTATATTACTAAGAACCAGGCACCGCCCACGTTAAGCACCGGTAATTGTAAGCCCATCAACACTACATCCAGCTTTGTCATATATAGTGGTGACGTCATTTTTTGCGTTGCAGCGACGCCATCGCTAGAGCTTTCCGGAAGTGGTCTGACGTCACACCCCTGGTCTTCAGGCGAGGTCAAGGAGCGGTGGACATCAACATAGGCTTCACTCGGGGTGACCATGGGGACGGCAGCCCCTTTGACCGACAAGGTGACCACTTTGGCTTATTTTAGAAAATGTTTTTTTTTCATAGCTGTATCCAAAAAAAAAAGATCATTCATATAACAGTGGCATTAGTAGAGCTGTTAAATCATGGGTTAAGATAATAATTGAACGGATTTTGGTTTGGGTTAGGGCGTAACGAGTTAGATTACAAACTAAAATTATATTGCATTCATAATTAAAAGTTTACTTCACAATAATAACTCCTTTGTGAAGATTCCATTACATTGGTATTACTTCATTCAAAGATGAAAACTATGTATATCTAATATTTAAAAAAAAAGTGTTAGCTTTTTATGAATGTTTATTATCGACCAATGCCCCCCCCCCCCCCCCCCCCCCAGGAAACGTACTAGCCCACGCCTTCTTCCCTGGCTATGGTGAGATCGCTGGTGACACACATTTTGACGACGACGAGGATTGGACCGTCAACTCACCGCAAGTAAGATGTAACGATCGTTATGATTGGTCGATAATTTCTGAGTTCGATTATCTCGTCCAATGGCATTATTAGATACTATTTTACTCCAACATTATTTTCGTTATAAATCTCTAAAAATAAATTCTGGTATCAAAACCGCCATTTAATGTTGATCTTCATTAACAAGACTCCACTGTAAAAAAAAAAATCTTTCGGGAGCTTGAAATTAAACAAGTGATGTTCAGCTGAGTTTTTTAAGGCAACAATAGGCGCAATGCACCGCCTCCCCGAGCTAGTAAATTGCCCCCCCCCCCCTAACACCACTCCTCGGTCAAAATATATAATTTAAATCGAGAAAATATATTTTAACCAGTGTCCGCCCCCACCCCTGAAATTTTAAGTTAGCCCCCCCCCCCAACCCACCTCCAAGGAGGATTGAAATATTCCTTCCGGGGTCGAGAGCAGGAGCAGAATGCTAGAGAAATGTATACTGAGTACAGTTAAATATGACTGCGTTAACTATGTACACATGCTTGAGAAATGTATGTTACCTACAGTAGACGAAGCCGCCCTCAGTTATCACCCTTGTCCAAACAAAAGTTCTTTACTATGAAATTATGATTTTCATAAACACAGGGCGTCAACCTGGAGATTGTCGCCGCCCATGAATTCGGCCACGCCCTTGGACTTGAGCACAGCCGGCATAAAGACGCGCTGATGGCGCCCTTTTAACGGGAGTATGACCCCAACTACAAGCTGCACGCCGATGACATTCGCAGGATACAGGAACTCTATGGTCATATGTCATTTGTGTCATTTGGGGGAGATTTCACGGTTGTAGGATGTTGTTTAGGGAGCTTGAGGATGCTGTGGATGTCATTTGGAGATGTTTATGATGTTAGGGATGTATTTAGGGTGATTTCAGTGTATTGGAAGCTTTTTGAGGGAGATTTAAGATACTAAAGGTCTCATTTGGTGGAAATTTAAGCGTGTTAATTTGTCAATTTTGGGAAATTTAAGCACGTTATGGATGTCATTTGTGGAGTTATGCATGTTACAGGGGTTATTTGTGTAAAATTTAAGATATTAGGGGTATCATTTGAAGAGGTTTAAGTGTCTTAAGGTGTCAGTTTAGGAAGTTTTAATGATGCTAGACATAGTATTAATGGTGTTTTAATGTTAGCGTGTCTCATGAAAAGCTTATAGAAATAACGCATAATTTAGAGAACTTTTTTTGGGTGTCATTTTGGGAACTATACAACAGTCTGCTTCATAAACAATATATCTTTAGACACCAAAACACACGATGACATGTGGGCCCTAAATGACATTGATGAGAAAACACAAAACTGACATCTATACTGGGCATTGTAAGATATTTATATGAGTTACCACTACATCTTTAGAACTGTAGATGTCAAGTGCCTAAATACTTCACAACACTGCAATTCAAATCATTCCCACTTCACCCGTACCACTATTCTAATAATAGTAACAAAACAACTTAAAATCACGCCTAAAATGCACACTGTCGTGAAATTAGTTTTTAGTATATGTTGTTACATGCGTATGTTAAAAAAATATGTAGATCAATGTAAGTTGCCGACCTTATACGTCTCAGTATAATGGAAAAATGCGCTGCGTGGGGTACACTGGCCCCACCAGACCTCTCTGGCTACGCCGTTTAATGTTATTCGGGTTTTACTTTTTTTTCCACAGGGGCATCAAGACAAAGACCTACCACACAAAAGCCACACACGAAAAGACCGGCGACAAAGCGACCTCCCACAAATCGTCCACCCACAAAACGGCCTCCCACAAAACGTCCACCCACAAAACGGCCTCCCACAAAACGTCCACCCACAAAACGGCCACCCACAAAACGTCCACCCACAAAACGGCCACCCACAAAACGTCCACCCACAAAACGGCCACCCACGAAACGCCCACCCACACGACGGCCACCCACAAAACGGCCACACACACAACGGCCACCCACACAACGTCCAGCCAAGCCTCCCCAACGTCGGCCTGGTTCCAACACGCCGAGGTCCAGAGATCCTCGAGCAGAGTTATGTTCCCTTACATTTGATGCCATTGAACAAGGTACAGTAACCGCTGCTAAACTGTTGAGTTTAAAACATTTTCTTTCTTATCGCCCTTATTAAAATGCACATAGAAGAATACTGTTTTTTAAAAAAAAAAACTTGCGGTATTAGCTATTACATTGTGTAATGTAACGTCCACAGTTCATGATGGTAGGATCTACGTCTTTAAGAGAGAGTTTATGTACTGGTTGACGCCCGAGGGGGTGTCTAGCCCACGCAGGATAAGTGACGTGTACCCTGACGCCCCAAACTCCCCAACCGCTGTGGTGTACGACAGAGTTCGTAGACACCTGTTTATTTTTAGATGTGAGTAGCTCGTTCTTTTATACCAAATCACACACACACACACACATACACACACAAACACACACACACACACACACACACATATATATATATATATATATATATATATATATATATATATATATATATATATATATATATATATATACCCGTGCTTTGCAACGTTAAATCTTTTTAAATGTACCAACTTGGGAACAGAAAAAAAACTAAACACAATGCCAACACAAACACAACACGAACACAAAAGAAAACAAACACAAAAGAAAAAACAAACGCACATAAAAACACAAATGAAAACACAAAGACAATGCAAACAAAATGAGTGGATTTTTAAAAAAAAAATACCGCTCCTGGCATAATTATTAAAATATTTTAATTAATTAGTTTTTTCGACCCTAATGTTATTAATGTATCCAATGTTTCTAGGAATCTAAACGAAAATGATATTTGACATTGATTCGTTGAATATGTTTTAGGGATTTGCGTGTATTTAATATTTTCTTTACGTTATGCGAAAGGGTAAAAGCAGTGGCAACTCAGAGGCGTTTCAAGGTTTTCGTTGCAGGGGGAGCGAAAAGAGCAAAAAAAGGCGCCGAATTTTTAACACGTTCTATATACGTGTTATATATATATATATATATATATATATATATATATATATATATATATATATATATATATAATTACTAGCTGTATTTCATTACTTCGCTATGGTGTAAAATAAATTGAAAGTAGCTCTCTGAAGAAATAAGAAAAAACACACAATGTAGGCCGACAAACAAAAATCGTATCAATCTAAACAAAAATATACACACACTACAACCAAAATCAATGAACGTAACACAATCTGTTTTGTAATTCTTGTAAAAAAAATTTCTTACATAATAATTATTGGAAATTATTTAAGACAAGTGAAATAGGGGAGATAATCACTCTCTTAATATAAATATGTATATATCTACACATTTAATTATAAATGTCAAAACAAATAAATAATAACTTTAGAATATAATGAAATAGTTTAACATTATTCGTATTTACAAAATGTCTTTGTCTATAATCAGAATTTAATATATCGTCATCATAAATGCTAAAGTATTACAGCATAATGAAAGTTTTTAAAATCAGAGTTGGTATAAAACCACACTTTTCGATATAATAATAATAACAGCCTACATTTAACTAAAATATACTGCTTCTTTGTGTTCTTTAAAGATCATTTTTTATCATAGTGATAGGTATGGGTTAGATCACTGTATTGATCACACACCTTTTTACTGGTAATTACAAAAACAATTACGATAGAGAGGGTTAGGTGTGAGTATTAATTGACCGTAATTATAGAATCACTTTGTGTGGCGATTACGATAATAAATAATCACAATTTATGTAAACAGTTCCATTGCGTTTATAGGATTTAAAGAAAAAATAAAACTTATTATCTGTTTTTTTTTTATAAATTAGACTCTTTTTTTATTTTCAAATAAATAAAAAAATTTGACAATTGACAAAAATATAATTAAAACATTCATATTAAGTGTATTTTAGCACCCTAATAGACAACCGAGTTTCCCTTTGGAATTCCGTCTATCTACTTCTATACCCTACCTCAAGTTCTGACACTAAGAACACGCTTCTAACGTTAAATACATGGTACAAAATTGTGACACACACACCATGCTATCTGTACTACCATAAAAGCTACAACCATATATATATATATATATATATATATATATATATATATATATATATATATATATATATATATATAGTAAGGAAAGTTAAATTTGGTGAGTGTGTATTTGGTTTAAACAAAAAATTCAAGTAATTCACACAAGCTATTTTTCATGTTTTACAAATTTTACCAGCATCAGTATCCATCCACCGCCATCTGTTTTTGTGTCGCATAAAATATCTTTTCCAGTTGCAGTTTTCATTATTTCTCGTTCACTGAATTGCTCTAGCATAGCACCCTTTTCGCACGTTATCTAATGATAAAATACTTACATATTTTATTTAACCGAACCTACCCTGAAGGTAGTTACTTTACATTGAAGAAATAAAAAGCTATAGGGCCTACAATGTCAAATTAGGTGAGAGTATAGCGTACTCGTACTATTATATATCTGTAGAATCTAGGTCTTCTAGGCTAGTTGTTAGTGTTTATTTAATGCCTCAAGGTTTTTGTGTAGTTTGCGTAATCAGCCAATCAATTGCTCAGTGCAAAACATTGGGGGACAGAACACAGCCTTGTTGGAATCATAAATGGGTCAGTGATATTGCTACCACATGAGTTGGAAGCTTTCAGATATGATTTTGATAGCATTTTTGGATTTCTCAGAAAAAACAATGCTACGGTAAGTCATTTTAGAGATGGCTTCTGTGTAGAGTCTAGACTATCGAAAGCATTTTCAGAATTAATTATAGAGTGCTGCTCCATTCCTAATGTCAACATAAATATGTACACATATTGTATTTTGAAGTGACATGCCTTCTTGGCAAACTTAAAAACCTAAATTAACATAAAATTGCTACTGATAATTTATTAACTGGACGTTAGATCCTAACCCGTTGCTGTGTAATAAAGAAGACAGTTTTCTTGGCTTAATAAAGTTTTTGCCACTGGAGTTTAGTTTAGAGGAACAGAATATCTAAACTTTTTATGGGACTTTTAATAGGATAGACACATAGACAGACAAAAAAGAAAGACTGATATACAAATAAAAAGACAGAAGACGAAATGACGAACAAAAAGACAGAATGACTTACGAGATCTAGAATAGGCCTACTTACATCGTCCTTATATAGATAGAGCGCAAAGTCACCTGCAATAACACGTAAAAACATAATGATTGAAAGCGAAACAAATTTTAATATGCAACTCTAATTAAGTTGGAAATCTATCTATATAGTACTAACAGCGGAAAGTGTATATTTATTTTTGTTTGTTTGATTTTTCTTTATTTTAAATGTTTTTAATATGTCTAAATTCTAGATCTAGAATGTAGGCCAATAATACAATGAATAATTTAATTTCTTTACTAAACGAATTCATTCAGGCCTTAATTATTATATATATATATATATATATATATATATATATATATATATATATATATATATATATATATATATATATATATATATATATATATATATATATATATATATATATATTTCAATGGAATTGGCCAAATTAAGTAATAATTTAATTTAAATAATATTCGCGTAATTTTACTTTCTTGCGCTGGCTAAAGTATAGTAACTCAATATATTTTCTCCAATTGGTAGGTAGGCTTACCTAGCTGACCGAGATGATAGTGTAATAGACACCATGTTGGTGGTAAGGATACGAAACTTATCATGTCAATGTTAACATTTTGTGTTTTATTTTTCCCACGTTGGAATATCGCAGCACACTCTATTTGTTTTAAATAGTTATTTTTTAATTTGACATTAGCTACGAGGAAGTTTGAGCTCAGATAAAATTATAGGAAAAAAATTCGATGTTTTTAAAAGATAACAGGTAAGCTAAGATGTGGCTTGTTTTTAGATGTGAATAATAAAATTGCTTTTCGGGACTTGGCGGGACACGGAGCAGGTGAAGTAGAGTTCACCTATTTATGTGACCTCAGCCACAAAAACATGCTGCCTGAGATGATGTAAAGTCTTTTAAAATGTGGGGTCTGGCTTTTTGAGACGGCGTGTGACAGTAGCGAGGGGGAGGAGAAACATAAATGTGGGGTCTGGCTTTTTGAGACGGTGTGTGACAGTAGGGAGGGGGAGATGAACATGAAAATAGTCATATTTCAGAGAAATTGGTTTGGTAGAAGTGGTCCGAATCTGCTCGCCAGTTTCGATCCATGACGGACGACATAAGCCCGACAAGAGCACGAGAGACATTCAGATAGAGCAAGTTAAATAAAAGATTGTAAACAGAAGGTACGATTCTAATAGACATGAAGGACAGGTAATGAGATGTATAAAAAACTTTAAGAATAATCTAAATTGTCGGATTTGGCTTCTTCGATTGTGACTTTTGTCAAGGATCAAAACAAGTACACCAGTTAACCAAACTGAGTTCGTGTGCAACGTGTATGAGTAGACATCTGTAAGTATTTCTTAGATTATCTATATTATGCATATGCACATATGCACACACATGCTTAAACACATAAAAAAATCAATGTTCTTATGCATTTTGCGAATACATTTACAAAGAAATATAAATACTATGATACATAAACATGTACATATATTTACATTTATACATACATATCTCGCCTACATACATACACATTGTCACACAAGTAAGTTTAGTTGTGCGTATGAATCATTTACAAAATTGTCCACCTACTGTATTCGACAGAACGGAGAATGGGAGATAAGGGTGGACATTAGGTTCGGAGGTAAACATTACAACGCCAGTCTACCAAACTAAGAAGAATGTCAATATTATCTATGCCAGGATATTTTTTAAACTGCTATGAGTAAAAAATGAAATAGGAATTAGAAAATCAACCTACCAGGAAAGATACAAATGTTGGCAACCAACACTGCAACAAATATTACAGCAACCATGATAAAATTGTGTGTTGTTGTCTCAGCTCATCGACCGTATTTGTAGGCTACTTCATCTGATGACGTGACTAAATCCAAATTTAATTAATTTTTATTTGTTTACTAGGCTTATGGTTGTGTTTTATAAATAAATTATTTTTAGATTTGTGTTTATTTTATTAACTGTTTAATTTTTAATTGGAAAAGTGTTGAAAGTCTATTCTCGCAAAGATAAGTAGACATAAAAGGAACTAAAACTAGAAAGGAAATCAATCACGTTTGGGTATTAATTGCTCCGTACTACATCAAACATGTGCGCAGTTTTTCATATGACGCGGAGTCATTCCGCATATAAATGCCCCGAGGTAATATTCGTTCATTTTGTATGTTGATGTTCGAATATATTATCTGCTGGTTATGATACTCTCTCCATCCACACCATGTCGTTAAAGTGTATCAAAAGGTCTTGTTTAACTTGGACTTCCAAGAGCAAATTGATATCATCTTTCAATATAAAAAAAACACGATTCACAATATTTCTTTTTGATAGCCAGCGTATTGCAGTGTAGAAAATCAAAACCTCGTGATCTTTATTCATGTCTTGGCACAGTTCTTTAAAAAGACAAGTGTTTAGGGCTCTAGATTTAATATAATTTACGACTTTTATTAGCAACGAGCCGACCCGCGGCATATCATACGCCGCTATTTAGTTGTTTAATTTTCTACTTTTCAGTAATTCATAATTTGTGAATTCGACAGTACCAATGCTGACACTGAAAATATTTGCTTTAAAACACAATTAGTAGGTCGTTAAGGACGATACTACCCCCTCCCTTCTTTCCCCCAACCCCTACCCTACAACCCCCCCCCCCCCCGTGAAAGCAACCTCCTCTTATTTACCTCCCTATATAAAATCGTTTCAAACTAAATTATCTGCCCCTAATAGCCGTCACTAAACCCGGCTCCACGAATGTAAACATACACCGTATACACATACACGTTGATAACAAACAATCAAACTTGTAACTCAATATAATATCATAATAATATCATATGAGTTGTATAATCAGTGCATACACTGGGTTTAAAAAAAATGTAAGGGATTACAATGTTTCTAGAGGATGGAATTAAAGATTTCCAGCATGATAATTGTGTAAAAAAATACAATGCTTAACATTGTGTAATCTGGAGCAAAGTATTATCTTATTTATATTCTTTGCAAGTGATAACAAACTGTTAAATCTTTCTGTAGCGTAATGGATAGATTGTGTCACGGAAAATATAGATACAGATACAACAGATGCATTGTTTTGGTAAAGAATAATAATTCCTGAGTTTTAATCACATCAGCCAATTTAGCATTATATTAACACTAAAATATTTATTTTAATTTTAATATTTTGTTCGTGCTACAGTTGCCTATAGTTTATTTCCCGCATTCCTCTGTAATAGGGCTTGTAAGTCTACGGTCTCGAAATCTACTCGCTGGCAAGTTCGAGAACGAGAAGTTGTGACCTACTTACAAGCCCTATTCATTCAACTCCAATGTGTAATGCTAGACCTGGGTTTGGTTTGCAGCTTACTATAGAGGTGACACTTCCATAATATCATTATGGTTTTGGTTATGTTTAGAATTGATATATTGAGATGTATTGATACGTTTGATTAATTCATTTAGTATGTTTCGAGACAAAAAAATTGCTCAATCGACCAATATTGTCCTTAATGCTTTTCGTATTTTGCCGAGATATATATTTTGTCTGAGATCTTTTGTCTGAGATGTTTTGTGCAAGGAAACTTGGGTATTTTGCCCTCGGATATATTGTTTTGAAATGTTTATTTCTGATCTATTTTGTCCTGAGATATTTTGAAAAAAGACAATTAATTAATAAGTAATTAGTTTATTAATGTCTCCAATATCTTCATTGTCAATAATCACGTTCAACTATTTTTATACATTGTGCTACCATTTCTATACATTGTGCAACCATTTCTATACATTGTGCAACCATTTCTATACCTTGTACAACCATTTCTATACCTTGTGCAACCATTTCTATACCTTGTACAACCATTTCTATACATTGTGCAACCATTTCTATACCTTGTACAACCATCTCTATACATTGTGCAACCATTTCTATACCTTGTACAACCATTTCTATACCTCGTACAACCATTTCTATAACTTGTGCAACCATTGCTATACATTGTATTAGTTGTATAACTATTGCTATACAAATTACACAGCTGACCGCTATTGGCGTTACAGTGGATCTCAAAAAGATCCAGGCTACCCTAAGCTTCTACCTAAGGCCTTCATTGGAGTCACAGCCGGCATGCAGTGGACCGATGGAGGAATTATTCTTTTTAAAGTAGCTTTTACATTCATTCAATAATTTGATAAATAAAATTATTTATTTAACTTGGTAATGCCAATAAATACATACGTTTATCAAAGAGTAGAGCTTCATCAAATTTTCCCTTACTCCCAAGTCAAATGGGGCAGATGAAGTAGAGTTTACCCACTTCAATGACCTCGGCATACAGGGGATAGTATGGCCAGCATTATGCCCAGCCGCCTCGGTATCCCTAACGTGAGTCAGTTACCCATTAGAGCTGTGAGGACTCAGGGAAGTCTTATAGACTCGAGCGCGGTATTCAAACTCGAGTCTTTCTAGTTAGCAGCCAAAAGCTCTAATGTCCAACAACGTCTTCCCCTTATCAACTAAAAATACGCATCATTTACTTTTTTTCAATAATTCACCCCCCCTCCCCATCTTAACCTACTTTCTTGTCTACAGAACGCCGAGTTTTTCAGGTGGTCAGAGAATTTATCTGGCCACTCCAGCGGGTTCCCTCGGCGGGTCTCGGAGTTCTGGAAAGGGTTGCCAGATCAATTCGACTCAGTTTTCAACATTTTCGATGGCTACATTTACTTCTTTAAGGGACACAAGTACGTTCTTTACTCGACGTTAGTAGAATCAGGATATAACTCGTTAAATAATTAACTTATCTGTAATTAGCGCTTTCGTCTTCGATGAAGCAGGACGTTTAGTAACATAAAACATATGAAGTAGATGAAGTAGAAATTATTTGTATAATCGGTTTTGTAAAAAAAAATTACTTATCCAAACGTAAATAAATTACCTATTTGAGCTGAGTGGACTCTTGGACGCCATACGGTTTTCAGTTCGGGATCCGAATACGAGACTTTGTGGCAAGCGATTATGACCACTACCATCCGACCATGGCGTCCCTATTTTGTATATAGCTGGTCAGAGTCATGAACATATTCCTAAAACGCCATGTCCTGTGTTAGAGTTATCTAACATAACTAAACTACCATGTCCTGTGTTAGAGTTCTCTAACTTAACTAAACTACCATGTCCTGTGTTAGAGATATCTAACATAACTAAACTACCATGTCCTGTGTTAGAGTTATCTAACTTAACTAAACTACCATGTCCTGTATTAGAGATATCTAACATAACTAAACTACCAACTAAACTACCATGTCCTGTGTTAGAGTTATCTAACTTAACTAAACTACCATGTTTTGTGTTAGAGTTAAGAGTTCTCTAACATAACTAAACTACCATATCCTATGTTGGAGGTATCTAACATAACTAAACTACCATGTCCTGTGTTAGAGTTAGAGTTATCTAACAGATCTAAAACACCATGTCCTGTGTTAGAGTTATCTAACATAACTAAACTAACATGTACTGTGTTAGGGTAATCTAACATAACTAAACTACCATGTCGTGTGTTAGAGTTATCTAACTTAACTAAACTACCATGTCCTGTGCTCCAGATACTGGAGGTACGACTCCCGGTCCCAGCTCTCTGCCGACTACCCTCGGGACACTCGGCCTTACTGGCTCCACTGCCGGGTCAGCTCAATCCTTAGCCCACTCGTGTCGGAACTAACCTTGGCTAAAACAACATAGCACATCAAGATAGTCGACCAGAGGATACGCCGCTGCACGGGTAAATCGGACACGCCTATAGCAATGTGCAACACGTGTACGCGATGCTGCCTTTATCAAAATAGGACACAGAAAACTAAAGTCAATACATATAACCCAACCTGTCTCAATACTGTGTTAGGAACCTACAAGACAAACGTGTTCAATAAAATAAACAAACAACCGTCTAAATAAAGTAATATCTTGTAAGTGGTTGACTTTCATATCCTCGTGTGTATGTCTACTGGTACTAAATGTGCATGCTTTTTGTGTATATGCTTTCGTAATTGTGTGTGTATGTGGATTTGTGTGTGTGCCCGTGTGTGGGACACCAAATAAGTGATTATTTTGTATATACGTTTCCGTAATTGTGTTTATGTGAGTGTGTTAGGGTGTGTGCCACAAAATGAGTGATCATCGTGTTAAGTATTCCTATCCTACCGACACCACCAAATGTAACAGCCGTGCGAAGTTCTTGTTAGGTTGAGTTCAACACCTTCTCGCACGGTCAAATAATATTTAGTTGTACAGTTTAAAAAAACCAAAATCAGATTATTCTGATGCTTGATACTTGCTGTATTAATATCATTGATTTAGTACAAGACTTTACAAAATGATGTAATTTTAAATAATTTTTAAACAGCTAAACAACCAAAAAATCTTGGCTTCAGCATTCATTAATAAACCGGGAGTGATCTCCCCTAAACTTTCTCGAATATTTTTATATAAAATAACAGGGGATGGGAACTCGGGCTATAGACATGATTTTTAATCCATTTTAAATACTTAAAGTTTAAAAAAATAGAATAAAATCTCGTAGACAAAAGAATTGCATACCAAGTGAACGCTAAATAAAAAAGTGCATAATAGTGCGCAATATTATTAGTACTTTAAAAATCTACATTAGTTTTTTGAGAAATCGGAAGTAGCGTAAATTACTACTTCCGGTCAACGGAAATGACTCAAAATTTAAAAGAAGATAGAAAATTAGATCTTTTACTTACATGTGAAATGTCGTTTATCTATCTGAAATAGTACTCAAGTTATAGGCCTTTGAAAATTTCAAAGTAGGAAAAGTATCACTTCCGGTTATCGGAAATCGCTAAAAGTTGATACGGATCTACGATTTTGATAAAATACTTATATATGAAATTTCATCAACCTAGCTGTAACGGTACTCAAGTTATCGTGTTTACACACACACACACACACACACACACACACAGACATACGGACAGAATTGCAAAGTCCAGTTTTTCAGACTGGATTACGTATAAAACCTCTTAATTTTGATAAATCTGGATTGATAATTTTTGCCCGATTAAAATAATTCCTCTATACTTCGGATGTGATGAAGGACTGAGGTGTAATACGGTGAAAATTGTTAAAATTTCAAGTGATTTTTGTGCACGATTACAATACTTTCTCTATACTTCGTATATACGAGAAAGTAAAAAAGAGCACAAAATACATTTCCAATGTCTCCAAACTGTTCAGCAAACTTTTGATCCTTGATGCAAATAAGGATAGAGTCTCCCATTTGAATGTCACGGCCAAGATGACCATCTAAGAAAGCTTGACCACCAGGTGTCGGACCACGAATAAAGGACACATTCTCTAGCTGATTATAAGAAGCTAATTTAATCTCATAGCCACTCCTATAATATTTAACAACACTATTCCATTGAGCATAGTCTGTTAGATTTAGTCCACTCACATAAAGAGCACCCACAAAACCTCAACCCACACAAAGACCACCCACAAAACGGATACCCACAAAACGTCCACCCTCGAAACGCCCACCCACACAACGACCACACATAAAACGGCCACCCGCAAAACGGCCACCCACAAAACGTCCACCCTCGAAACGCCCACCCACACAACGCCCACACATAAAACGGCCACCCACAAAACGTCCACCCACAAAATGCCACCCACACAACGTCCACCCACAAAATGCCACCCACAAAATGCCACCCACACAACGTCCAGCCAAGCCTCCCAAACGTCGGCCCGGCTCCAACACGCCGAGGTCCAGAGATCCCCGAGCAGAACAAGGTACAGTAGCCGCTGATAAACTGTTCCGTTTAAAACATTTTGTTTCTTACCGCCCTTATTAAAATGCAAATAAAAGAATTTAAAAAAAAAACTTGCCGTATTAGCTATTACATTGTGTAATGTAACGTCCACATTTGCTGATGGTAGGATCTACGTCTTTAAGAGAGAGTTTATGTACTGGTTGACGCCCGAGGGGGTGTCTAGCCCCCGCAGGATAAGTGACGTGTACCTTGATGCCCCGAATTCCCCAACCACTGTGGTGTACGACAGAGTTCGTAGACACCTGTTTATTTTTAGATGTGAATAGCTCGTTCTTTTATACCAAATAACAAACACACACGCACACACACACACACACACAGAGAGATATATGTATATATATATATATATATATATATATATATATATATATATATATATATATATATATATATATATATATATATATATATATATATATATATATACTAACTGCATACCCGTGCTCCGCAACGTTAAATCTTTTTTAAATGTACCAACTTGGGAACAGAAAAAACTAAAAACAACGCAAACACAAACACAACAAGAACACAAAAGAAAACACAAACACAAAAGAAAAAACAAACGCAAATAAAAACACAATTGAAAACACAAAGACAATGCAAACACAAATGCAAACGCAAAAAAACACAAAGTAAAAGAACAAACACAATACTAATAACATAAACACAACTGACGTGCAAACATAAATGCATAGTGCTCACAGTCTAGCCCGTGGTGCACAAATCACACCCTGTCCGAGAGTTGACGGACGCGCATGACGCAGTGAATGCCTATAAAGCCCCCAGCTTGTCCGCAAACGGAAAAATAGAATAATAATTAGTAAATAGTGCGTTCAGGATGTAAAATAAATAAAAGGCAGAATACAATATATCCGTGTTTTCCCTATCATATTGCACTTTATCACTTCATGTATTTTTATCAGTACTTATGATTAAAACCATTGCGCAACTAACGAACATGATGACGTATGTATAGTAGTGCAGAATAGTTGATTAAAAATTATAATTAGTAAACAGTACGTTCGGTGAATAAAATAAATAAAAGATAGCCTTTCGTCATTCCATGCTAATTATAATATTCCAACAATAATGTCCTTTTACACGTCTGCAGAATTTGCATTCATATTTTGCTAAATATATTATTCCAACAATAATTCCCTCTTCGAGATTTTGCAATCACATTTTCTTATTAGCGTGCGGTGAATTTTTTTTTTAAATGACAACTCCTGGCATAACTATTAAAAGATTTTAATTAATTAGTTGTTTCGACCCTACTGCTATTAAATGTATCCAATTTTTCTAGAAATCTAAACGAAAATGATATTTGACATTGATTCGTTGAATATGTTTTAGCGATTTGCGTGTATTTAATATTTTCTTTACGTTATGCGAAAGAGTAAAAGCAGTGGCAACTATAAAATACATTTAAGTCGTTATATAAACAAACCCTTCTCTATTTATAATAATAAGACATGATGATGCAAGTAAAAAGCACGACATGTGGTGTGTTTACTTTTATGGATCTAAAATCTATAGCGATGACGGAATGACTGACACACTACCGACCGGCCCGCTTAAACTATAGATTCTAATCAAGCCTGAGCCTAAATTAGAGCGATGCGAGAAGCAGTAACAAAGAAACTTTATTCAAACACAATTTTCTTTACCAAAGTTTTTGTTTGTAGTCGTAAACAGAGATGCCCTTGGGTTAGTAGCATAAAAGGGGCAGTACTGGAGGAGTACAGGCCCTTTTGATCCCAGTTTCTCTGTAGCACCAGCTTGTGATGTGTGCTACCAAAATAATGCTAAACTTATTTCATAAGCAGGAATAAGCATCCCACTAACACAATGATGCAACTACACACAAAAAAGTGTTGACATAC